CCCCCCCCTTCCCACCACTAAGAGCCAAATCCTTTCCGATCACTTGCACTGCGCTCTCTGTGTATGCTTGCCAAAACAAAAATGATAATGAAAAAGGTAAAGTTGTTTCGAGGCGTCAGCCAGTTCTGAATATTGCTGTCAGCATCTTAGGTTCTTTCGGATAGCCGTGCATGGTCCCAGACTTTGAAACAAGAAATCAACTTATTGCCAACGAATATTTAGAGGTACACGTAAAACACTTTCAACAAAGTCATAATTTCTTGTTCATTTTTCCTTTATCCTGTATTCCTCCTACCGCTTGTGCTTTCTTCCAACCGATGGTACTTGTATATCCTTCGCCCCCTGCCAATACAAATCCGCTACACCGTTTTCCGGCGGATATAACCACTGGAGCTGAACGCTGGCTTGCAGACGTATCGACGCCCAATGGAACGGAACTTCCCCTTTTTGAGGATGAGGTATCCCGTTACAGTAAAGAGTGCGAAGGTTGCGATGACACCGTCGCGCACACGCGTCGCCGCTGGTAACTCCGAGCGCATGCTGAGAGACACACTGACAACCGCAAGGGTGGCAAGTGTGGCCTCTAGCATCATATTCAGGAGACTGTGCTGCTGCTGGAAAGTGAATGGCGACTCGTCCCGCTTATCCGGTGCAAAGTTTCCGACGAGTAGGTCGAAGGAGTCCTGGCGAATGCCGTCCGAGAAGTTGTTGAGATAATAGCGAGTGACCGAGTTAATGCCGTCTTGGATGGCACCTGCGATTGTTCGTCTTCCCGTGCGCGTAAAGTCCGTCTTAAGTGCACCTGTGCCTGCGTACATCCTGCTGACGTAGTCTGCGTTGTCAGCCCATGCATTCTTAAAGACAACCTCAAAGCTGTGGTACGGCGAGTCCAGTACACTGTTGTCCTTGTCGCTTCCAGCAGAATTGAACGGGTACAGCTGCAGAGCCATGAGCACCGTACGCCGAGCAAAGAGGCTCATTACGACGTTGGTGCGATCTAAGTTGTCCATGCAGTTAACACGGAAGACGCCACGCTGACGCGAAAGTAGCCTTCCTTCGCCATCACACTCGAACCATCCATACTGTGTGAACTGCTCCTCCACCTCCGTCATGAGCTTGGACAGGTTGTGCCACGCCATCTTGCGGCATTCGTGATGGAAGTCGAACCAGACGTAGGCAACAGGTTCAGCAAAGAGCTGCGAGATCGACGTAGGCGCCGACGGAACCGCAATACTCAGAGGGGGATGCTCCCTTGCGGGGAGCGACGTTGACGACTGCAGTGGAGGAGGAGCTGATGACCCAGATCCCTTGTCGCTGTTGCTGGCTGTAGATGCGGTTGGAGATGCTGCTGCAGATCCTGCTGTACTCGAAGGTCCAAAGCCATTACTTGCGTTGGATCCAGGCACAGAAGGCAGTGAGACCGACAAGCTTTTGTGTTGACGAGGCGACATGGCATGAAGCGCAGGAGACGCCGGCATCGGCGTCGCCGCCGAAGATCCGATGGAGCTCGTTCCGTCTCCCGATTTCGACAACTGATTGTACTTCTTGACGTATTTGCCAAACGCCGAGCCAAGTTGGGCCTGGTCACGCACCGTCGCGCTCTTGCCAGCCTTGTCAATGAGGTTCACGCACGTAATGTGTCCGTAGCGTTGGATAAGGTTGTCCATGTGAGCACGGAAGGCCAATTCGTTCCAGTCAACAACGCTTTCGTGGCCCGAGAAGGCGTAGCGCGTGCGTGGCATGTACTTGAGTGTGACCATCTGATCCCAGTACAGAGGGATGCTGCCTCGCACCTGCACGTACGAGCACACGGCCCTGGACGGTTTAACCAGCAGCATCTCCGTCTCTGCGAAGTTGGCGACGCATCCGTCCTTGTCTACGCCTCGCACGTTAAAGCGAGTGCCTACTCGTCGCCAGCTCCTTCTAGTGAAGAAGAGGATATCGCAGCGCTGGCCGTTGACATCGCATTTCTTTATGACCTTCACGAAGCCCGAGATAACGGGCACAATCCAGTCGCCGAGCTCCAGCTCGATGAACTTGCTCAGCACTGGCTTGTTCCAGAAGAAATCCTCCTCCGCACGCGCGTACAGGGGCGACTGGCGTTGTGCCGCCGACGAGGACGTGGCCGACGCACGTTTCTGGGCCGACAACGTCAGATCCAAGTCGTAACTGAAGTAAAAAGTACGCGAAGCCAGCGCCGACGTGAGCATGCGGCAATATTCCCGCTCATCCTGCTTTTCGCGGGTGCTGGCGTGTTTGAAGAAGCTCTGGTGCGCCGCAGCGCTCACGGGCAGCAGCGTTAGCTCCAGGATACAGTAGATCTTCTCACTATTCGGTCCCGACCCCACCACGCGCGAGTCCGTCACCACCGCCAGATACGGACCGCTCAGCAGCGTGTACACACCGTAAACCGCGTGGATAGGCACCGTGGCCGCGTCTTCGCTGGGTTGCGCAGCACTGTTCTCTAGCTGCTCGATGTCCACGCCGCCAGTTGACGCATTTGCCGTCAGGCGCAGCCACGGCCCGGCACCCGCACGGCAGTCCTCCAGCAGTAACTCCGCCCGCTCTGCATACACCTTGAACATGGTTGAACGTCTGGACTGGGAGGAACTGTGTGTGGCGACGACGCGGTGACCGCCGCTCGGATATTTATACAATAGAGGGGGGGAAGAAGACGATGATGAAACGGCAAAAGCTGTGACTATCTGGAAGTTAAGGATTACGAGGCTACACTGCCGCTTTAGGTATCGATGGAAATGTTGGTAAACCGAATTGCTTCGAAATTAGTTTAAATAATTCACTTTATTGGGAGGCAGCGCTTCAAGACCAACTTACATTGTTTCAGACAGATCTGAAAACAGTGCAATGATGTCTTCCTGGAAGTCATCGTCAATTTGATGATGCAGAGTGATTGCGAGCTATGTATCGTCTAGTTGCTGTCGATGTAATCCAAGAAAAAAGATTGAGTTTCGAGCGACTGAATCTGGTTACGTGAAACAACTCTGTCGAGTGAATAAATCCTTGTATACTTCTGTTGTTATTATCTTTATGGTAGATTATGGTACTCTGTGCTACTCGATAGAAGTGGAGGTCTGCACCGCCCATGTCGTTCGCTTCTTCGAGTCGGCCTCGGTCGTGGAGCGCCGATGATGCCAAAAAAAGTAAAAAATAAAATCTGAGGCCATTGCCGCTGTCGCCCCAGCGCGATTCAACCCATCAACACATTCTTTTACCGACGATGCTTCAGTAGATGGCGCTTCCGTGCACCGAACGACTTGACGCCACGCTCCAGCTCGTAAGTCGGCAGTGCAGGGTCGCTTTCCGTCTTCTTCAACATGCGGCCGCAGTTGGGTACAGGCGAGTGCTCCACAATGGAGAGTCGCGACAGTATCGCTGGTCGCGGCTTCGAATTGATCACTGCAGCTGCCGTCGGTAGAGCGGGCGTCGTCTGCAGCACATCGGCGAAAGTCCGCACCTTCTCGCCGTTCTTGTCTACGACCTCCCAGTCGTCCTGGATCACGACCCATGCGTCGGTGCCGTTGCTGGCAGAGGCCACCTCACTCCAGTCCTCCTCGTCCTCAAGCTCCGATGTTGCGTCGTCGTCCGCGTGCAAGTCTACAAACAGTAGCTCTGTGGGCTCCTGCATACGCGAGGCGGTGGTGATAGCCGCTGTCTCGCGAGTGAGGTCGCTCAGCATGGCGGCCGCCACATCCTCGCGGTAGTTAGCGGCCTCCAGCACGTCGCGGCGGACATCTACTGCCACAGACGGGAAGAATTCGCCCAACACGCGTAATTTCTGTTTGCTGGCCACGGTGTCGATGGGGCGCACGCGGCGCGTGGCTGCCAGCGCCTCCATAATCTCCATCTCGTCCACAAGCCAGCGCTTCGCTGCTCGAAGGTTCGTGCCCTTGCGTGCGCAGCGACTCGCCATCGTAGTAAGTTAAAGTAGTTAGTTGCCTTTGACAGTGCCTGTCACGCACAGGGTCAAATTGAGAATGAGGCTAGAGAATATGATGGGACCAATGTAGAGCTGGCAACTGGTTCTCACAGCAAGTTCTTGCGGTTGTGGGCGACGAAAAGTCGCAGAGCGTCAGTGCTCAGATCGGAATGAGCGGGGTCATGCGAAAAGGCAGTGAGCTAAAAGAGCTATTGCCTGTTGATCGCTGAATTTCGTGGTATTTGATTTCGAGGGGGTTGTTTGCGAAACCAGATGCATGCAATGTCAAACAGAACAACGAGGGGCTCCGAAGTTCGAACCGAACCGATGCGCTTCAGCCACGAGTGCTGGTCATTCATAGTACATGTTTGTCGTACACCAGATCCGACGGCGCCGATAGTTGCCACCTTCGCTCACCACGTCGTCGGAGCGCCTCGGTGAGTGGGGTTCGCAGATGTCCAGCCACGTCCGGCCAAACGACACACGTCACATTCTTCTTCAACGACCATCACTTGCTTTGTAATGTCGACCCAATGTTCCCCCTGTTCGAACGACATCTGTCAAGTGGATCTTAAAGCGTCGCACCATTTCGAATCCGTCCGATAATGGCAGGCGAGACACCCATCGAGTGGGATTCCCTGGTCGTCTGGGAATCCGCCGACACGGCGACTATCTCTTCCACCGATGTACATGACCCGCTCTCCGCTGCTGATGACGCGCCGTTCCCAGTCTGCGCGCCTCTCAACGCCAAGCTCTCGCTTTGGTGCGGCCCGATCTACCGTCTACGCGTCGACGTCGTGATCAATTCGACTTGCGAGTCTATGCGCCAGAGTGACGGCGATTTCGGCAAATTGTTGAAGGCTGCTGGACCCGAGATTGCAGTCGAATGCGACGCCGCTGGCGCGTGTCGCACTGGAGACGCTGTGTTGACGCGAGGGTGCAAGCTACCAGCACAGTTCATTTTGCACACCGTCGGTCCACGATACTTGCCCAAGTATCATAACGCTGCGGAGCATGCGCTGCACTCGTGCTACCGTAGCGTTTTGACAGTCGCTAGAGAGAATGGCCTGCGCTCAGTGGCTACTGGATGCATCTACACACCACGTAAAGGGTACCCGAGAGAAGAGGCTGCTCACATAGCGGCAAGAACAGTGAGGCGCTATCTGGAGCACTATGGTGGCGAATTCGACCGGGTTATTTTATGTATGGAGTCAGTGCAAGACATGAGCGTGTACGAAAGGGTGTTACCGCTTTACTTTCCGCGTAACTTTAGGGAGCAACAAGAGTCTCAGAAGTTGCTGGCCCCTCGAGATCTTGGTACGTATCTAAGCTCAATGGAATGCACAGGTTTCGCAAAGAGGATGCATTCCTAATAGAAATGTGTTCTTCAAGGTAACAGCTTCGGTGAGCCCATCATTGCAGAGCGCAAGATACGAATCGGCAACCTCAGTAGCTCGTCATTTGATCCTGAACAACACAGCAACCAGCACGAGTTTGAGTACTTTCACAAAGAGAACCTACCACCACAACACTGCGCACTATTTGACGATGTCACTACAGCTCTCACAAACGAAGAAGCAGAAAGCGATTTCCAGGCGTTTCGGACGATGCTAGCTGATCCAGACGCGGAGCGCTTAGGAAGACTGCAGCAGATGCAGGAGGAACGGCAGCGTCGAGCAGCGGAGGTTGCAATCGAGGAGCAGAAGCGCCTTGAGAAAGCTACTGCTAGCACTAATGAATGGGACTATGTCGCTGCACTTCAACGCGCGAGAAAGGAAGATTTTTCGGACCTACAGAGCCTCGGATTCTGTTACTGTGGTGGCGTGGATCTCGCGGGGCTGCCTGTAGTCGTCTACCTTGCTGGAAAGTTACGCGTGGACGAACTGGACATGGAGCGTGTACTTCTTTTTGTTCTCTTGACTCTTGACACGCAACGTGCGGCTCTCACGGCAAGTATCTCGCAATTTAGCATGCTTTACGTGCACTCGGACGTGACAAACGATAACCAGCCGTCCACTGCTTGGCTCAAGCGACTCTTTCGTGTGTTCGCTGCAGTGGCAGCATGCCACGCTTCAAGTGATCAACCTCTGCATAACAAAGAGACCACTTCGGCTCTTCGCTTTTTCTACGTGTTGGAGCCATCCTTCAGCTTAAAGATCCAGTTACTGCTGTCCAAGGGATACTGTGATGGTGGTGGATTCTACAACCAGGTCGTGTATCTGCAGAACTCCGACATGTTGGACAGCATTGCTCCGAAGCTCCAACTGCCACCGCATATCTACTCGTCCGTGTGAGTTTTGATTCTTACTTGGTGTGAATTGGCCGAAAGTAACCCCATAGCTTGCACCGTTCGTTGTAAGAGAGGATAGAGGCATTTATTTGTCTTTTTCAGTACATCTACTGCTTCCATTTTGACACCTGCTGTACGATCATCACCGATTGCGCGTCGGAGCCTGCGACGAGAGTGTCGGACTCTGCATGAACTGCCAGGGCGTTCCACGGCAGAGATCCAGAGACGATCGGCTGTACCTGAAGGCCACCCAGCCCCTTAGAGAAGCCGTTGGAAGAAGACGCTCCTAGCGAGCCGAACGGGGTCGAGATCTGGCTACCTGAAGATTCACTGTAACGCTCATACTCGACCGGGTCGCGAGGGTTGCGACCGTGGTGGAAGTTCCAGCAGTTGACCACGGCATCGTCGCCACCAGTGAAAAGATACCGAGGAGATGCAGAGTGCAGCTTCAGCGCTCGAACGGCACGTTGGTGGTATCCCTCGGTGCGGAACGGTGCGTCAAATTTACGCCGATCCCAGAAGCTGATGCTGCCGTCGTCAGCGCCAGTGATCAGCAGTTCAGGTCGTGTTGGGTGCGTCTCTAATGTTGTTAAAATGCTTCTCGTGCTGGGGCTACAATGAAACCATTCCAAGTAGAATTAGCCCGTTAGCGTATTTCAAGACGCGAAAACACAATTGAAGTGCAGCCATCTAACGTACGCGCCGCAGGTCGTGACAGGGAACTGATTGTTCACCGAAAGATCCCAGACGCGAAGCTGGCTTCCAGGTGTCGAGCTATCAAAGTAGATACACATTAGCTCACAAACCTCGCACACTTTCCATGCACTAATGCTTGAACATACCCAGCAGTGGCAACGACAGAGTCACGTCCCAAAAACTTCACTGCGTTAATCGGAAGTCTGCTCGTGTCCTTGTTCTCTGCGCACGTTCAACATCCACAAACAGCTTCCAGCGTCAGTTTCTGCGTCGCATACCCTTCAAACCCATACCTACCAATCTTCTCGATGCTCACAGCATCATCCAGCTTGAGCCATGCCAAAGCTCCACCGGCGCTGGCAGTCACGAGACTCGTTCTGTTCTCGCTGACCTCCACACACGTTGCTGCAGTGCCGGCAAAAACCTGCTCCCACTGTGGCACAGAAAACGCATCCAGCGGTTTGGCAGAGTCTCCGTCGGTCATGGATGCACCGTCGTCTCCAGCACTGGAAGACACACGGAAGGCGAAGATGCCGCCCGCCGAGGACGCACTGATCAGCAAGTTCTCGCCCCTGGTCGACACGAACTGCAGAGCATTTACATCTCCCTCGTGCTCCACTTCGGCCAGTGTGCTCAACTCGCACGGACGCGCATCACCTTCTCCACGTCTAGCAACATCAACACAATTCCAATCAGTCGTCTCCTGTATTGAGCATCGATTTTCCTGCTACAAACGCACCCAAATTCCCTGCGGAGCTCCCTTTCGTCACGGGTTGGTCGAACAGGCAGATGTAGCGATACGTGGTTGGTCTGTAAAACAAAAAGACGGTAAGAATTGAGAAGCTAAAAGCGTAAATTATCGACATTGGGAGCCGAACAGCACTGACTCACCTCGTTGTCCCATCCACCAGTCGCTACCAAAGGAAGTAGCTCATACTCCTCTTGAAGCGTCTCGGACGCATACCGGACATCGCTCACCACACACAGAGCCTTAACCTTCTCAGCCACGAAGTGTCTCGACACGGAAGCGCTCATGGTGTTTTGCCTGCTTGCCGTAACTAGCTCGCTGGTGTGCGCCACACATCTCAAATATAACTGTACCAAACTAACGGTACGGTGTTGCAGTGCCATCAAGATGACGTTGTATGGATAACCTTTCCTGTTGATTGTAGGACCTCTAAAAGCTCTACTGCCTCCACTACCAATCTCCCCATTCTCTTCTTCTCTACAATATGACGCGCACGTTCGCCAAGTAAACATGACAATCTCCGCCAAAAATCGCTCTCGTTGTCCGTCGATGTGTCGTCGCGGGCGCAATCACAAGAGCCAATCGACTACAGGTTGGGCTGCCTAAGTACTTACTCAGCCTTGGGTGCACGACGGCGCCGGGGCTTGGCTGCATCGGCGACAGTCGTCTCGAGTGATTTCTTCGGCTCTTCCTCGACAGACTCGTCCTCCTCGCCCTCCGAGTCGCTGCGAATGTCCTTCTCGACATTGCCGTCGCCCAGCGCCTTAATCACCATCTTGACGATCAAAACGCCCCAGTAGATGTGGAGCACAAGCAGCAGGCACAGGAAACCGAAGTAGATGACCCATACCGAGTACCACACATCGGCACTGATGCCGTGGAAGCTACCGGCCTTTGTGATCGGTGCGATAATGTCCTGGTAGGCGAACACGTAGGCACTGTGCAAAATATTGTACGAGTAAAAGAACCAGCGCACCAGGAACCACACGAGCGCGAACAAGCCGAAGAAAATATTAGCCACTGTCTCCCATTGGAGGTAAACGAACACCTTGGCTGCAATAAATAACAGCCAACAAAGCACCGGTCAGTAAATATCTCGCAAAAGTTGTAGATAACAATTGCTGCACCCAGCAAACGTACCGGTCTCGAGCAGCAGGTCGTTGACGTCGTGAATCATGAGCACGCAGATGCCGATCTTAGTCAGATCGACGTAATACGAGAAGAGCATAAGCGAGATGGTGGCAAAGTGATGCACAAGCATCTCAGCATTGTCCTTGCGCTTAACCGTGTAGTGCTTGTTGGTAATGTTGAGCATGAAGTCGATGCTCTGGAACCAGAAGCTCAGGTAAATCATGTAGTACCAGCGCTGGGCCTCGTTGGCCACATACGGGAACTCCTTGAAATATTCCTCCTTATTGAGGAACCACGACTCATTCCAGCCAACGTAGTACCCGAAGATGTGGAACGCGCCCACCGCAGCATTCTTGTACAGCGACTCGCGCATCTTGTCCTCCTTCTCCTTGCCCAGCCAGCCCTTGCGCATCATGTAACGAACGGCCGGACGGATGAGCACCGTGTCCACCACAAAATGGTAAGCATACAGACCAGCCATGGCCATGCCGAAGCGCTTGGCCTCCTCCATGGGGTCGCACTCGGTCAGGAAGCACGGCATGCTTGCTGGAAGTCTCTACTGAAATGCGCCCGACGCGTGGACTTTTGCACTGTGTGAGCCCATGTGCCAAGGACCTCCCGTCTGAAGCTGCTTCCAGCTGTTTTTTTGTTTATTTTCGACCAATCGGTGGCGATGGCTACAAAGATGGCAAGATGGCGGCAGGCACGGCCGTGAAGATCCGTGCACACGGCTACGCTTGGATTCACTAGAATTTGGCGGCGGGAGTCCAGCAGCATTGTGTCCAGTCGTTTGGCTACGTCAAACGCAAGAGAAACGATTCCATGCGTTCCGTAAAATCACTTCAATGCGACCAATATCGCGTTCCGTAAACCACGCCTTGGAAGATGTTCATCTGCTGAACTGCAGGCGGCATGATGCAAGGCTGGCCAAGAGTGGAGCTAACCGAAGTTAAAAACATGATGGGCGGTGTAATGTTTCGTATGTGTGACAGCAGATGTGCATTGAATTCAAGCAACGATGGAGCAACGAAAGGATGAAAGCGGTCATGCAATCTATTCAGATTCTGGAGTTACCAAAGTGCTCAGTGCATCTCGCAGTCGTCGACATCTTCGTCTTCAATTTGCTCGGCGATGATGCGAGCCACGTATCCGTCACCAACGATATTGCACACAGTCACTAGTCGTCCGAGGAACCAACTGATGGCCACCAAGTAGCTGTAGCTCGCGGGTACTTCTTCACTTGGGTATATCGTCGTCCAGATGGAGTAGATCATGACGACGCTGGAGTTCGGAATGGGTGCCGTGCCCATGGAGCCAAGCACCGACAAAAGCAAAATGAGAATCAGCTGCATCCAACCCAACGACACTGCATTCTCGCTGGTAGAGACCAAGAAAACTAGGGCACATGGAAAGTAAATGGCCGAGCCGTTCTTGTGCAGGATGCAACCAATGGTGACCACAAACTGCACAAGGCTACGAGGAACCTCTCGAGTGGACTCCACACACCGTAATGTCACTGGAAGCGTCACCAGTGATGACGACGAGCCCAATGCAAACATTGCGGCTGGAAGCATGGCGCGCATGTACGGGAAGGGATTCTTCCGCAATGTTAACCAGAGCAAGATAGGAAAGAACACCAGCTCAAAGATAACTATTGAGAGGATCGTGCACAGCACGAGTACACCCACATGGCGTGCAGCTTCACCCAGCATTTCCTGTCCGGATAACGAGCCGGCCACGAGTGACATCACGGCAAGCGGGCTCCAGTCAATCGCTTTGCTAATCACTCTGAAAAACACCTTGTTCATTTGCTTGAGCACGTCAAGTAACGGGCTACTTTCTCGAGAACTCGTTTTTACTGCAGCAGCTCCAAAGGCGATGGAAAACGTGGTCACACTCAGTATCAGACCTTGTTCGAAGCTGGAGAAAATATTGGACGGAACGAGTTGGTTCAGGATGTCCGTGATTTGCATGGACACGGTAGCTGCGGCGCTTGCTGTTCCATCAGTCAGGAGTACCTTAGTGGGATCGAAAAACTCGAATCGCGTCGTGCTGTCCATCGAAGGCGCAGAGCACGAGGCTAGGCCTGTGGAATTGTACGTCAAGAAACTGCCATTCTCGCACATAATACTGAAGGATGCCGATGAAGTCTCGGCGACTACGCCCTTGGTATGTGGCACAAGATCACGCAAAAGCATGGAGATCAAGAGAGACAGCATCGATCCTACGAATGACAAGCCTGTGAATATCAAAGCAGTGCGAGTGCCGACAATCGACACTTTTCCAAGTAGTACGATGTCGGCTACGGTTGTGGACAAACTTGTGAACACCATGGGGACGACGAAGCACTTGAGTACCTGTAGAAACACTTTGCCCGGCAGATTCACGAGGGTACTAACATCGTCCGAGACGTCCAGGTTGGCCAGAATCATCCCCAGTATCAGACCGGCAATAGCGCCCAGCATGATCTGCGTTGTCGATTCTCGCATGAAGCCGCATCTGCGGACGCGATCCGGGTAGATAACCTCCGGCTGTGGAGGTGTAGATTGGAAAGCGTACTGGTGTAGCGGCGGGTTACCGAGTCCTGACTTGGAGTTCGAGTATCGCAACAAGCCAGCGCGCTCGAACATGCCCGTGATGGGGTTGTAAACCTCCTCGCCCTCGCTCTCGGTGGGCGAGATCGGATCCACGTAACCGGACGCCACGTGATTCCCATTCGATGCGTCATACAGGACCACACGGGGTCGATGGGCCATTTCGGGAGTAGCAGTACAGAGCGATTGTGCCGCACAAATTGTGCGAGAGAATGCGATGCGGAGTTTGCTATTCGTAGCAGCGACGCCAGCACATTCCCATTGCCGACGTTGACATGCTAAAGTTGAAGTTGGATTGTGCGCCACACCATTTGGGTCGCAAAGACGTGCGTAATCAAGCATCCTGTGTAACTAAATATTCGATGTTGAAATGAAAGTTAGTTTGTTAGAATCTACATACTTAATGATTCGTTTCTGTCTGTTTAATCTGATACAAGCTTGTCAGCAAAGATACTTCAGTAAAAAGAAGGGTCTTGTTTTTGGCCCCACGTTGTTGTCAACACTAAAGAAGTCTCATCGTTCAGCTTTTGCTTCTTCCTGCGTTGTCTCCATGTCGATCCACGTGCGCTCGCAGCTCTGTACGCCTGTAACTTAGCTTAGCATCAGTATGTGTGCTCTAATTGCATGTCTGCTGTAGTTCTCATCCGCCCGCAGTCGCTTAAGCTCGGGACGCGCGCCATGTCGGTGGGAAAGAAGTTGCAGAGCCGCAGCCAGGTGTTAGCACTTCGAGTGCCGGCGCGTGCTCTTCCCCGCAATCCGCAACTAGTGGTGGCGGGCGCCGTGCTGAGCGCTTCGGTATCGCTATTGCTGAAGGAGTCGGTGCTGTGCCAGGACGCGATGGTGCTCGCAGCCGCGGTACGAATGCTTGCAAACTGTTGGAGGTGAGTCATTGATCTAACCGCTGTCACGTTTGCAATACAGGAGGGGCCATCGGGCAGTGGTGACCCCAAGAAGAAGGACGACCCTGTGGAGAAGATCATCGATGTGGTGCTGTCGAACTGCGGAGAGCTCACGCTGGCAGGCGGTCTGGGTTTCTGCTCAGGCTACGCGCTCAAGCAGGTGGGCAGGGCCGCAGCAGTGGCGGTGGGTATCGTCTTCGTCATGGCGCAGGCGGCCGCCTACAACGGCTACATCGACATTAAGTGGGGCAAGGTGCAGAAGGACATGATCGCCAAGGTCGACCCCAACGGAGATGGCAAGATCGACAGCGAGGACGTCAAGCTCTGGTACAGGAAACTGCTCAAGATCATGAAGACGAACCTGCCGTCGTCCGCAGGTTTCTCCAGCGGCTTCGCACTTGGTGTCTACTACTCGTGAACACTGTGCGTAAGTCAGTGAGATGGTCGTCTTCTCCTTCTTTATAGTATGATGTTCCTATGTCAAGACAACGTGGTGGTGGACCATTTGTGACAAAAAATAAACATCAGATTGCTACAAAAATGGTTGAACCTTCCGCCCTACTCAGTGGGGAAAGCCTTGGCTAGAAACCCGACAATAATGGAGCGGTCGTCTGCACTCGTTACACCCATGCTCTTGAGCTCGCGTGAAAACGCTGGTACACTGCTGATCCCGTTGCTGATAAGGTTGAGTCCTAGGGTGGCGTACAGGATGATCTCTGGCCGCGTGAACGATAAAAACGTTTGCTTCGCGCTCTCGGAGCACGTCGGAAAGCAGTCCTGCCACATCTTCTCCCGTAATCGCGACTTCATGTCGTTATCCGCCACCTAAGGTGCAGCCAAGCACAAACATGGGGTCATTAGACATTTGCTATCCACAGAAACTCACCACTGTCCAATATCGTACCGACACAGGAATGGGTGGGGGCATCTCGGTTCCATCTTGCTCCGTCTGCAATAGCAAACACACACGAGTGTATCAGCAACAGAAGCGTACATTATAAGCCCATGGCTTGCCGAGAAAGGGGGCGAGGCCCTACCGACAAGCCAGCTGTGCGGAGCTCGTGGGCACGGAGATGGAATCCCCGTGCGGTCAACTGCGTCGCCTACAGCAAGGACAGCACCAGCCAACCAACGACCACATCCCAAGTGGGTAAATCGTTCCATGCCCAAGCAACAAAAGATCATCCAACACTACAAGATGCATTCGCTATCGTTTCGTACCGTCGGGTCCTTCTCAATGTAGATTCGGTATGCTTCATTTGTCCGCAACCGCGGTGTGTACAGCTTGGTTTTCCACTCCTGCCAACAATTGATAATATTTTTTTAATCCTCTGGATCGAATCCAAGAGTGGTGGTCATAGAGAGGAGCTCCAGGACGCACCTCCGTCTCGTCCTCGTCGTAGTCGAACTCGATTGGGGCAATCCAGCCTCTCTCCAACAGTCTAGCCAGTATATGACCAGCCATTCTTGTCCTTGCCTCACCCACCAGCGTCGTGGCTGTAGCAGTAGCCGTCGGTGCCGTGGACGCACTGCCGTCCACGACGAGGTCCGAATCGCTCTGGTCGCGCTTAGCTGCCGTCATTTGAGTGGTAAAGAGCTGAACGCCGTCGCGCTCTAGCCACTCACGCAACACTGTCTCCTCCATAAACTCCATGTCGTTCTCGTCTGACGTCTCCAGAATGCCAGCGTGCTCCAGCAACACCACGAACTCGTCCTCGCTCATTGTTGCAACGTTGGTCTCTAATACGCAGTGGCCAAAAGTTGTTGACTCAAATGTGGCAGTTGGTGTCTACAGCACTGTTACCGCCACAAATGTAGACTCCTGTCACAAGATTATCAGACTTGTCCCACTTTTCGACTCTGTCTCTCTGTCCGAAATGGGTACAGTTGGTGACCGCAACTCAAGTGCCACTTTTTTTAATAGCGGAAGAGCGAGCTTGTGGCACATCAGGCTATGGCCGTGTGTCTTCGGTGAAGAATGTGGCAGCGGTGAGCCTGGTGCTGCCGTGCATCTGAGCCGTCTAACATTACTGCAAATATAAATTTCATGACGAATATCCACTCCGCGCTCGGATGTTTCGTAATGTTAAAGCGGCATTCGCAGCTTTGCCACAACCAGTTCGTCACTCCAGGCAGAACCGATGTGGAAGAGATCCCTACTATCGTTAATTGCCTCCAACGCAGTGATGTCACTAGCGATCGTGGTTGGTCTGCAGGAGTTCCAGGGACAAGCAGCTTCCTTTTCAGGCGCAGATTATGCGGATGACTACGCCGTTATGAGCTGTGCACGAACGGGGGTGGCTGCAGGCACGACGTGTGCTGGGAAGTGTGCAGCGGTTTGGCGCGACGGTGACGAGATAGGAGACGATAAGTCAAGGACTCGGCAAGTGGTTCGAATAGCGAATCAATGCGCTAATAACATCGACGGAGACTTGATTTTGACTCAAAACGCTTTTCAGAAGCTCTCAGACGCGAATTCAAATCGAGTTCCGATCCGGTGGAGGTGCATAGATTGCTTGGCCAGTAATGACGGCTCCGCTGGTTCCAGCGACGTTGGAATGGCACTATCAATGGTTTTTGGTGGTGATTTATCGCTTGGGGAGCTCGAGTATTCCGGGTATGCTGACACAGATACCCCTCAAGATGAAATAGCGGCGATGGAAAATAACAACGGTAACGACAAGAGCACAAGCGTTAGCGAGAGCGACGCCAGCACCGGTGTCAATGTGAGCGAGGGAAATAACATCGATGGTAGCGACAATAGCAGCAACAAGATTTGGTCTGGTTCTGAATCAAATGGGCAAACACAGAAAGTAGCTCTAACCAGCCCTCCAACTGGGCCGATTCCGTCATACACACAATCGCCGTCGGCGTCTTCAACACCGATGCCAGCGACGGCAGTCTCTTCTTTCGATGGGGCATCTTGGTCCGTTCCGCTTACATCGGCCCCATCAAGCAGCGAATCCAGTACTTCGGTCTTCCCACCAGCAACAACTAGTCCGGCGACTGGAAGCTCATTTGGAATGGTGGAGATTCCTGATGATGAAACTCCACACGAAGATGTCGATGCGCATTCCACTTCGCTTGATTCATCACGAAGTACTTCAATAACCATCACCAACGAGAAGAATCTGTCTACTGTTTCACCGTTGCCATCGCCCACTCAATCATCCAGAGGCAGCGCAGACGGAGGCTCTCGTGACGGCGTCGCGTCTCCTACATCAGCCGTGTTAAAAAGCCCATTCTTCTATGCGTCGATCGTACTGGGGATCGCGGGTTCAATGGGGGTCATCGTCGGATGTCGAGCGAAACGGAAGAGGAAACAACATAACGAAACTGGAACCGTTAGCGCATCGAGGCACCTCGCAATGTCTCCAATGTATGGATACAGCCAGCCGGAGTCCTGCCCCGTAGACTCCCAGATCCGCTGCAGTAGCCATAGCATTATCGTTTTGTGAGCAAAGTCAAATGTGAGGAAACCCAATCAAATATATATATATTTTGCGATGTACCTTGCTAGCACAGAAGCTTGCTGCACACAACTTCTGCTGTAGCAGCCGATACTGCAATTGTACCTCTTCACCTGAATGTTGAAGTTACTTAACTGAACATCGGACATTTACACATGGACATCGAAGTGACCTAACTGAACTGTTAAAAGGTTTCGCTTGCGTATCCCTGCATTGTTCTTCCATCATCTTGTGGTTCGACCGGAAACTCTCGAGGTTGAGACGAAGGCTGCCTGGCCCTACGTCGACTTTGTATATTTGCAGTCTGTCCGCTGTCACTTCACATTCGTCACCAAAATGGACAAGCACGTTCTTTCCGTAGTCGTTGCACTGCTGTTGCTAGTCGCCACCTTTGCTCGAGAAGCCAGCAATTCGTCATCGACAGACACTGCTGGCAGCTCGATAGTCGACGTCTCGTCAAGTCATGCCATTGTCAACACTGGAGGCACAGCGCATCGTATGACAGTAAATCCACAAGACCCTACTTCGGAAAGCAGTCTCTCAAGTCACAAAGCTACTGTTGGCGATGGTGAGTTGCGCTATCTAGACACCGATCACCCCCAGGTTCCGTCTGCCTCCAACTTTGAATCGGTCACCGGATCGACTACTTCATCGTCGCCACCACTATCTTATGCCAGCTCGGACGCCGACAGATCACCGACTACTTCACCAGAATCTATCTACGATTTCCACAGCAACGACGCAGGTATACACGATCACGGAGCTGGCACCGCCGGGGGCACCTCAAACGAGGAGACTGGAATTGTTGGAGATCCTGAATCTTTCTTATCGTTACGCTCATACTCTGAAAGTGCAGCATCCTCGCTCTACAACGAATTGTTGACTACTTCTCTCTCAGAGGATGAAAGAGAATCTGCCGCTACAATCACCATTATTGATAGCGCCCCCAGCTACTCCGCAGGCACTGTCACACCAGCAATTCAAAGCGCTGCACTAGAGCTCTCCACCTCTTCAGACGAATTGCAGAACACGCCATCTCCTTCCACATCCAGCAAAACGGCAACTTCAACGATTGACCAAGCGACAAACAGTAACCAAGCCGACGATAATGACGGAATCAGTAGCAACTTCACCACCACCAGCAATGATAGCCCCGTTGTCTATGCAAGCGTCGTGCTGGGTGTCGTGGGCCTCATTGGTGCTGTCATTCAGGCCAAACGAAAGCACCTCGGCAGCGATAAGTGGAGGGCTACCACTGAGGTGGTGACGCCGCACATGCCCCGTGGAACCGCATGGGTGCATTCAGATGATACTCAAGTACGCGTAATTATCGACAAAAACAACATCGCTCTGCTCTAGTGTGTACCAAGAGCATTAGCAAATTGTCCCAGTCGAAAATCTAGAATGATTGTCACTTTCATTTTCCTCCGTTTTTTGTTGCGATGAGCTCGAGGAAGGAGGAGCCATTGCCGCTTGGGGCTGTGCGCACCGCCGACGGAGGGGTGGTGGTGCCGGCGTCGCGCCGCGCGGACGGATCTACACGCAAACCCATTCGCATCCGCCAGGGCTACGTGCCGCAGGACGAGGTTCCTAAATACAAGACCGTCGCTCAGCGAGTATGATCCGCCCTCCATCCTGCAGTCAAATAATGCTTATCCAATAGTCCGACCTAATAACGTTGTGCTTCCGTCTTCGGCGTGTAGCGACGCGAACAAGAAGCGAAACGCGCGGCCGAAGCGAAATCGGGCGGCGATGCTACAGTTGATGAGCTCCCGATGGACAAATTATCACTGGAGCAGAAGAAAGAGGTCCCAGATGCCAAGGAACGACCACATACTAGTAATTTAGCTTCTCGTCAGGAGCAAGAACGTCGACAACAAGGAAAGAATACGAGAGCGGCGGCAACCGAGTCGGGTGATACAAATGGAGATCATCAGAAGCAGCTGAAGCGCCAGCTAACAAAGATCAACAAACAGCTCAAGGAGATAGCCAAACTGGTAGACGCGGGGGACGAATCGCTGACTGCGCAGCAAAAGCAGAAGATAGCTCGAAAGTCGGCACTGCAGCAAGAGAGAAACGAGATCATTGCAGAGCTCAATGGTGCCACCGTCACGAGAAGCAACAGCTCCGGTAGTGGTCCACGCCCCAAAGTTGCCATCAGTCTGTGATACGTAGGTAAACGGATAGAGTACGGGTAGGTCAGTTGCTTCACGCTCAGTTCTTCATCGAAGTAGCAAGTCCAGCTTTCGTGGTGTAGCTCGATTTACTAACATCATCCAAGCGGAGAAAACCGATCGTCTCTTCAGCGCCTGGGTCGTGCCAAAATTCAGGTAATCACCTCCATTCACCAAATTTGAATCGCGTCTTTCATGGAATCGTCTTCGTTATCTAGTATCAAATTCCAGAGGTCAAGGATCTTGCCTTTTTTCGGCCACAAAAAAAGATTGTGAACATGGCGGACGACGGAGCAACAAACGTACCGGTGGTGCCGGCCCAGGAGCAGGCGAAGAAGAAGGAGAAGGCGCCTCTCCACTTTGAGGACGAGGCAGGTCTCTTTAAGACCGTATGCCGGACCTTTATGCACAAGAAAAAGTGTACGCGTGCCGGCTGCAAGTTCGTGCACGACAAGCAATTGTGCCCACATTATTGGAAGACAGGCCAGTGCAAATTCGGCGACGAGTGCCGCAAGAACCACTTTGTTACCCTTCCCGACCCGAACACTAAGGAGACGGCGGATGCTACAGCTGCTGCCGCCGTCTCGGGCGACGAGGAGCCCGAAAAGAAGAAGAACTCAGCCAATAAGCCGAGGGACAAGAAGTCCAATAATAAAGAGAACAAGCCCAAGACTGGCAAGCCTAGCGACAACAAGGCAACAAGCGACAGACCCAAGGAGGAGGCGGTGCCTGTAGACAAAAACGATGCCGAGAAGAAGGCCAAGAAGAAAAAGAAGAACGAGCGACGTCAGTCCACCAAGAAGAACACTGAGAGCTTCGCGCCCATGACCAAGCCTGTCGATCTGCGCATCACCTACGATCTAGGAACGAAGGACGAAAAGTTCTCTACGCCTCTGACCTCACGCGACGTGGTTCTTGTGCCCAACCTCTTCAGTGATTTCAAAAAGGGTGAACTATACGCCAAACTCATGCACGAGCTTGATAACTGCGGCATCCCTCGTGAGCAGTTGCTCAAGATGTGGCACGGCAATGACAAGATTGATGGCACGCATCTCATCGTGGATGACCGCTCCACCTGGAAGGCCAAGTGCCCTACGTTCGATCTTGTCACGGATCGACTGAAGAATTTTTTCAGTCTGGACATCAAGGCAACGCGCTTCAACTGGTACAAGGACACCTCCCAATGGAAACCCTTCCACTTTGACGCCGCTGCAGTTAAGCCTCACATTGCAGCTATCCAGAACTTCACGGTTGGCATCTCGTTCGGTGCCACCCGCGACGCTGCCTTTGAACATGCCGAGACGAAGACGGTGGTGAGCGTGCCGCAGCCGGATGGATGCGTGTATGCTTTCTCCAAGGACACGAACGTGATTTGGCGCCACGGTATCTTGCAAGACGTGCCTGTACGGGAGGAAGGCCGCATCTCGGTCATCGCGTGGGGATGGGTGGACAACATGGCGGAGGTTGCGACTTCAGCTGCGGCAGCGTCGTAGAAGATTTTAAACAAGGACTTTCAGTTCCACGGAGAGGTTGCATACGTTGGTGCTGAATACCGTCAAGGCGAGCGATGATAACAGCAACACTAGCTCTTCCCAAAATACAGAATGTCGTTGCACTTCAATGTGAAGTTGCCAAACACGCTCTGCAATTACTCGAATCTGCTGCCGTCTAGCATGATCTCACACTCGCTCTGCTAGGCGTACCGTGATGAATTGCGAGTACAGCACAATTTCACCACCACGAACAAGATAACTGTACAACCACCTTGCTGTAAGTATCTTGTTCAATGTCGAAAACGCAAGAATGGTGGTCGAAGAGGGCTTCTCGCTAGCATCATGTAATTAAAAAAATGCGCCTAGGCTGCAGGTTTGTGCCGATGCCGCCACTTCATGGCGACAAAAATGCTGAAGATAGTACGTCAAAGCAATGGCCGAGCTGCACCCTTCCAACAAGGCGAAAGACGGATGGCTTGATATTGTTCGAGTGGCGAAGGCGAGACTGATTAAGCCTCGTAGTGTAAGATACTTACTCGATACATACTCATTACGAACTTTGTGATCTTGGTACATATACTGGATGAGATCGAATCTTGACGAAGCGGAGGTAACCCTACCAAGTTGGCAGTATCAAGCGGTATTCTCCTCTTACATAGAGCCAAATGATCCTATTTCGTGAAGATGGGCTGATAAATCAAAAGACTTCTTGACGGTAGTCTTTATGAAGCGCAAGAGGGCGGGTAGGCAGCATGTGCTCGTTTATATCTTCTCTGTTCACTTGGCTACCGCCTCTGGCATGTTGGGCAAGCAAATTCGCACTGAGCCGGCTGTAGGCTACTTTAGTATATAATATTTGATATTTGCATAATTAGCGTAAACCTGTAAATATTTTGCTAGACCCAACAGTAAGTGTCCTTAAATGAGTTTTGAGCCCTGGTCGCAGATGTTCAGCGTTTCTATTTTCTTACTTTTTTAGCCACGCGGCCTGCAGCCGGAGATGGGCGCCCTGAAAAACAGTTTTTAACCAATCTAATCTCTCAAAAGATAAGATTCCGCCAATGGATAGCAGGCATTTTGCCTCTAAGCCTAACCACTGTTGCTTCCTTTACGTTACCCACCGCTCAGCACCCAGAGCCGATAGTGAGGCGTTTTGAATACGGTGAGTGTTTGTCAGTACTCAAATACCCACCGATAATCTCGGACATTCGGCATTTGTCGCACCTAGTGCGCACGAACGATCATCTTGACAGCAGCAAAACATTTTAACGTTTTACTATCGCATTACACGCAGCGGGAGTGCTCAACCGTAGGCCGGAAGCCTGCATTTTCGACCAATTTTGAGCAGGATTGCTTGCAAACAGAATATCGTGTCATACCAAGGCTGCTCCACTAGGAATGGAGCTGACTTGGTATGATACGATATTTTATTATTCTGCGAAGTTTCTCTCCTCTTCAAAAGACCAAACAACTTCAGAAATGCCTCGTTAGCCCTATGGTCGGACATTCAGATTCTCTGAAGTTGTTTGATCCGATTTGGAAGTGTTCCATATCTGCAGCGCAGCTCTGAACAACTAAGAAGCAAGCTTCATTAATTTCTTGATCAAGTGCTACGATAGGTATGCCTGATGCAATCATAGCCCCGTGCGGGTTAGCACGAGCCTTGTGTTAGATACCTTATGTGGTATGTTAAATCAATTGACCGGGCTACAACTACATTCCGTGATGAATTAATTGACAGGGGGTGTAGTAGTAGCCCGGGTCAATTGATTATCTCCGACACCATCAAGCAGACCTGGGGAAGGTAGATACCGGCACTTAATATATGCCTACATGCACCTGCTGATCAGATGCTGCTCTAAGACTCTAGGTTATAGCGTCACAATACAACACTGCATCGTCTCCCCTCACCTTGCTTGACCATGTCAACGCTGAACAGGATCACCCCGATGGCTTACAGAATACATGTAGCGTAGATCAAGATCATTTTTGGGTACAAGTTCGCAATAGCGCTTGCACACCTTCTCGATCATGCTAAAGCAATATCCCCATGCCAGAATATATCCGCTGACACGCTCCTGCTCATGAAGTATTTGGTAAGTACCTGTTTTCCATCACTTTCATTATTTAACGCGCTTAGAATCGTTATCGTGACTGCTCGAGAGTCGAACTGTTCGAACACAGAAACACTTCGATAGTGGCCGCCAGAGTGTATGCTTTGCTTTTGGCACTCACCATTGTAATGTTTCGGTGTGTACCCGAGGATTTCGTCGTGATACAGATGGCATATTTTGGACCAAAATTGGTGATGGCAGCTTGGTTAGTCACGTCCATTCTCGGCCACGCGCCGATCAAAAATATCGGCACCTGGACGCATTAGGCCTCGGACGTACTTCTTGTACCTCACGGTCGTGCTTCCTGGGCTGCTATTATACGCATACCGTTGATACTCATAAATAGGGAACTTCGAGCCACAGTGTAATTTAGCCCATAGTGGAGAGATGCGGCTGTTGAAGAAGCAAGCCAGTGTGGCGTGGGCTCCCTTCTGTGTGAATAAAAACCTTAAAACCTCGTAGGCGATTTTGCCCGTTTTGGCTCGCACACAGTCCCCAGTTCACAACAGCAGCAGTCCCAGCCAAGCCAAGTCAACCAGCAAGCAACGGCAACAATGGCACGCGGAGGAGCAGTCGGACGCCCGAAGAAGGATGGAGACCACACGCGCAAGCCTCGCAAGAAAAAAGACAAGAACGCACCCAAGCGCGCGCTGTCGGCCTTCATGTTCTTCAGCAACGACATCCGCGAGACTGTGAAGAAGGAGATGCCGGACTTGCAGTTCCTCGAGATCTCAAGTGAAATTGGTCGTCGCTGGAAGCAGATCTCCGACGAGGATCGCCGGGTGCGTTGAAATGCTGCTGTGCTCTGTTAGATACGCTGTCGCTGACCTTGTTTTGTATTTTTTTTACAGCCGTACGATGAGCTGGCCGCCGCTGACAAGCGGAGATACCAAGAGGAGAAGGAGGACTACGTTCCTGACCCGTCTTTTGAGAGCACCAAGGGCTCCCGCAAGAAAAAAGACCCGAACGCCCCCAAGCGTGCGCTGTCCGCTTACTTCTTCTTCTGCAACGACATCCGCCAGGAGGTGCGTGACGAGAACCCCAACAAGAAGATCACGGAGATCGCCACGCTGCTGGCCGAGAAGTGGCGCGCGCTGCCAGACAAGAAGCGCGCCAAGTATCAGAAGTTGCACGAGGAGGCCAAGGCCAAGTACCAGCAGGAGATGGACGCTTACAACTCGCACGGCGCAGTGGAGCAACACGACGACGAAGAGGAGAACGACGACGACGATGAGGATGAGGAAAGCGACGATTAAGCTGATGTGTCGGCTAGCCTTCTCTCTGATGCGAAGCAAGGTCGACCAGCAGCGCCTAATCTTTCTTTTAGCTCGTAGTAGTAGCAGGTCAACACACACGTATCCTCTTTTTATTCCTTCAAACTTTTGGTAACGTTCGTGCGTTTTCCCTTTCAACGTGTCCACGAATGTACGTGGCGTCCTCTCGGTAGTCGACGTTCCAATTCCTGTTGTGTCCTTGCGTGTAACAATTGTTACGAACGCAAGAACACCCTCGGAAATGTACTTGCCGTTTGTTCACATCTTTGTGTGCATGCTGCGGATGCGGTACCCAGCTGGCCGGCTTCAAGTTCAAGTGAAATGGCCAATCACTACGGCGTTACGAACGCAGCTCTGGAGACGCATCTACGGGGCCCCAGCGCATGCACCGCGTCTCCTGGTGACGTTGCCGGCACATCCACGAGGACGCAACTAAGCTACAAACGTGCATGGAACAAATTGCAAGTGTTCCAGGGTGCTAGTGTTTGTCTAAGGATGTATATGCAGATATCGCTGAGCTATTTGAAAATCTGTGGCTTATAAGGCTAATGCAGCAGCACGTCGAAGTCGGGAGTCACCACGAGGTGGCGCTCTACGTTTCCTAGGATGCTCAGGTGCTTCTCCGACGTGTTAACGGCGTAAATCTCCTCGCAAAAGGACGGCGTCTGCGCTGCCGCCACCTCGAACTGCTTGTCGCCGAGCATCAGCACCATCTTGCCCGACTTGTGCACGCAAATCTGTCGACCAGGGCGAAATAACGTTAGTGCTCGAGTCGGGACCAGGACAATCGAATCGTATCTTACCTTGCCAATGAAGCCACCTGGAGCAGTTTCGACCGAGTGGTCAAACACACCATCATCCCTGTCATACGATCCGCATCAAAACAGTTAGAACCCTCCGGTACTTCACAGTCATACACTATCCATACACGTACGGGGACTCCTCCGGGTTCTTGCTCTCCTTCACCTTCTTAGCGTCCTCCTTCGACTCGTCTGCACTCTCCATCGGTTCGTCTTCATCCGTGCTAGCACTAGGCGTCTTTGTAATGGCACTTGAAAGCGGCAACGTCGTCGGCATCTGAATGAAGAACAGCGAGTCATCTGGAGCCACCAAGTCACCCGCGGCGTCGCAGAAGACGGCGCCAGCACTCTCAGGCTCCGGCGGTCGCACAATCGGAAGGCTCATCGGCTCCATGACCGATTTGACCACAGGCGGCCACACCTCTTCCACCTCCACCTCGGGCATCTTGCCTCCAGGCATTTCCTCGTCCAACACACTGATACCTGTACCGCCAGCAGCCGAGTAGTCGGTAGACGGTGTGGCGCGCGGGGCAGGCGCGCTACTTCCTCCGCTGTACGAAGAACCACCAGATAGCGTACCGACAAATGCTACCTTTCCGCTGGGAAGTACACCCCGACCGCGTCCCCGACCGCGGCCACCTCCACGACCTCCACGGCCTCCTCTGCCTCCGCGTCCTCTGTTATCGCTCTTGAGCGCTCCGGCACCTGTCGTGTGCGGCTTGGCATCGTTCGATCGCTGTGGACCAGCATTTGTGCCATCGCCACGTCCTTCGGACGCAGGACGGCGTTTGGCAGCCTTCGGTACGAACTTGGGTCGACGTGCAGGGGCAGCGGATGCGTCGGTCGACGTTCGTAGGGATCTGTGAGTTAATAGGCGTAGCGAGAGAGTTAATAAAAAAGAAAAAGTGGTATGCAAAGCTGGAAACAAAGAGATGAAGCTCATAGAGGCAGACATACGTGAGGCGCGCGCTGGACGCGTCGACGCGTGGACGCACCGCGCCATCGCCGCTGGTCTGCTTTCCAGCCATTTTATTTGGTATGGCGGCAGTCGAAAATGGTACCAGGTACCACTATTTTATGGGATTGACCAAAGTACAGTCGGCAATCAGCAATTCTACTACAGTAACATTTCCACCGGGATGGCTATGTCTACTTCACCACCACCAGCGGCCAGTGCTCCGCAGCCACCGATGGAGATGCATGAGGGAGCCCCACTAGACCGGCGTGTATTTGATACCTGGGACGAGTTCCATGCGTACATGGAGACTTACGCACGCCGCAGCTTCCAGCTCTTCCGTAAGCGAACATCGACGTCTGTAAAGCTGCGCAACCGGCGCGTGGCCGAGCGCTTCTCGTCCAAGATGCCGGCAGATAGTGTCCGGGCCGATAGCGCCCGCTTCATCCCGGAGTCATATCGGAATTACTCGCTCACGCTCGTGTGCACGCACAGCGGAGCCTTCGTGTCCCGTGGAACTGGACAGCGATCTCGGCAGGATGTTCGAGCCACGCATTGCAACGTACAAGTCAACGCATGCCTGAAGTTGGCGGACCCCGTGACTAATCGCTATCAGGTGAACGTGACACGGGCGCTGCTAACGCATAACCATCGCGTGGACAAAGAGACGTTCTTGCGGTACAGCAACACCAGACTCAATCTCCCAGATGAACTGCTCAGCTGTGTTGAGCTCATGAGGAAAACAGGAGTAAGGCCCAAGGACATTCGCACTTACATCATGGAGCACTCGAATTGTGCCCCGACGCTCAAAGACGTGCAAAATATTCTGCATCGACTGCGCCACCAGGAAGAAGCCGCAGTAGCCGCTGCAAGGAATACCGACCAACAGCAAACAGAAGCCGTTGCAGTGTGCAATACCAATAGAAACGAGTCTGTTGCTCCAAAACTGACGGCAGATGAGCAAGTCTTGCATGACTATCGCTTCACCTTATCTGCTTCCGCGGACGAGGCACCCAACCCAGTGGACCCCACAACGCAGTTCAAGGTGGCCCGCGCAATGGGAAAAGCAGTTGCTTCTCTGCTAGCCGAAGTGTCAGCTACTGATTTTTCACGCGCGTTCCGTGTGCTGGAGGTGGCTACCAGCATCGCGCGCGAACGGCGAGAAGAAAAGCAAGCCCAAACCAAAGACACAAATGCCGAGGATGAGACGACGACGATAGGGGCAAGTGCTGGTTCCAGTGGCACCGACGTAGCCCTTTCAGCCGATGATCCCTGGTCACGAGCCTTGTAGTACGTCATTTTTGATTAGCATCTATCATGAGTTCTAGTCGCGAGTTTTCAGTGAGGGTATGCTTTAAACCTTGTTGGTTGGAAAGAGCATTCACCTGATCGATGGAAGAGCGACGAAAGTGAAGCAGATGAGTTTCGGCAACAACTGCAGCACAAGTCGTATCAGCGAAGTGCCGATGCTCGCAAGCAACCAACGCTTTCTTCTTAGACCTTCGAGTGCTTCAAAACGCTTTTGTGACGATATCTACTGGCGGTGTCATGTCTTGAAGCGAACAAGGCGAAGTGGATACAATCGTTCAGCGAAGAGTTGGCGTTGAAATCTGCTCGGCTGCATGGTGAGATCGCTGTCGACAGCGGAAAATGTGCAGCAGTGCACGGTGCAGTGCAGCAGCGCTGGCAGCCTGCACAATGTAGGCAATAAAATAAATTGCGCAGAACCTTCGTTTACTATTGATAAGCTTCTCCAAGTCTCCTTCACTGCCGGCTGTAGAGCAATCGCTGGCAGGGAGGGATTTCCCTGCAACGCTGGACCAGCGCCGACCAGGACTGCAACTCCCTTTTTTGCTTTTTCCAAATCAGGTTTGCTCCGGATACTGGCTCTGGTAGCCAGCACGAGAGCGAAGAGCCACCAATGCCTTCAGTGAAGCGTATCCGGTGAAGGCCACCGGATACGGTAACCTTTTTCACCACCAAGATATGGAAGATTTTCGACGCACTTCGCTACTCGTTTAGCTAGGCAATACAAATGGAGCGATACCGGCCAAACACAAGTTGCTTGCTGCTAACATTATTGCCGACTGCTTACGTCCAGGTGGCGTTGGCCGTTGCATCATCCCAGAGTCGCATACAAAGTCTCCTATGTTGGAGGTCGGATCGCAGCCCCTTTCTATTTGACTTTGACTTGGTCTCACTATGCTGGGTCTTAAAGGGTTGTTTCCCGAGCAAAAACGAGGAACTAGTGGCTGCTGAGGTGAGCTTCTCACGAGGTTTCAGTACGAAATTCTCGCGAGAAGTCAGACCAGCAGAGCTACCGGCTCCTGCGACGGCAAAACCCCACTCGTCACTGAAGATCGAGCGTCAACAGTAGCAGCCCCATGGCGTCGGCACGGCCGCAAGTGACCCCCGCTGCCGCCGCGGCAGGTGCTGCCACCAAGCAGCCTCGAACCTCCAAGAAGCGCAAGGCCAGCAGTGACGCGCCTGCCGCCTTCCGCGCCTCCGCCGCCGCGCGCGAAGCCAGTGGAGTGTCGGCGCACTGTTCGCTCTGCGGCTTCGGCGCTTCCACACTGGATCACCTGCTCACCCACGTACGCGAGTCTCATGGCCAAGACCACGAGCAAGCGACGCCCCAGATGGGTACGTTTGATGTCCGGCTGTTGCTGCTTGATGACATCTCTGTCATCGCTTGACTGACCTCTCTGTTCGTGATTAACGCAGCACTACCGCTTGAAGTGGCGCAAATGGTTGTGCAGCGCGCGCTCGATCAGGCGGCGCTGGGAGGTGCTACCAGCGCGTGGCTTCAAGCCATGCAGCAGCAGTACAAAGCTGCTGCCGAGATGACAGGTGCGCTAGGGCGGAGGGACGCGCATGGGGTCGCGGTGGCGATCCGCAAGCTGTACGGCATGACGCAGAAGGGAGACGAGCAGTCGATGCTCACCACTCTGCAGCAGGCCACGCAGATCTTGCTGCAATCGCCGCCTCCAGCCGCTGACGCCGCGCCAGTCCCGGTGGTGGCGATCAAGCAGGAAGCTCAATCACATAACTCAGTCGCAACCACAGAGAACGCAACGGTGCAGCAGCAGAATGGAAAGGACTCCAGCACCCACGAGGAAGAGGCGGCACAAGCACTCACGGGACTGCGAGCCACAGCTTCGAGTGCGACGGCGACAACGACGACCACAGCGTCAGTGATCTCAACGTCGGCCGCGCGTCCACCGGCTGTGCCGAAGCCGTCCCCTACAGCCCCTCAAGCCTCATTTCCGTCCTTCGCGCTGGGTTCACCGCTGACTATCACAGCGCCGCCGCCACAACTGAATTTCCATCCCCCAGAGCTGTTCACGCCTGGTTCGGTGCGGTCGCCCACCACCCCATCGTCATTACCCAGTCTCTTTGCGCGCAGACTATTGGCGCCTTTGGCGTCTCCATCCAGTGTGACGGAGCAGGGTGTTACTGGAATGGGATACCAGAATCCCATGATCGTCACGGACCAACGAAACCCGATGGGCTCTACGATTCGACCGGACACCTCGCCAGCGTCTCTCACTCCCGTGTTTTACTCGTCGTTTCCGACACTGGCAACGGTCAACAACGTCGCTAATGCGGGTGCCACACCTTCAAACCGACCGACTACGGCGTCCCCTGTCAAGCGCAAAAGTATCACATCCAAGCAGCTAAGTGTCAGGTGCGACGCTGAAGTCGCTGCTGCTCGTGCAGCTGCGTCTACAGCAGCGGCAGCAGCAGACACTTCTGGACTCGTGCCGCTGGGTCCTATCTCCGTGCCTGGTACACCCAGCACACCTGCGACTCGTAAAGCTACTCCTCGTCGGTGGACCAAGGAAGAAGATGACGCTCTGCGTGCTGCAGTGGAGAACCACCGCGAGAAGAACTGGAAGGCTATCGCTGCTCAAGTGCCTGGACGCAACCACACGCAGTGTTTACAGCGATGGACCAAAGTGCTGGCCCCGGGTCTTGTAAAGGGCCACTGGTCTCCGCACGAAGACGAACTACTGCGGCGTCTTGTGGCAACTGAGCAGAAGAACTGGGGCGATGTGGCCTCCAAGATCCCAGGTCGGACGTCCAAGCAGTGCCGTGAGCGGTGGCACAATCACCTGGACCCGCAGATCGTACGCGGTGCGTACACGCCCGAGGAGGACCGACTGATCCTGGAGGCGCAGGCGCGACTGGGCAATCGCTGGTCGGTCATTGCAGCGATGCTGCCTGGCCGGACTGAAGACGCCGTCAAGATCCGCTGGAAGTCGCACTGCCGCGTGTGGCGAGCCCGCAAGTATCTGCGGAAGAATCCAAACAGTGATGTGGATATGCTGAGCGAGCCTGCACAGACCCCCCGAACTCCACTGGTGCCTCCTACTGGCGACTTTAAGTGGCCAGTTTCCCTTCCAAATGGCCCTGCAGACGAACAAGAATCAAACACAAGCAAAACGAGTGCCGAGGCGACGGCGCAAGCCGTGGGTGGGGAGTAAGACACATCGTGGACATCGGTGGACGTAAATTCAAATATGAACCTGTACTGTACCTTGTATTGCTTGCTGATTGGTTGAAAAGATACAATTTCAAAGCCACTCAAACGCGATCTCAACTGCTTTTGACACCATGACGGTATGAACCTTAACGGAGGTGCTCACTGCGCCGCGAATACCGACGCAGCGGCAATGTCTCCATCGCTCTACTTCGCATTAATGAATCTCTGACATCTCCTCTCCCTGTCCATGTCTCTTTTTCTTCATAAAACGCAGATTTCATCGCTGGAGCTCGCTCTGCAGCCGACTTATCTTGACAGCTCCTCGGACCGCGCGAGTCTCGCTATTCTCCGCGATATTGGCGTCTCCATTGCCGAATTCTCGCACAACTCTATCAGTAACAAGGACGGATCTACCATTGACGTAATTAGCGACGAGGCTCTGCAGAACGAGCACTCGAGCGCTGCCAACGTCACCTACCACGTCGTCAAGGGCTGCGTGCATCTGGACGTGCGCGACTCGGCTGACTGCTGGGTGCGCTGCACTCTGACGGAAGGAATGAAGGCCACACTGGGTCTACGCACTCTGCGCCGCTTTGTGCCGATCGCAGGCAACGCTGCACAGCTCCTGGAGAGCAGTAAGGGCGCGCGCAACCTCACGGCTCGGTACACACACGCAGCGGACGCAGCTAACCACTCGACGCTGGTTACCGCTAACGACTGCCGCGAGCTCGTCTGTGAACTGTGCCGTCTGTACTATACCACGGAGTGGATGACGGGCACGGGTGGTGCAATGAGCCTCCGCCACGGCGAGCGCATCTACGTAACCCCGTCAGGTGTCCCCAAGGAGCGTCTGCAGCCCGAGGACTTGTATGTACTGGATCTGGACTGCAGCATCCTTTCAAGCCCAAAGCCCAAGCCTGGCAAGAAGGCTCCTAAGCTCTCGGACTGCGCACCGCTGTTCCTGAACGCGCACAAGATCCGCAAAGCTGGTGTGGTGCTGCACAGTCACGGCATCACGTGCAACTTGGCGGCGGCTCTTTGCGACGGTAAGAGCGAGTTCCGCATCTCGCACCAGGAGATGATTAAGGGCATTACTGGTCACGGATACGCGGACACACTGGTTGTGCCTGTGATCGACAACGCGCCCAAGGAGTCTGCTCTCGCGGAGCCGATCGCGCGTACGATGGAAGAATACCCCAACACGTCCGCTGTTCTGGTTCGCCGTCACGGCCTCTTTGTGTGGGGTGACTCGTGGGAAGCCGCTAAGCGCCATGCCGAGTGCCTACACTACCTGTTTGAGGCGGCTATTGAGATGCGTAAGCTGAATCTGGACTACACAATCCCCCCAGTGTCAGCTTCCTCGAGCAACGGCAGCTCTCTGAAGCGCGCACGCACCAACGAGGCAAGCAACGGAGAGCTCAGCATGGCAGAGAAGCACAAGGTGGTGATGCTGGACATTGAAGGAACCACGACACCAATTACGTTCGTGCACGACATTCTGTTCCCCTACGTGACGGACAACGTCGCTCGCTTCCTGCATCAAACGTGGGGATCAGCCGACACGAAGGCGGACGTGGCAGCTTTGGTGGCTCAACACAAGCAGGACCAGAATGATGGAGTGAACCCACCTGCATTGGATGACACGCAGGCGAAAGAGCAGCTCATCGAGGCTCTCACTGCTTACGTCAAGTGGAATGTCAAGGCAGACCGCAAGATTGGACCTCTGAAGCAGCTACAAGGTCACATGTGGCTCCAAGGCTACGAAAGCGGCGAACTTAAGGCGCTCGTGTACGACGATGTTCCTCCGTGCCTCGAACGACTGCGTGCATGCGGTGTGCGTGTGGGTATTTACTCTTCCGGCTCACGTCAGGCTCAGAAGCTGCTCTTCCAGTACTCTGACAAGGGCGATCTGCGTGAATATCTGACCGTCTACTTTGACACGAAGATCGGCCACAAGCGCGAGGTTGGGAGCTACAAGGAAATTGTTCAGAGTCTTGGCGTGGATAGTGGTAAGGACGTGCTCTTCGTGACGGACGTGATCGAAGAGGCCCAGGCTGCGGAGGCCGCCGGACTGGATACGGTATTGTCCGTGCGTCCGGGCAACAAGCCGCTGCCGGAGTCTCATCACTTCCCTACGATCTGCTCCTTCGCCGAGCTGTAAAACCGTAGCTTGCTGTTATGCAGAACAGCGCTAATACACATAACAGCGCACAACTACTTGTGTATCGATGCAACTACCGGTTGGGAATAATTGAAAGTGGTTAGTTTGAATCCTCATCGCTCGGGTCGTACTCAGGGTCTTGGTAGCTCTGTCCGTCGGCAGCAGCTTCGCCTCCACGTCGGCGTACATTGGCAGCACTGGCCTGGCGGCATTTTGCCTGTAACAGCGTGTGGCTGACAACACCGATGCGCAGCTCAAAGTTCTTGATTTCAGCTGCTAGAGTCTTGAGCGCGCCCTTGATGTGCACAAGCGGCGACGTATCCGTCATTTTGGCGCCACGCTCATCCATGACGCCCTTAGTTTCCTTCAACTGCTCTGTCGTCTCGGCGTACTCAGTTGTCATGACGTTCACGCGGTCAGCTGCTGCCTTGCTAACTTCCGTCGCTGCCTGAAGCTTCTCCTTGAGCGCCGCATACTCTTGTTTAAGATGTTCGTACTGGTTGTTGAGCATCTTCTCCTTCGCTCCCATCCGTCCTGTGGCTTCCGTGAGTTGAGTACCAAGCAAACCCAGTTGGCCGTTTGCACGCGGCAACAACTCGTTCATGATCTTCTCATGCTCTCTCGATCGTTCAATGTGCGCGTGCCATTCTTTGCCTGCCGCTGCTGCAGCCGCGCCGCCTTTCACCTTGAGTCTCGGCCCAACACGTTCCAGCTCCGTCTTCCAGAGCAGCGGGTTCACTTCGCTCATGATCATCTGCTGGAAGCTCTGGTCCAGGTCGTGCTGGTCCTCGGCAGCCTTGCCACTACGCACGAGGTCGCTGTAGAGCTCCTCAGCCTCCTCTTCTGCTGGCAGCGCGTTGTCATCGTCATCGTTCGCAGTGTCCACCTCCGCCTCCTCGTCCACTTCGGCCTCATCCGCGAAATCCTCCTTGGGATACTGGGGCCGCGGCCAATCGAAGCGCCGAGCGGCGAGCGCTTGATCGCAGATGAAGTCCAGCGCCGCGCAGACAGCCTCACCGTACCCAAGCTTGAGTTTTGAGGCCGGGAAATCGAGCGGGAAGCCCAAGGTCTTGAGCGTTAGGATGAGCTTGTTGACACTCGTGTTGGGGTCGTCGTACTTGTCCACGACAAAATCCTGGCCGCAGCTTTTGAGCAAAAACGTTACCAGGTCCAAGAAGCTCTTGAACTGAGCGCTGGCGTTGGTACCGGCGCTCATAACCGCGAAGTGCGTCTCGTTGAAGGGCACAAAGCTCTTCTTCTTGCCGAACTCGCGCTCATACTGCAGCACACGCAGCTTCTCCAGCACGTTGCCCATGAGCGTTACGCTCACGTCCTGTAATATACAGTAGAAGGCCATCGGCACTGTCAATACCGAATTATTACATACAAGATCAAGGTCTTACATCGCGCGGCACTTGCTCTGCCGGCGCGTCGCCGTCCTCATCCGCCATTGCTACAAGTAAAAATGGCTACATAAACGACGTTGCTTCAAGATCGGTTTCTAACAATTCAACAGCATTCTGTAGTCATGCTCCTAAACTGCACTCGCTCTTATGCTTGTTAATCGGTTAATAACACCGCATACACCACTCCTTCCACCATGTCGTCCTGCGAGGAGCTCTCCAGCTCGGCTGATTCTTCACTAACGTGTCCTAGCACTTCGGAGCTACAAGACGACATGTCCAGCTCCACGCTCGCTCTCCTTACAGCCGCAGACTTGCCGTCTTCGTCTCAAAATGACGTCACAAACGTGGCCACCACTGCTCTCCATCTGGAGCGCTACGCTTCGGAGCTTCTGCTGTGGCTGCAACGCTCGGACGCGGCAGTTCCGGCCGATGACGCGCTCTTCTTCTTCGAGACGCGCCACCCAGAACTTCTTGACGACCTGCCGCTGCTCTTCGCGTGGCTCTCGCTCTTTCTGGCGCAGCACGAAGACTCGTCCGGTGTCAAGGCGACAGGCATCACGGCGCGCGCCGTGCAGCAGCTCGACAGTTCCGGGGACATGACTGCTGTTGCCGAGCACTTCGCACTCAAGAGCGCACTCACGCCTCTGTACTGGAAGCATGAGGGCGACCGGCAGCAGCTCAGAGCAGAGGAGAGCGACGCCGTCGAGACCACGAGCAGCAGACCCAGAACCGTCTTCCAGGACGAGAAGGGTCTGCTGGAATGGATATTAAGCCACAGAGACGTGCCTCTCACTAGACAGGACATCGTGGACCACGTGATGGAGGAGTATCCGGTCTTTGCGGCTTCTAAGAGCGCGGCGGCGCTCAAGGTCTGGACGTCCAGATTCCTGAAGAAGCACATCCCGTCACAGTCGCTAATTGCGTCAGCACCAGCAGTACATGTTGGTGTTGTGCAGGAGATCAGTGGAGATGTAGATACAGAGACGCAGATGATGACGATGGCGACACACCAGGACGCTGCGACGCTGTCGACGGACGCGGTGGAGGCGACGGTAGTGAGTCCGACCCCACCGCTGCTGCCTCAACCCAAGTCTGCGGAAGGAGATGCAGTCCTGGTGGAGACACAGGAAGAATCTGATGACCCCTCGACTCAACACACAGGCAAGCGTCGATCGGGCTCGGGTCGATACATGCTCTTCTCGAACGAATTCAAGCTGCACGCAGTAAATATGCTGGACGAAGGTAAAACTGTCACCCAAGTGGCCGAAGAATTGGGCCTTAAGAACCCCAACTGTTTGAGTTATTGGAGGAGCATTCGAGACAAATTAGTCACGGCCGAGAGGAAACGATTCCGCTTAGCAGGAGGAGGACGACGCAGTAGCTGCTCGTTCGAGGACGAACTGCTCACGTGGGTCAGCGAGCGGCATCACCAAGGCCAAGGTTTGTACTGAGGACAGCTTAAAAGACTGCAGTTATGTGAATCCTAACGATGTTGTTGGTCTACTTCAGGCACCGACGTCAAGGCTGTACTCGAATACATGAAAGAATATCACTCGTCCTTCACTGAGGGCAAGAAGGAGCCAACACTTCGCAAGTGGATCCTTCGCTTCTTCAAACGCTGTTGGCGAGCTCCATCCACATCCATCGACTCACAAGACGCAGAGAAGTCGTATATATTTGTCTAACGACGCCATTTGTACTTTTGAAAGGGCGGTGTATCTGCTTATTTGAAGCAAGCGCCAGTGAATGGAGACGTCAGGTGCGCGTAAGCACCAACGACAGCACTCCAAAACACCAAGAAAAGATGCAGCAGAGACGTTCACGTCGGCGATGATGGAGGCCATTCCGCTGGTCAATCGCCTGCATCTGAACTGGCAGTCCGTTCCAGCGATCAAGCCGGCGAAATTGTACTCGCCTTCGACCACGCAGTTACCTCGCGCCGGAAACAACAGGGTGTCAGGGTTTTCCAGCCCGAGTGCGAGTTCGAACAAGCAGATTTTGTCGCCCATTGAGCTTCCGAAAAGAGCTACGTTGTTAGGACGAAAGCGCTCGCAAACTCGTTTCGCTGCTGTGCCTGCCTTCGAGCAGAGTATGTGTAACTCACAATGTTATACAGAGAAAGGTGGATAATAGCTGCTGTGTGGTGCTCGTGGTTGTGTAGAATACGCAGCGGAAGACCCATTAATGCGGTATGTGCTTCACCTTATTCGCACGGGAACCCCAGTACGGCGATCTGAAATCCCTCGCGGCAAGCGTGCGTTAATTGTTGCTAGTGGATGTTAGTCCTTGATTTGATTCAACGTTGTTACTGCCTTTGTAGATATTCAGCGAAGGGTGCGGCCAGAGGAAGACGTGCTTTACCTCGTGCATTGTGAAGCACCACCCTGTGGCTTTCGCAATGTATACTGGCTGACCTTCGCAGATGAAAGTACTGTTCTTAAGAATGACCACGGCTCATCACTCGAGTACTTCACACTGGGCTCTCACGGATTCACGCGTTTCAAAGGTGGTCAAGGCGTAGAGTTTTCCGAGCTGGCTGGCTGGGTGGACGAGAAGCACGCCTTCGACAGTATGACCAACATGAAGGGACTGAAGCGCATTCAGCAGATGATTTTCTTCTTCTCGTGGAAGCGCCAAGCTGTGCAGCGACGACTGCATCGCGTTCGGGAACGACTAGCCTCTAGTCTTTTCATTACCCACCCGATTGCTCGTCAACTGCTGTTGAACGTACGAGAGGTCTGCGCTGAGATCGAAGACGAGGCAGAACGCGAGTATGTTGAAGCTGACACGAGCTACACACTGGAGCGACTGACTCATATTCACCAGGAACGTGTGCGTGATGTCAAGTCTGCAATCACCAAGAGAATCCAAGCGCTTTGTGTGACGATAGATGATGCTACGCGAGACATCTCACGATACAAGGAGGATAAAAAAGGCAGCTACGCTATCACAGACCATGAGGCTTTCAGCAAGGCACTGAGATTATCCAGTCTTCACGAGAGGATGTTCAGCTTCTTACGCCTCGTGGATTGTCACGTCGCTGAAGCTGTTTATCAGCATGTGGCTCTCGCTGTACGGTATCTTCGTGTACGAATCTGTGGCCAATCGGGAATTGTTCAGTGTGTTGGTGTGGAGGAACGCAGTGGGAAGCTGTGTCGCTCTCAATTGTCAGAGAATGCCAGTGAATCGTCAACATACACACGTGTGAACTACTCCATCCAAGCACAAGATAACGATACGGCTGTTGTTGCTGTTCCTGGCTTGTATGTGAGTCTAGAGGACGACGTTAATTTCGAGGGAGATGTCCATTCATCCACGATACGTTTCGTGCCAGCAAAAGCGGAGATACTAGAGCTCATTCATGCCTTTCTCATGAACTATTGCGTCGCTATGGATGGAATGCCTCGTGTATTGACAGACAAACGTTTTGAGCGTGTATTGACGCCGTTTGTGCCGTCGACTCGACGTGAATTTGCCGAAAGTCTGCTGAAGCCATCGCATCTTGTTCTGCAGAGTTACGAGTCTGAACTGCGGGATATGCGCGCTGCGTTGGAGCGGCACTTCCGACGTCTCGGGATCCTTCAGCAGGAGCATCTGCGGTGTGTTCGCGCTATCAAAGTCGCAGAGAGGGAGTCACCAGTGGAGACTACGCGACGAAATAACATCACGCAGATCACTGAAGCTGATGAAGAAGATACTCGACTCCCAGAGCTCCCGGACTTGTCTAGTAGTGCTGCAGCCTACGAACTGACACAGAAGACTTGGAGTCGATTCGTCCGGTATGCGAACAGTGCGGCGCCCATGCTTCAAGTGGGGTATTTACTGCTGGATCAGCGCTCGTTTGTCGACAGACTACGCAGCCACGTTTCGAAGCGAGTGGCTGAAATGGATGACGCACTGCCTTTGATCTATCAGCAGTTCTTGACGAGTCTTTTGAATGATGTGGACGGCAGAATCGAGAAGACTACAAAGATCCCGACCAATCTCGAAGAAGCGAATGCCTGGTTAACACAGGTTACGTCCATGATGCCATCTCATCCGTTCCGACAGCGACTCGACACGAAGATTGCGAACCTAGCACGGCTTAGGATCCTGATCAAGGAGCGTGGATTGATATCACTGGAACCGGAAGTGCAGGATGCGATTCGGAAACTCGAGCTGACGTGGGAATCTGTCATCGAGACGCTGTTGGTGTGTCTGGCTCGAGTCGAGGAGAGAGGAAGTGAACACCGTCGAAGCGTCCAAGACGTCATCACCAAAGTGGATGAGTATATTTCGGATCAACTGCAGCATATTATCAAGAAGTTTGATGAGATTCCGTCTGGCTGTGAAGAGGAGGACGAGAACGGTGTCCCCAGTAGTAGAACTGCGCACTCTGACAGGGAAGATTTAGTCCAGCAACTTGAAGGCTTGGTGGCGATGGATATCGAGCGAAAGAACGTGGTACAGCAGTTTGAAGACTACGATCGGGAACACCGAGCCGTCATGGATATGCCTGTAGTGCAGCAAGCAGTCTGGACGTCATCGTTTTCTAGTACCAGCTCGGAAAATCTATCGGCTGTCAGCATGACAGATAAACTCCCAAGTGAGTTACTACTGCTGTATATTATCACGTCGTTCGAGCTTCGACAGTGGTTCGAGTCCTGGAAGAAAATGCAGGACAAATGGCTCGGCTCCCCCCTTACAGGCGTGCATCCTGGAACGATGATCAACCGAATTAAGCAGTTCCGTCGACGACTGGGATACGCTTCTTCTCGACTGTCACGCTTGTCCTCGATGCTTTTACAGACACTTCCCTTGGAACAGAATCCACCTCAACACGATGATGAAGATCGCAAGGACTGCGCTTCGTTTGCGAAGAAAGATTTCGAGCTCATGCGGGTGTTTGACAGCAGTATCGAGGAAATGTCCAACTGCAATCGCATCTTCCAGGCGATCAGCGGTGGGACCTTCTCTGATGCTCGGTGGACTGCCATGAACCAGCTACTGAACGTCAATAGCTCTGGGTCGAAGAGTGGGAGTCACTTGACGCTACGACTGATGAAGGAAAAGTGTGACGCTGGACAGATTGAGGCCTTCTTAGACGTCTGTGACGAATGCATCGTGGAAGCTAAACTTCACGTCAAGTTAGAGCAGGCTAGGCAACGTCTAGCTCGGATTGAGGTCCGGGTAGAGGAGACAAACTACAGTGTGAGATGTGAAGGCATAGCAGAGGCATTGGCTCAACTGGACGAGATCTCCGTGGATGTGAATCTCTGTCTATTCGGTCAGAATCCGGAATTGCAACTGTGTCTAGAGTTGCGAACCGATCTGGAACAAAAAGTAACAGTGTGCGAGCATATTCTGTCGTACCAAAAGCACTGGCAGCTGAGATGTGAAGCAACAAAGCTGCACGAGATGGACGAATTCTTCTCCAAGCGCTTCAGTGGCGGTGACGTTGCCTTACCTCGAGGTCAGAAATCCCACCACAAAGCTGGATTGAAACAAGAACAGAGTGTGTGGCAAGCGTTCTTGGATGCGAGTCACGCCTGGAGCGATCGACTTCGTCGTCTGTTCTTCGTGAATCCTCCCCAAGTTAAAGTCGAACAAGTAGACAAGAACCGACGCTCTTTGATCGGAAGAAAATCAGAGGTGGCATCGGCTCCAATGACTCTGAATCGACGACCAAAACTTGCCACCAAATCCATGGGCTGCACGCTCGACGACGTCATGAAAAGCTTTGAAGATTTTGATTTCGAGGCCAACTTTGCAGCCTGTGAACGAGGTATCGAACTCGTCCACAAGTACCTCAACTCGATACGAGAGAAAGCCCCTAGAATGTACTGTCTGGACGAATCGTCGATGCTTTGCCTACTGCTACGAGACTCGGACGTCAAGCAACTGCATCAATCTCTTGCTATTTGCTTCCCTCGAGTCCGTCGGTTTGCAGTAACTCGTGCAGCCAATCGAGTCGGGTCGACTGTCCAAGTATTTGGCAAACCGGAAGCGTCTGTACGAGCCAGCAAGACTGAGGGAACTATTGTCATCATGGGGATCGAAGGCGTGCACGAGGAAGCTAATACAACCGAAAAGAGTGGCCACTTCCGCCTCCCGGTGGCCAAAATCGGTCGAGTCAAGTTTTGGTTCACGCGACTGGAGGAGGAAATGTCGTCGATGGTTCTATCGGACCTAAAGCGCGCCTTCGAATGGGTCACTAGTGACTTTGATAGTGAAGCGTTTGGCGACTACGACTTGCTGCTGCCTCAGTCCATCGCTACGGCGTTTGGCGACTACGACTTGCTGCTGCCTCAGTCCATCGCTACGGCGTTTGGCCTTCGATTCACATTTGAGATGAACCAGGTACTACGCTTAGATCAGCACTATGCCACGTGTCAGCAGTTGCGCCGTCTCAAAGTGGCTCTGGGGAGGAGAATGGAAGGCCTTATAGCTATGCGCCGACTGGAGAAAACTTTGAACTCTGTACGGCTTGAAAACATGCTCTTACTTAGTGCGATGCAGTCCGAAATTGTGGACCACGTTATCCAGTTAGTGGAGCAAGGCCAGCAAGAAGACGCTGTGTTCTTCTGGAGCCTGCAGTTCCAGACCAGAATATTCGTTGAGTCCATGGCAGCGACCACCTCTACTGTGCAGCTAAGTCCCATGAAGCTCAGCAAAATGGAGAGGAACGAGTTGCTCGCTGGCACTTCCGACTTCGTTAAATTAATGTCGTCAAACCACAGTGGACAAGCGATGAGCTTCTCTGTCTGTTGCCAGGTTGCTCACCTAGAGATACCGTTGGGTCAAGAGTTTGTGGGTTGGAGTAGACTTGCCGTGTTATCTCCGTTCACGCAGCGCTGCTCGTACGCGCTCTTCAGTGCTCTGAGGATGCACCACACTGCTCTGGTTGTGCCATACAATGGTGGTCGACCTGGAGCAGACCCTATTTCGTTGTTGTGGAGCATATCGCAGATCCTATTGAGACCATGCTTTGAATTTGCCTGCGATCCCAGCGCGGGAGCTACAACCATCCACCACATCGGGAATCTGATGAGTTTTACGTCAAAACTCAATGGATTTCTCATCGTCCGTCATCTCCTACAACTCTCGACTGCGCTTGTTGGCGTCGTAAAGGAGAAAATGCTGCAGCACTTCCATCGAACTTCTCCTGTTGGGAACTCCAACCCGTATTATCCACAGCAACAGGCCGTGACGAACTTACTCGTGCTTCGCAACTCTGGAGGTGTTTGCTATGGCGCTAGTGCCATCTTCATCCCATTGGCATCAGCTGAAGAGCTCGAGCAAAGCCAGTTGGTGCAGTCTATTCGAGCGCAATTTCGAGCTGTTGCTGTATGTCGACCGGCCATCAAGTATGTTGTCGAGTGTATGCTCATCGCTGATGGATTCACGTCCGTACAGATCCAAGAACTCAACGTGGTACAGGCGTTTGAGGCGATTGGTGCTGGAGAAGCTGGGCCAATTGGTGTACCCAACGTGGAGCCGTTAATCTCACGAGTAGTCCACGAAGCTCGACGTCTCCGGGAGCGGTATCGAGTGATATGGAGCGTGACAGAAGCGGTGAATGGCCCAAGCATTGACAGCTTAGCAGCCAGTAAGGTGGAGATTTGCGAAGGACAGCTCATTTTTCGTGAAGCTTTCCTCTCGGCAATGCAGCTACTGATGACTGAAGAGCAGAGTGGTGTCAACACAGCGATGGATCACGTAAATGCTCTGTTGGCTCGTGTGTTTCCGCTGTCTGCGAATGGCAGATTAGTTAGTAAAAATAAAGGAGACGAAGAAGCGGTCGCTGCGGCCGTAACAATCTACTTGGAGAGTGCGTACGCTCTTCCAGCTGATTGCGAGGAATTTGAGCTGGTTATGGAGCTGTGGCGCGCCCTACACACCTTCCCAGCGGCGTTGGTGTATGGCTGTCCGGCTAGTGGCAAAACGACTTGTATCACGACATTGCATCGTGCACTCGTGGCACTGGAACTGAGTGAACAGAGCCAAGAAAACGAGGAAATAGGTAGCACAAACAGCCAGACGCCATCTCTAACGCAGCTCGTCATTCTTAACCCGCAGCTGCTGTCACTGGACCAGTTGTACAGCAACATAGCAACTGCGTGTGGTGTTGAAGACAGCATGAACTCAAGCTCTTTGAAGTGGGTCCTGGTGGACGGCGAAGTTGGCGGCAGCGTGCTAGATCGACTCCTGGAAAGCGACAATCGCACATGTTTCTCAGCGTCAGCACTCCCCTCCTCCTCAGTTCTGTATCGCGGCCAAAATTCCACCGTCATCTCAGGAGACTACTCGTATTCAAGCGATAGTCCTCGGTTATTATTTGAAGTGACAAGCGTGGCAAACCTGTCGCCGTCTGCACTTCGAAAGTGCTGGGCGTTGCATGTTCCCGGGCACTGTATTACCGTTGCAAGTATCCTCCGTGTATGGCGTTCTAGATGGGAAAATCAACTGGTGTTCTCCCCAGATTCACGTGGATTTGAGGCGATGGCTGTGGTGTTTAGGACTGTGGATATTCTCATTTCGAGGATTTGCATGCGTTTTGCCATTGAGGAAGTAACACCGGATAGAGTTGATGAAGAGATGACAAATACCGCAGAAATTAGACTGGGCTGCCTCGCGCTGAATCACGTTACGCAGACAGCCTTGACAATGGTGTCGCTATGCTGTCTACAAAACAAGTCGCTGTTGCAGGAACTAGCATACTCCCGTCTTGTCGAACTCGTGGCGTTTGCAGTACTTTGGGGCATTGCTGGTCATCTACCGGGCTCGTGTCGAATCAAACTAGAAAATTATGTGCGGACCAAGAGCAAGGAGTACAGCGAAATCAAGCATTTGGCGGAACTACAGCGCAGTCTTCTGGATGCAACGTGCTTTGAAGACGTCTGGGATGAACTACAACCGAGGTTTGCATCCGTTTTAAGCGCCCAACCTGCCAATGGAGTGAAGACTCAAGTCAAGATGAAGAGCGCTTTTGACTCTACCAGTGGGCAAGTGTTGGTGTTGATGCCAGCCGCGATATCGTTAATACGGGTGTGTACGATGCTCGTTCATTCTTCACATTCGTTTTTGCTAGTCGGACCTGCTGCTAGTGGGAAGACATCGTTGCTTCGTTGGCTTCTGCTTCGTAACAGGGAGGTTGAAGCAGCAAGGATGAAGATTGAGACGTCGTTAGATGAAAGACATGTGCACGGTATTCTGGACTGGACAAGCGTTCCTGCAGCCTGGTTTCGTCCTCTGAGCCAACATGACACTGGTGCAAGTTCTCGAGCTAAGATGCGGGAAGAGACGGAGCTGTTTGGTGCGAGATCGACACACTCGTTCGTTTTCTTGGATGACTTGGACGCACAGAGTATCGACAAAACACAAGTTGAGTTTGTTCGAACGATGCTGGACCATCGAGTGGGTTACAGCACAAAGCGCGGAGGATTTCAAAATTTGGAGAAACGTGTTGGGGCAGGAATGCGTCTCAATGACTCGGACTCTAGACTTTCCTCAATGTTAGCACGGTTTACACGTCACTTTGTGGTTTTGAGAGTCCCGACGTACACACAGAAAGAGCTTCTGAGCTTGTTCCGTGTCAAATTTCTGCAGTATTTTAATGCTGACCTGCCTCAAGTGATCAATGACCGTCGGCTTTCCGCGAAAGGCGACATGGGCGGTGGAGGACAGCAGCTTCCACTCGAGGAAGTAGTTCTTCGAGCAAGTGTCGACTTTGCCGTGGAGATGGCAGCCTTCCAACAACTGGGGCATACTGAACATCCTTGTCTTGCGCTGTTTAACTTTCATCATGTGAATATGTTGCTGGAACGAACACTTGTGTTCGCTCGTGAGTTATCTGCGGCCAACACGACAGCAAGCGAGGGAACGACACTCGTGCAACTCGGCAAGGCGCATCAAAGCTGGTTAAGCGAATTGAAGAACATTTTCCTCTCCAACTGTCCTGTACAACAATCTCTGGAGGCCGCACAAGTGAAGATGGAGAATACACCAGCGAGTGATGATATGCAGAAGAAGATATTGACGTTAGTGCGTCATCTAAGCGAAAAGTACTTCAGCGTGGCATTCCGAGGGAATAACGAGCACAATTTCCCCATTTCAGTCGAGACACTGCATTTCTTGGTCCAGTTAGCTGAAAACCACACCCAGGCTCCACTATTGCAGCCTCGTTTGGTGCAGCTTCGTGAGTTGCTGAATGACCAAATGACGGCAGCTAACGGAGTCTCTCGACGCTCGTCGGACCAAATACGAAGCGCAATTAGTGGTGTCAACTCGCTGTCTTCACCAACGGAGCTGGTCTCAAGTATCTTGCTGGAAATCGCTGCAACCTCCACGAGCTCGGAGGCTGGAAATGGACTCCATGACAAGACAAGTCGACCTTATTCTAATGGACAAGTGACGATGTTCCAGATGAAGCTCTTACTCAGCAGTTCATGGTGTCTAACGCAAGTTACGCACCTGATCCACGCGCTAAGCACGCACCAGATAGTCTTGTCTTCGTCATCGCGACACGGTCGATTATTATCGGACAGATTGCTGCGGTTTGCATGCGATCTCCACGGCTTTAAAGTCCACACGATTGACTCTCAATGCACAGACCAAGGTCAAGTCATTCGAACCATTCTAGGAGCCGCAGGCGTCCGTCAAGAGCGAGTTGCGTTGTGGATTCGAGAGCGACAGCTCACTCCAAGAACAAAGTGTTTGTTGGATATTATCCAAGAGATTTGTCTTGGCAAACTCCCGTCGTTAGCGTTGCTTCCAGGCGGTGAAGAGCTACGCGATGAACTTGTCCTCAGCTGCATTCAGTCTCGCAAACAGCTCGAAATTGTGACTGAAACAGAGCTCATGACGGAGTTTCAACAGCGACTACAAACGAATCTTCGTCTCTGCATTCTCCAAGAGAGCGATGGCAATGAAGAGCGAGAACAATCACCAAGCTTAGATCTCCTACACTGGGTGAAAACGAGACCTTCCTGTCATTGGCGTCGATTGGATTTCATTGGGTTTGAGCTGCAGCGATTCATTCCAGAGATGGCGAAAGCTGCATTAGCATCGCCTGCTCTGTGTGGAGTTGGTTGGGATCTGCATCAAGTGGTCAAGTACGCGAATTTGTGCCAAAATGTGTATTTGTTCATGATGCGTGCTTCGCGCACAGCAGTAGATCCAGCCTCTCAAGTGGACTATTTCCTGTCCTTCATGACCAACGTGGCGGTCACGTACAGAGCGAAGCTCCAGAGTCGCCAACAGAACATCTTGCGACTTACAACTGCATTGGAGACTCTGGCATTTGCTAGGGACAAGGTTGTGCCGACACTTGAACGTCTTAAGCAAGAGTTTGAGCTTCAGTGTGCACATATCGGCAATGAACTGACGAGAATTTGTCTCGAATTGGAGGGAATTTCTCTCCAACAAGAGACCGAGATACGGGATAACAATGCTGCTGATCAACACGACGGTCCTGTGGATGATGAATTTACTATTGATCCGGACGTGGAGGAAGCTCGATGGGTACTGCAGTCAGCGTACGAAGAACTTAAGATGAGGAATACTGAGACTAAGCTACGGTTGGAGCAAGTATCACGGTTCTTAGCGGAATGGTACCACATTGTGGAACGAATGAAGAAAATATTCACAAAATGGACATACGAATTAGACCAAGAGCAACGCAAAACAGAGCATGAGATAGTGGGTGTTGCTGTGTACTCCAGTGCTCTGCGAGCATACACGCACGTGACGTCGTTATCCGCATCAAAGCGGGACACTTGTCTGAGTCTCCTTAGCGGTCTCATTCTTGAAAATATAGTTGACGGCTGTAGTCAAGGTATTGAGAAACGTCTAGTAAATGGCTCAATTGATGACTCGGAAGACGACAGCATCGCAGTTATGCGTTTGATATGGACGTCGCGGTTCTCGTTCCTTCGCAATCCGGACATTTACCACACATTCCGACTGGCTGACGAGATGGGTGACCGAGTTCCCGTCCTTGTAGACCCCTCGGGTGTTTTGCAAAGGTTCTTGGTGCATATCTTCTCGGGTCACACGTTGTTCACCACATTCCCTGGCTGTGGTGGCTCTGGGGACGTCGAAAGCGAGCACCCCAGCGAATCCAAGAAATCAATGGTGATTTCCTGTGACGACCCCAAGCTCGAGGACTATTTGCAAGAAGCTCTGCGTCTAGGCCTCCCTGTTCTGTTAGTCAACTTCCGCAGCACAGATTCCGTCTTACTGGACCGCCTGCAACTTTTTCTCGACCAAGCTCGACTATCTCACGCTCCACCTCGTCGTTCAATGCTACGCGAACTTACTATGGAATACTACGAGGACCAACGAAGACAAAGGCAGAGGCGGACTTCAAATGCCGGTGCTGCAGTGGAGAGTGTGCCTTCTGTTGCGTACACAGGGACTACCGGGGCGATAATGATGGCTAGACGCGCTGTCAAAGCAAGCCAGCATAGACTGGCGAGTGATCCTGCAGCTGTTGCGGCCGCTGTGTCTGCACTGACTCCAGCTTCTGGCGATAATAAGACAACCGATCGTCGTGATGCCCGACGCAAAAGTCAAGTGTTGAGTGGCAATACGAGCAGTGGGCGCGGTTTCCAGCTCTTCACTGTTACAGACACGGTCGTTCCTTTAGAGGTTCAGCATTCCCTGGCAGCTCAGTTTGCACATTTTAGTGTATCGCTGTCTGATTCAGATCTGGAGACTTTGTTTGAGCTCCCTCGAGTTGGTAAAACCCAGCCAACTTTACTCCAGGAGCTTCGAGATGAGCAAGTAGGACTGGCAGATTGCTGGATGAAGAAGATTCTGAGTCGTGGTCAGCTTGATCAGCTACTTGCGGCGTTAAAGCCAGACGCCGATCACGATGACTCTCCTTTTGCGACTAGGAGAAGGAACCAAGTCACGATCCAACTCCAAGAGCGGTATAGTGAACTTGCACTGCACCTGGCGAATGACTATCAAGCTGAGCTTGTATGGAGATCTCGCGAACAGAATCTACAAGCAAAATATGCTGAACTAGAGGTTGCCACTAAAGTTTTCGCTCCGATGGCACTTCAACTGGTAAATGTTGGTCGATGTATGGCTGCAGTGTCGTCGTCTTGTACGATTGGAGCTCGAATAACGCCATTTTACTTGCAAAACTTCCGTTATCTTGAAAATGCTTCAACCCAGCAACTAGCAGTGCAAGGCGATGACAGTTCGCAGCTCGAATCTCACGGCTTAGCAGCTCTCTTGGTTCGGATTAACTCTGGACTCGTTTCAGACTCGCATCGTCAAATTTTCTACTTCCTCGAGCTAATACAAAGGCAAATGCAAGCACTAAGATCACCGGCGTGGAGTGAAGCTCTAATATGGCTAATTACTAGCAACGTCCGAAGATCAAAATTAAAAGACTCGGCGTCACTTAATCTCCTTAATACCAGCGGTGAAAAGCGTCTGCGACTCGGGATTCCACGTGGGAACTCACTGAAATGCTCTGTGGATTCAGGCGCATCTTTGGTCGAGCGTTTACGACGGCGCGTCAAGTTGTGCGCGTATCTTTTCAATGGCTGGAAGGCTTCGCGTGGTAACAATGTTCGTGGTAAGCCAGGGAAAGCTCCACGGTCTCAACTTGACGGGTCTACCGTAAATACACAACATGATGGCTTGGAGAAAGTTGACAATGATTCAAGCACTGACAACAGGGAACTTGTAGTTGAACATCTTCAGGTGAAGCTCGACAAGCTTCTGGCTGATTCCGAGACGATGTGGTACGAATGGAAGACAAAGAGACTTCGGTCGCAGCTAGATGTGGAGCATCTCATCAGCGGTCTCGGTGGTCAAGAAGTGTCGAGTTCTAGTGCCGTCGAGCGGAACAAAAACTCATTTTCTAGCGCAATAACTCTCGTTGGGCTGGAGGAATTATCGGCTCGATTCAAGATGAACGCTACGTCAACACTAGACGATGATAGTACTGCAAAGCAGCGCGCTTTGGTGCGACTACTGCTCGCCAAAACGTTCTTCCCGTTCAGCTTCACCCAGGCACTAGTTCACTACTCTCAAGTGAGCGGTCACGCTAGTAGCCCCGAGCTTGATTCTCCTGGGGATGATGAGGCTGCTAAGCGGTGGACAGCGTGGCCATCTCCTGCATCGCTCGTTGTCGACGTCGCTCCACCAAGAGGCAAACACAGTAGAGCACATCTACCGAGAGCGCTCATTATGTATATGCCGGACGAACGCAGCAACGTAGAGTTGATATTCTCTGCTTGGAGCATCGCTTCTTTCATGGATGTCAGTGGCGATAACGTCTCTCTTCGTGAAGAATTGGTCATGTTGATCACAACCAAACACAAGTTTGTGTTGGAGTTACTGGACGCTAGACATGCGGAGTCAGCACTGTCGTTAGTATCGAAGCTGATTAATGAGCACGCGCTGTTATCGTTACCCGAGTGGTATATCCTAGCGCCATTCGAAGTGGCTACAACGATACAGAACGGGAAACTCGCAGTGATGGATCGGATTGCTGTATTTTCACCTTCAAGCCTGTCCCAACTCGACTTTGTCGACCGTGGTCGTCGTACTGAACAAATCGTCAGACAGAAGCTAGTGGAAGAGTACGGCGCTTCAGAATCTGTGGCCTCAGCTCTGACGCTTGCTGTATTGACTCAACACCGTCAGGTTGAGCGTGAGTCGATGAGCTCTGTGGTTCGAGATCTAGATGATATCGTGCTTCAATTCTCGGCTATTGAGGAGGTCGCTGTAGATGTAGTCGAGCGTGAGCAGATGACGGATAATCTACTTCGACTAGTCGAGCCTCCTCCCAACGATCATTACGTCACGACACGCAGCGATGCAACGCAGGCAGCGAGACTCTCCGCAGAACTACTGAGCGATATCGTGTGTGTTGGGAGCTCATCGCTTGCGATACTAACACAAGAAGCAGAAGAAGAGTGGCTACCTCGACACTCCATCACTGACGGCGTAGCTTCATGTGACCAGCTGTGGACCAATTTTTGCCAAATTCGAGACCTTTTTCAGGCTCTCCAAACAGCCATCACGCTTCCTATCGACCCAAATATCGACTTAAATGGAGCAGCTTTATTCTTCCCGTGGCAATCTTTTGCTTCTGAATTGGCAATCCAATTCTCTGCGTTCGAGGCGATCCACAAACACCTCACACTCCTCCGGACAACAGCAACTTCTAACCGTCAGCTGCTTTCGTCGCTAGCTCGAGGCTTCGTACCATTCGAATGGATTGAGAGTTTCTTCGCAGGAACTGCGTGGCCGCCTCAAGCGAGTGGAATCGTATCCGTTGCTCAAATTCTACTCCTGGTTGCTTGTCGTGTCGGTGTACTGGTGCGTTGTATCCGTGGGGATCGTGCCTGGGCTCTCAACTTGGCGGTAGTGGGCAATGCCCATGCATTTCTCCGATGCCTTCGTACTTACACCGCAGCTCGTTCAGGTGTCTCTGAATCATCACTCGTGTTGATCCTTGAGTTGGATTCTTCGGACGCTATCAATGACGAGAACGAGAAGAAGAAGAAAGTGATGGCAATCGCCAAACAATTTGGAGCGATGTTACGTAGAGACAAACGGGAGAGTGACTGGCATGGGGCCGTTTTGCAGCATTCCGATAGTGACGTTGAGTCGTGGGGTATTCGAGTGGAAGGGCTAGTATTGGTGTCGGCCACGAAGCTGTACCCACTGCCAGTATCTCGGATCATGTGTCAGTGCGGTGTCGACACTTTGACTGAATTCGAGGCACCACTGGTGCTACTACCGTCACTATCGCCGTATCAACCAGTACCAACTTTATCTCAAGATTTTGATAGTGCCAACACTGCTGTTCGTATCGTTCTGGGTCGATCCATTAATTCTGTGGTCGATATGGCATCGAAAAGCGAGGTGATACAATACGCGGTTGGGGTGCCAGTGTTTCCAGAGGATGATTACAATGACAATAACTAGGTTAATAGACTTTCAAAAGATGGTCACAGTATTTAGAGTCTGCATGGTGGTTGGTCTCTTGATTCATAGCGGTCGGAGTTGAAACTGATGTTGCAATGCCCTATTTCAAGCTCTAAACAATTGCGGTGGCGTCTACAGCAGCCGTTGTACCGCCTTCAGCCGCAGCAATAGTGATTAACCTTGATCTGCACAGGTTCTGGTACGGAGCGGACGAAATTCGAGCGTGGCTTGTTGAGCTGTATGGACTGTAGAGGAGATTTCGGTGGCTATCGTTGAGAACGAACATGAATGGATCCACTGAACGTACTAAATCACCGGAGGAAAATCGACGCCTAACGATCACTGTGAACCCGTCGAATACAAAGCGTAAATCTGTTGAGCTTTCCGTGGAGGCGTCGAAACTGGTACGGCGTACGTCGCTGCTACTAGCAAGCCCCGCAGGACCCGAGGCGGTGTTATCACACGCTGAGGTTCAGCGGGGAGAGCGGCTACAACGTTTTGGTTCTAAATACTTTGGAGCTTCAAAGTCTAAAAGCTGGCGACGACGAGATGGCAAAAGTCTAGACACAAAGCGATCCTCCAACCCATCGCATCCATCATGTGATGGTAAGACTAATAAAGAAGACGAAGAGGGCACGGATGTGGTCGTCAAATCACCGCGAAATCCACTACCGCCCTGGTTTGTTGAGTTTCGTCAAAAGCTTCGTGTCGCTGTTAAAGCTCAGTGGTTTCGAGGTATTTTGTATTTTGTAGTACTCGCGGACATGCTGGTCTTGGCACTGGATAACGAATACGTCAAGGGTTCCGCATTACAACGACTGGATCTCGCTTTCACGCTTCTACTACTGATGGAGGTGGTCTTAAAAGGTATAGCGTTTGGACTATGGGGCAACAAGGAGGCCTACTTTCAACGATCTCGATATCGATTTCTTCAAGTGTCCTTGTTAATTATCAGTCTCATATCTCATCGTCGAGGAGGTGGTAATACGTGGAAAGTGCTGCGTGGACTTAAAACCGCAAGGAGTCTAACTCTCTACTCGGGGTTACGACGAATTCTCAAGGCATTGATGCGTGCAGTACCATTTCTTGCTAATGTCGGTACATTGGCGATGTTCGGACTGCTAGCCTTCTCCATCTTTGGCCTGGAAGCGTACAGTGGATCGTACGACGCGCAATGCACGATCTCACCACCGGAAGAAGACGATTACAGCTTTCTTTTCAGCTCATCTTCAGCATCAGCAGCGTCTTCAATAGGAACGATGACGATGGAGGCACTGGAGGCGTTACCTCGAGTGTATTGCTCCACGAATTCTAGCTGTGCCTCAAATAACCAGGTGTGCGTAGCTGTGACTCCACCTTCGAGTCACGTCAACTTTGACACCGGGTTATCATCACTATTTCTTGTTTTTCTGGTTGTGGCACAAGATGGTTGGGTGACAGATATCATGAAACCTGTGATTGAATCGTCTTCGTTCTTCAGTGTGCTCTTCTTCGTTGCTATTGTGGCATCCATGGTTTTCCTTGTGGTCAATTTGTTCGTGGCTGTTATTACCACGGCTTTCATGAATTTCACACTTGACGAAGAAGGCGACAGGGAAAAACCGCACTATATGGGCAAACTCGACCCTGCGATGGAGGAGACTCACGTGAATATGATCATGGGAGCGACGCTAGTCATTGAGGACACAATAAGCAACGACGATGCTAGTGTCGGCACTGCGGAAGAGGCCCAAGATGTCACTACAGTAGACCAAAATGGAGATGAAGATGCCGGGGGTACTACCGAGAAGAATACTGCTATTGTAAAGCGTGATACTTCCTATTCAAGATTGAGTGTATCTTCAATGGCAGACGAAGATTTGACATCTCAAGCTCGTAATAGACGTCCTGCAAGCGCCCCAGTCTACAGCAAAACAGTACACAACAAAGAAGAATACATGACTCTATTGGCAAAGATGCACAAGTGGAATTCGCTTCGTAACCTCACAGTGGAGACTACGATGCAACTTATCCAAAATGGAGTGCTGATGGAGGAACTCATGGGCCCATTGACTAGATCATTGCAAAATGGAACCGGTGACGCATTAGCCGAAGCCGCAATTACCCCAGCATCCCCTATCGTCCCTCGAAAAAAGGCTTTGAAAATGGAGGTGATTCCTGATCTCGATGCGTTGAATTTCTCGTCATCAACACACGCCTTGGTGCTGCAAAATACACCTTCTACTAGTCCCTTGTTCATAAAATTCCAGCGCTTTGTGCTGTCAAAGAAGTTTGACGACTTTATCACCATTAGTATTCTCCTGAATACGCTTTTCTTGTTAGTGGAGTATCCGAACATGAGCTCGGAACTAGACTTGATACTGTCCGTAACCGAGTACGTCTTTGGTGTTATTTTCCTCACTGAGATGATCATGCGGATCATAGCGATGCGAGGACTGCGAGTGTATTTAAGCAGCACCGAACGGGTATTTGACATGGTGGTGGTGATCTGTACGACAGTCAACCTCATTCTCAACAATTTGGAGACGAGCTTCAACGGTCTCAACAGTGTGTCATCTCTACGAACGCTTCGTGTGACTCGCCTAATGATGAAGTACGAGGGCACTCGCAAATTGATCCAGTCTGTGCTCAAATCTTCACGTGGAGTGATGGACGTCGTCGTGTTCATGCTGGTTTTCCAGGTCGTGAATAGTATTATCGGTATGCAGCTTTTCGGTGGTTCGCATCTCGTAGGAAAAGATGGAGAAGCGCCACGTTGGAACTTCGACACCTTTGGACGCTCGTTCTTGACCCTTTTACAGGTCATTACAGGCGACCAATGGTCCAGTATTACGTACGATGCGGTCGACGCTGCCAAACCGCACTGGTTCATGGTCCCGTTTCTCATTCTCAACTTCATCGTGGGTCAGTATGTGCTGCTAAATCTCTTCATTGCCGTCATTCTGGAAAACTTTTCCATCTCCGAAGAGGAAGCGTATCAATTACAGTTAGCGCAGATCATCGCTATCCCTAAAGAACTCGACATTTACGAGAAGATTGAGGAAGTTGGTGTGCGTGCATTCGGCGAGATGGATCAGCTTGAAAATGTCAGCAACGTAAAGCTGCGTATGTTTCTTGGATTGGACGATAGGAAAGAGGGTGATAACAAGTCTGGTACGGCTGAAGCTGAGGCGCTGAGCTGTAATAGTCTGCAGTCCTCAACGAACCTTCAAAATGGTCTCACAATGCCTCAAACGGCCACCCAGATGAGGAACAATCATCGTGCATCGCAGCGTGTATCGGCTTGGAAAAAGTTGTGCAGACAAGTGGCAGTGAACGTCTGGTTTTCACGGCTAGTGCAGTTTATGATTCTAGTGAGCTGTGTGTGTCTCGTTCTGGATGAACCTCATCCCGAGATGAGTATGTCACCGCCAAGTGAGACGTTTGATTTCGCTCTTACGACAATGAGCCGCATCGCCCTTGTCGTGCTCTTCATCGAGTTTGTAGTGAAAGTTGGCGCGTCAGGATTCGGATTTGAGTATTTGCGAGTGACGATTTTCCATAGTGATGAAGTGCTGGGCTACGTACATCGGCAAACATACATGGAGAACAAGTGGAATCAACTGGATCTGACGCTGCTTTTCCTGGCTATAGCCGACGAGATCATCACGACAATTAATCCTACCGTGACGGCATCGAGCGTCTTCCGCGCTGGTCGTGTGCTCCGACCGCTGCGAATGCTGAATCATAACCACGAGATGAAGGTTATTCTCAACGCTGTGGCTCGCTCGTTGCCACACGTAGGAAACGTGTTGTCACTGTGTCTCATCGTGTACATTATCTTCGGCGTTGTGGGTCGATCTTTGTTCTCCGAGCAATTTTACTTTTGCAATGACAATGACGTGACGTCTGCGGCGGAGTGTGTGGGCTTTTACTTGGTGTATCCAGACGGCGTGTTACCATTGCAAGAAGCTGCAGCGCGTGGTGTACCTGGTGGCGCCATTCTGATGCCTCGAGTATGGCAAAACGCACGCTTTTCCTTTGACAACATCGGAGCAGGATTCCTCACGTTACTTGAAATGACGTCGTTAAAATGGGTCGACAAAGCGTTTGCGGCCATGGATATCGCTGGAGTTGGCAAGCAGCCAGTGACGGATGCCTCCGCCCAAGCTGCGATCTTCTTCGTGCTCTACATTTACGTGGGGTCTCTCTTCGTCATTCGCTTGTTTGTCGGTGTGTTGGTCGAGCAATTCCAACGCAACAACGGCACTGAAATCCTCACTGAGAGTCAAAAGTCCTGGGTGGATCTAGAGAAGTTCATCTTACTGCTCAAGCCGCTGAAGAGTATCCCTCGCCCTCGACTCAAGATACAGGCAACGATGTATGACTTGTGCAAACACCCGTATTTCTCCACGGGTATTTCCATCGCGATCGTGTTGAATCTGGTGCTTCTGCTGGTCAGTCCGAGATCCGAGGGAGGCACGTCGCTGTCTTTCAAGGTCATCGAGATCATTTTCCTCACGATTTTCACGCTCGAAGCTTTGATCAAGTGCATCGGTCTTCGCCAGTATTATCTGCTACGACCACAAGGGATCTTCGAGGTGGCAATCCTAACCGGCTCGATCGTTGCGTACTTCTTCGCTACTGGTTACCACTCGATCATCCAAGCAGGACGGATATTCCGCATGATGCGTGTGCTTCGCTTCGTGCACCTGAATCGCGGAATCTACACTGTTTACCAGACATTTCGAGCATCTCTGCGTCCGTTAGGACAGATTTTCTTCCTCATGTTCATGATCTACTTCATCTTTGCCATTGTGGCTCGTCAGCTCTTTGGTGGAGTGCGATACGGCCCAGCGATGAACTCGTTCTCCAACTTCCGCACCTTTGGCTCGGCTACTCTGCTGCTCTTCCAAATCATGTCGGGCGATGATTGGCATCTCACTATGACCGACTGTATGGCTCAAAAGCCTTTCTGTGCTGAGAGAATAAGCGCCACAACCGGTCGTGTGTATTCGGACTGCGGCAGTGTGGCTGGATCCGCCTTCTTCTTCATCACGTACGTCACATTGGTGGTGTTTGTCTTCCTCAATCTCTTCATCGCGGTCATTCTCGAAAACTTCCGGAGTTGCTACTTGAAGAGCGACGTGTGTGCTGTGTCTCTGCTCGATTTCGAGGCGTATCGTGAAGTTTTCCTGCGCTATGACGTACACAACACCGGGTACTTCCCACTGTGGCAGCTCGCAAGTTTTCTGTCCGAGCTTCCTCCTGGTCTTCGAGTCGACGCTCATCGCGAACGGATAGCATTTCTACAGCTGCGAACTCAAGCTCAAGCGCAGTGGGGGCCAGCAGTCGATGGTCGTAAACGTCCCTATTTCAACGAATTGCTGCGAATTCTGTGTATCCATCAACTGGGGATCCGATCGCTGCCTTACGAACAGCAGAGAGATCGGGTCAAGCAGATCTTCATCTATCGCGCCAAAGTGGCGCAGATGCTCGTGGACTCGTACGTCAAAGGATACATCCAGCGCTGGAGACTACGCAGAGCACGTCTAGCTCAATTGGCACTGCTGAAGGTGGACAGATCGACGTCGACATCCGAAGACGCAGGCATTGAATGTGATCCACCGGCGAAATCTCCGACCAAAGAGATGGAAACCCAAACGGAATTCCCGAAAGACCGACGACACCGTCACCATCATCGCCATCACCACCGAAAGCATCGAAGTCATTCCAAAGAGCCCAAACGAGGGATTGAACTGCCGATCTCTGATGCTCAAGCTCCAAATTTCACTGTTGTGCCCGATGAAGAACCGACTTTACCGATTGCTGATGCTTCCGAGCAACCTCAAGCTGGCCAAAACACACGAGAAGAGCACATCGAGTCGTCTCCGAGTCCCCAGTCGAGTTCGCTTCCTCCTGTCTTGCCGCCGTTGGTGATGAAGCGCGCGCGTGATCCAGTCGTGTTGTCTCCTCTCGTGAATTCGCACTCGACAAAAGTTCATCCGTCCTAGCATAACAAGTCAGCTAACAACTCTAAAACCCCTACCTTTTGCTGCAAAACTACATACTCTATTCAGTTATCTAATGGCGACGGGGATCTACTTGGCCGCAGCACTAGCAACAAAGTCCTTGGCAAGCTGCTTGACGTGTTCCACGTGCTCGTCGTCGCCCTGGTCCTGCTCGAACTGCAGGTACTTCTTGAACAAGAACTTCATCTTCTTAGCCGAGAAGTCCATAGCCAGTAGACGCTCGAACAGGGCGCGCACCAGCGCCACGTCGCCGAACTTGATCTCCTTGTCGAGATACACATTCCACAGGTCCATGCGCTTCGGGTAATTAGCCAGGATACCTTCGAAGATCGTACGGGCCTTGTCCAGCTCGCCCTGCTCGTACAGGAGCTGGCCGTACTTGAGGATAACTGGAAGATGCTTGTGCGCAGCGAGACTCTTAAGACTGCGCTGTAGTGTCTCTGCGGCCTCTGCGAACTGCTTCTCGCCCACTAAGTACTGCAACGAGCGGATCCACGTCTGTTTGCTGGTGCGGAACTTCTTCTGCATGGTAGCAAGCGTCTGCTTCACGTCTTCATGCTCCTCGGCGCGAGCGTAAAGGTCCACCAGGTGCAGGTACACGCGCTTGGGGTGGTTCACCTGCAGCGCACTCTTGAACACGCGCAGGAAGCTGGCATCATCACCGAAGTCGTGCTCCAAGTTGAGGTACGCCACCCACACGTTCAGTTTCTCCTTCTCGTCACGGAACGACACAGCAGACGTAGCGCGTACGGCAACATCACGAGCAAGATCAATCTCCGTCAGTGAGACGTGGAAGGCCATGAACTGGATCCACAGGTACGAGCTCTGCGGTGAAACAGCCAGTAGACGCTCGTAGTCGCTCGCGCTCTGGGGAACCTCCTCGTTGCTAGCCAGAGCCTTCTCGCGCAGAGCCACCCATTCATCACTCTGCAGACGGTTCTTCTTGCTGGCCTTGGAAGAGTTTGTAGCCTCCTCCTCGTCCTCCTCATCAGAAGAAGACTCGTCATCGTCCTTCGAGTCCGTCTTCTTGCTCAAAGCGTTGGAGAATCCATCCCAGCTGAACTCAACGGGAGCAGCGCTGCTCGCATCTTCCTCTTCCGACGAGGACTCGTCGTCTCCCAGGTCAATCTCCATCGCCACAGGCTTCGATTTCTTCACATGTTTCTTCATTGGAGCTTCCTCCTCGTCGACATCCATAGGCTCAGCCTCGTCCTCGTCGCTGTCAGCCTCTTCGTCATCCGACTCCTCTTCCGAGCTGCTCTCTTCACCCTCAAAGTACGAAGGCTTGAGACCAAACGACACACGACGATCCTCTACCTTAAGCACCTTGGCCTTGACATAGTCTCCCTCCGAGAAGATCTGATCCAATGGCTGCGTCACCTTCTCGTCTGCGATCTCCGAAATATGACACAGACCACTGATGGTGGTCTTCTCAATACGAACAAAGACACCGTACGTCTGCACCTTCGTGATCGTACCCTTCACCGTCAGTCCCTCCTTGAGATCGCTCCACTTAAACACTGACACGTCGTCCGAGACGACAGAAGCCTTCAGACTCAGCTCAAGTCCGCGGTCAGACTTCTTCGTCACACGTCCAGCAACCAGCTTGCCCGACGGGAATTGGGTCTGTGGGTCCTTGACGAAGTCGTCACTCAGGTCACGGAGCATGACACGAGCTGTTGTGTGGCGGTCGACACGTACGAAGCATCCGCTCGAGGTGGTTGTGGCAACGATAGCAGGGACCAAATCACCCACGCTACGGTCAGCAGGCTTCGAGGTCTTCTTCGCGTACTCCTTCGGGTTCGCCAGAGCGTCTTCACGCAGCGACAAGTCGATGTGGTTGTTGCTAGTTGACAGCACAACACAACGCACGACCTTACCAGCCGCGAACTGAGGCAGTTCCAGCATATCATTCTCCCACTTGGTCTGCAGCTCAGTGATGCACACACGACCGAAAGTGTGAGCGCCAAGCTGCACCATGATCGAAGGCGGACGGATAGCAGACTTCTTGGTCGAAATTACACCATTCACAATGGCTCCGGACTTTACAACAGCCTTGCACTGCGCCGACGACGAGTGAATCACAGACAGATCCACCGTCTTTTTCTCATCGTCCACTTGGAGCAGAAAGCACTTGACACGCTTGCCCACGGGGAATTTGTCCTGGAACTCGCGAATAACATCCACATCTTCAGACACTTCGACGCAGCTGAGAGTGCCCGTGACGTTGCTGCTAAGCTTGATCGTCAGGTAGTCGACATCCTGGTCTGACACGACGCCTTCGACGGAGTTGCCTTCCTTCAGGAGCGCACGACCGGCGCTTCCCTCCAACCAGTCAGGACGGACAAAACGCTGTACATCCTTCACCTTCTCGTCGCCAGCCACATCTTCAGAACGCAAAGACAGCTGCAGCGCATGGAACTTGGCCGGGTTCTCCTCGCTAACAGGCTTCAGCTTGTTGGCACCCTTGGCGGTGACGGCGATCACTCGGCCAGTAACCGTGGTGTTGACCGAGTACCTGTCGAACGGATGAGAGTGTCCAGACTTTTCGTCGATACCGTCGACATCAACGATCGACACCACTGCGCGCACCTTTCCGGCCTTCTTATGACTCTCGACACGAATCTCCATCGAGTTCTCCGAAATACCGGAAATGACACCGGTCACAGTGCTACCAAGCACCAGGTCCTCGTGGGTGTACTTGGGGGCCTTGAACGACGCCTTGCGCGAAGAAATCTTCGACTTCGTCACCAATTCGTCTTCCTCAAGAGCCAGCAGAACCAGATCATCAAACGGCGTCGAGTTGGAGCCGCTCTTCAGCGTGGACTGCACCACGCGGCACTCAATTGATGCACCCACTTCAATGCCGAGCTGGCTGCTGGTCTGCGACGGACACCAGAAGTCACACAGCTGCACCACACCAAACTGCAGCAGATCAGCGTTCTGGGGGTCCGGGAAGGACACCACCGCGTACTTCTCTGTGGGGCTCACGGCCAAAACCGAAGCAGCAGCGATCTTTCCTCCAGCCTTTACACGCTGTTTCTGCTTTCGCGACTTCTTGGATCCGCTCTTGACCAGCGATTCGTCCACAGCACCGTAGTAAACGTTTTTGCTGAAATCGTAGTCAGTCAGCAGCAGCTTCACACTGTCGCCTTCATCCCACTCTTTGTTCTCAGTCACCGAAGGCACCAGCACCGTCGCGGTCTCCTCGTCCTTCTCCAAAGCGAAGACAGCGCCATACGGACGCACACCAACAAACTCGGCCTTCTCCGTCTTACCCAAAGCAAACGGAGCTTTCTTCACCTCGGCAGCGTTACGAACCGAAGCCTGCTCGCGAAGATACGCTTGAAAGAAAGCAGGACGTGCCTTGTTGGTGCTGTTCGTAGGCAGTACAAAGCTGCTTTGTTGGAAGCCAACAACGAACTGCTTCTTCTCCTTGTTGATCTTCTCAACGGAGCACGTCACAGTCTCGCCGATCTCGAACATTCCCTCATCAATTTGAGCAACAAACTGCTCCTTGAGGAATCCCTTGGGGGCAACTGCAACAACGTTGTTCAGGAACTTGACGAACACGCCCTTCGAGACGTTGACGGACGTCACGTAACCAATAAGAACTGCATTCTCCTGCACGTCTCCGAAGGTACGCGGCACAATGGCCTTACGCGAGGCGAACTCAAGCAGCAGCGGCTTCTTCGAGAGCGTCAACACGCCATCGGATTCTTGAGACACAACAAGCAGCGGCTCTGAGATCACGTCACCAGCACTGAAGCGCTTCACAATCTCGTCCACCAGTGGCGTATTGCGCGGGAAGTCTGTCAGCTGCACGAACGGAAGCACACCCTCCATACCGTCCTTAGTCTGGACACGGAAGCACGTGGTCTCAACGTCCGTAATCTTGACGTTAGTGATCGTCGTTCCCACTAGTTTCGACGCAGTTTCCGGAGCGGCTGTAGGCTTATTACTCGAGCTGTTGGACGTCGTGTCGAACGAGAGCATCAAACGCTTCCTGTTGGGATCGCAACGCGTCACACGAGCCTTCACCACTTGGCCTAGCACGTAAGCTTCCTCCAGGTTCTCGATACCAGCCTGTTGAAGCACAGCCATAGGTACCAGACCGTACACGTTGTTGTAGAAGGTGACAATCACACCGTACTCGCCGATCTTGGTGATGAAACCGTGTGCAATAAGCCCCATTGTAGCCTCCTGGAATGAGCTCAAGACAGGCAGGTCCGAAGAGAGCAGTCCCGACTTCATAGTCAAGTACGTCTTGTTGGCGTCAAGATCCACGTGCAGCACTCGCGCATTCGCCGTCTTTCCAACCTTGTACTTGCCGTTGTTCGCCTTCTTGTTCAGCAGGAACGCCGGCATGTGCTGCGGAGTCACGAGACCACGAACACCTTCACTGATCTCCATAAGAATCCCCCATGGCTCGACAGACAGAATCTTGCCGTTCACCTTCGTTCCAGGCTTCAAGTCTTTGTGACGCAGGACCGTCTGCGAAATTGAGTGCTCCTTGCAGCTCACACTAGCGACCGCATCAAACGGCGAGAAGCCTAACACACGGCACTTGATACTGGAGCCCACAGTGAACTTTTTCTCCAACTTGTCCACGCGCTTGTCAGAGACGTTGGAGATGTGGACATATCCAGGCGCAAAGGCCTTCCACTTGGCATTTGTAGTGGACTCTTTCTTGTCGCTGGCATCTCCCATCTCGACATCCTCGTCCTGGTTCTTCAGCGATAGCAACATACCAACACCTGCATCAATCCGCTCAATAGTGGCTTCCTCGATAATATCCCCGACCGAGAACAGCGACTCTGGAACCTGCATATGCACCACGTGTGGCGCCATCGACAGCGTGATCTGCTTGGCGATGTAATCGATGCTGATGATACGCGCACGAGCCTTCATGCCCTTGCGGTAGGACTCTTCCCAGCCGCGTTCACAAGGCAGACTCATGTGGTTCTGCTCGACTGTAGCTGTGAAGAAAGTGAGGAACGTGACGCTCAGTCCGTTTTCCAGAACGTCCTCGACACGGACGTTAAGCAACATGCCAGGTACTAGTTGCTTCAATGTGAACGAGTCGCCGCGCGTCACGGCCTTTACCACTTGACTGCGGTCGATAGTCACTGTGGCTGTGTTGGTGTGTGTGTTCATGGACACCACGTTAACCAGTAAGTGTTGACCCTTGTGCACAGGCGTCGCGAGCTCCTTGCGGGGCACGAAAGCGTGCACACCACGGATGCCCAGGTTGACAATAGCGCCGTGGTCCTCTACAGACGACACGGTAGCGTGTAGAGAAGCGCCTTTAGTGAGGCTGCTAGGACTCAGCTCAGCGTGGATCAACGACGTGCGTAGAGACAATTGGATCTGCTTGCGCTTGTCGGTCTTGCCTGTGGCCAGCACCACGCACGGCACGAACTGGCCGACTTTGAAGATCGTACTGAGTGGCTGCAGCTGCTCTTCCTCCTCGTCCTGCTGCTTCGCCTTCTTTTGGGTCTGAAGGAACTCGTGGAACTCGTCCGAGCACTCGCTCAATGCCACAGTACCGTTGAGTTTGTTGGGCAGACTGATCATCAGGTCCTGGCCGTCCGTGACCTGACGCACGCAGCCGAGCAATAGCATGCCCTTGCGCAGTGTCTTGAAGCTGAGCAGTGTAGCCTTGGCGGCCTTCAGCTCATCCTTCGCGCCGGTCTTCTCACTCTTAACTGCTTTCTTGGCTTTCTTCTTGGGCTGCTCTTCCGCTGCTACGGCCAGGCCGCGCTTGCCGAACAGCGCCTCGCCCGGAGCGGCCACAGACGTGCTTGCCTTCTGGCTCGGAGCCTTGGGCTTCCTACCGCGCGGAAAACTCGTCGCCGCTGCTGCCACCGCCATCGAGTCGTCACACAGAGACAAAAAGGTTGAGCGAATGCGGAATGGTCAAGAAGCAACGTTTCGAGGACCAACGATTGGTTTGGCGATGGTGGCGCGCTATACTTCGCTATGATTGGATAGTTTTACTAAGTACGATTGTGATTTCAGGGTCGCACTTCAACTTCGTGGAGCTCCGTTCACTACCGAAAAAAATGCAGGCGCTGCCGACTCAAGTCGCCTTTGCGAGCGCAAACCATGTGCAGGCTTATAAGGCATACCATTGCGGTCTATCATACATGTTTGCGAGTGAACAGAGCGTCACACAGTTCGAGCTAATTTTCTCAGGAAGAGACGTTATTACCTGAAATTCATGCCATCATGTAGAAAAGGTGTGTAAGCGCGTCTTATATACTTGTAGCTTTGCGCTTTTAAACGAATAGACGTGGCGCAAAGCAAATGCTTGCACCCCCTTCAAGCACTTATATTTACGCAATTGAGCTCATTTATATGATGTACTTATTCGCTATTCCGGGGATTCTAGTCTATTAAACAATGTCTATGAACTCACTAGAATACACGGTAGGTTTGTTCTTTGCATCTCAACTCCTTGAGGGTTTGTTCTAAACGCTGAGGCTTGCAAATGGTAATAATAACGTTCACAGTAAATATAAGCAAAATCTAGATTGTAATATCTGCATATCTAAGCAGGATGCGGTTTCTCGCACCAATCCCTACTGACAACGAGTAATCCTATCACCAGCTCAGCGATCGTCTACATGTATTAGAATGTACAGCCTTCCCAAGCCGGAATCGCCGGCAGCAACTGATGTAGAATAAGACGGCGCGGGCAAGTAATTTGATGAACATACTAGTCAAGTCAAATTGAGATTTTGGAAATATAGAATAGAGAACCTTGACGGAATTTAGAGGGAATAATTTAAATTTTGAGTTTCGATTATTAAATTCTATAAAAAAAATTGTCCGATGTTGTCTTGACAGAATTTAGAGGTCGTAATTTAAATCTTACGAACAAAATTTAAATGTTGAACAATAAGTTTTGTCAAAATTCATTACCAGAATGGACGCTCTCTTGTCTTGACAGAATTTATTGGTCGTTTTAGAAAATCTAAGTTACGACCAATAAATTTTGTCAAGACAAGAGAGCGTCCAGTCCATCTGATCCGAATCTGATACTAATACACTCAAATCTGATACCATTCTTTGTGCCAGCAACCAGGTTCCCCGCAGCGCCCGGTTGCTCAGCATGGCAGCGCCCACTCCTTCGCAACTCCCATAGCTGGCGAATCGACCACCGAAATGAGCCGTTTAGTTGATCGTAGCTTTCCTCACGCCGTCGACGCTGCATGGCACTACCAAACTGCAGCGAAGGCCGATCTATTGAGTCGGCGCGCAACGTGTTTTCGGGTTTCCCTAGCGGTGCTAGTGGACATTGTGACTGGTCTCGACACTGTACAGCTTCAACACAAGCCGCGTTTGAGTTGTGCAGTGTTGGACGACGTCCGGGACCAGTGCTTTCTTTGATGACGCTACAAGTTACATCGACTTGGCAGTCTTTGAGGTGTCTGCGTGTAATGTAGGCTCTATACATGTACACGTAACGTGTTCAGAAGAAGTGGTATTGCTGCAGTGACTGCAAGTGCGTACATTGTATTGGAGAGACAGGGTCAAGGGATGCCTCGCCATGTTGTGAACTTCTGACCGGTCCTACTGCCGCGATCGCGGAGGCGTCTTCAAGTTGCACGCACCCACCTCGACGTCGAGCAGTTTCCGGGGTCAGCAACTGCATCATGTGAAAATCCGAATGCCCGCGCTCCTTTGCACGTGGCAGTCGCAGGTCAGGTGTGTCAGGGACGTTGTAGCGATCGAATGGGAGTCACCATCGATGGCAGCGACCGCTGCTGCCATCGACTCTAGCTGTTCGCTCGAGACGCCAGTGGAAATGGCACAAAGTGCAGCAATTGCAGCATCGCGTCTTTTGTTTATGTCGGTGTGTGATTGCCAGCACCACGTTATCATTTTCGGTCAAGAAGAGTCCAGTTAGAGGCATTCGAGGCTCAACGTTCGCAGCTCAATGTCACGTTGGCCAAGTCGCACTGTCGCTAAGTCGGCGATTCGTGAGTCAAGGCAACTTCAACGGTGAAAAGCGATCCAAATCCAAAAACTGTTCAATGTGTGTTACAATTGTGTGTTTCATTTGTTCAATCTTCGCTTCCTTCCTCTGATAAATACCTATGTTGTCCCTCCTTTCGCTGAGGGGGAATGTGTCGAGCAGTGGCTGTCGTCGTCGTGCTCCTAGGTTTGTTGTGATAGTTTGCCTCTGTCTAACTGCTGGTGGTGCGCGGCGCATCATATACAATCCAACTCGGAGAAAGTCTCTCCCGTCGAGGGGTCAAGCATCCATGCGCTGAGTTCGCAAGGGAATTCCTCGTCGTCTCCCTCAGCCGCGACCCTGACGAGTGTGACACTCACTACGGCACGGACGATCTGCTTGCCGATGTCCAGCGCGAGCAGCTCAGCGCGCGGCATTTTACCTTGCTCCTCGGACAGCACCATGGACGACTTGAGCTTCTGCACGGCGTATTTGCCCGTGAAGGCCTTGGGGAACTGGAAGCGGCACACGGGGCACGTGCTGTGGCTCTGCAGCCACGACGAAATGCACGGGTAGTGGAATGAGTGGCCGCACGGCAGCGCTACGTGGCCGTCGCACGGGTTCTCACTCATGCAGATCACACACTCCTCACCCTCGTGCACCTCGGCTGCCTCTTGGCTCTCGAGTTGGTCCAGGATGGCCTGGTCCGCGGGCGACGAGCTCTTGAGACGCGGCGAGACGTATCGCATCATGAAGCGCACCCAGGTCGTGGATCGGAACATCTCGAGAACATCGCGAATGACGGCGTTTGCCGGAGCATGGTACTGGACTTCGACGCGCACCGTGATGTCCATGGGGAGGGTCGCGTCCGGCTGTGGCTCGCTCGTGGTTGCTGTGGTGTGATCTGCAAACGAGCAGAGACTGATTCCTGTTATGGAGAGATGACGTCGACCAGCGAATATGTGCGGCGGCGCAAAAGGTCTCTGCTGCTCCTCTGGAAAAGCAAAAGTGAGCGATAGGCAGCCATCGCGCGACCAAGGCGGCAGACGAGAGAGCGCTGGGCTGGCGCTTTTTCCTGCTCGACCATAGACGGACGGGTCGAGCAGTTTCGAAAGAACGGGTTTTAAACCCGCGCAGGAGAGTGGGACCAGGTTATCGGCACTCGTGAGGGCCACAGCACTCGTTGCTCTTCTCACGGCGCTTATCATAGACTGAGAGCTGAGCCGTCCAGGGCTATCTAGCGTCGAGTAGCTCTCATGACCATCGCAGCCAGCGGTGGTGGCGGTTTGCTATCGCTACGGTACATGTAGCTGCCGGACGGCTCGAAAACGACGCCGACAGCTGCTGTACGAACCTGATGGAATGATTGTTTTCTACGCCGGATGAATCCGCCTGCAGCAAAACACTGCCGGCCGGCACCAGTGTGGTAACGTGAGAGTCGCTGCTCGACACCAGGACCCTGAGGTTGAGCGTCTCCAAAGCTGCCGTACATGAAGGACGGAGATACTCAGTCACACCGTACTCCGTTTGGCGCTGATCTCAGACAGCAGCGGTGCCAAGCAGCCGCTGAGATGACGCCCGCCAGGCAGCAAACTTCAACCTGAACTTGTCATCGCGGTCCTGTTCGAGCGCGCGCGAGCGCAGCCATTTCAATTCTTCCACGGCGTGCACCTGCCGCAACTTGGCTCGTATTTGGCTCGCTAGAAAGGTGGTCTCCGGTGACAGCGCGCCGCTGGCATTTGAGTTGAGCTCGCTTCGCTCCAGGCAACGGGCGGTTGTTTAATCTCGCCTGCGCGTGAGTAATGATCGTAGTGGGACCCTTCCAGAACTGCTTGATGCAAGCGTGGGCGAAGATCGCGACTTGAGCTGGCCGAGTCTCGGACAGTGCAACTTGCACCCGTTGCCGTAGTCGCTTTCATCAGAAGACGGCTAAGCCGGTGCAGAGATGGCTTGCTGAGCCACGGCGGAGAGATCAGATCGCCTGTGTCGATTATAAAATGATCCTACAGAGAAGGGCCCTTCTCATCCAGCAGCTGCAGCAACACGTGCCTCGTTACCGAAGCCGGCTAAAACGATACTTCTAATAGTACGGGAGGTGGTTGCAGGCTGAGTCATCTCAGTGATTTCCACCAAGCAGACTTGTGCCCTTGCTGGTCGGCGCGTTAGTGCTCGGCTGAGCTCGCCTCTGCAGATGACATTACGTGCCATTACTCATTTGAACATCGCTGCGACGTCGAGCAGTGGTAATGCGCATTACACGGGCAGTTCGCCGGTAGTCACGTCCCAGGGGAAAAAAATTCGGAGCTGGGGTTGCCTACGCGCCACTGCCTTACCATGAACGGCCGCATTCTGCTCATTTCTCCTTTTCGCTCGCTCATTCGCTCAGACCTGTAGCTCGAGAAAGCAAATCTCGGACCAGGCAACACGGCAACGAATGGAGGTGGCGGTGCGCCTGGAGGTTCACTACTGCACGCCGCTAGATACAGTTCTAGGGGACGTTCTGCGCCTGCTGCGCTCGCAGACTTGGGCAGCCTTTATGACCAGGCATATCGGACCCCGGCTCGAGAAGGTCTCACCCGTCGACACCTCGATGCTGGAACGCTTCGACAAAAAGTGGCAGGTTGAAGCAGGTTATTGCTTATCCGAGGGCTGCGTAATATGCATGGACTCTGGTGACGAGTATGCCGACGACAGTACCGGCATGCGTCGTTCGAAGAATAGCAGCGTCCAGCTCCCCTGTGGCCACGGTTTTCACCACCGCTGCATTCATTCGTGGCTGCAACTCCAGAGCACGTGCCCCATTTGCCGCTGGCAGTTCCCGAAGGAGTTCGCCGGCAGGTTTGTCGTTCGCCGCTTGCAATCGACTGCGGTGCTGCCACAACACATCCGATCGTGGCCCCGTGCCAACATCGCATACGCTCCCGTCGGCGGTCACTACGTTCGCGTCATGGTGAGCCTTACGCTTGAGAAGACAATCATTGGGGATCCGTTTGGCGTGTCGTGCCCGTGCGAGATGACCGTCCTCCTTCTGGACGAGGCCAGCGGCGAGATATTTTCCGAAATGGACACCCGGATATCAACGGTTCCATGCCACTTTGCAGCTCCACAACATCGGATCGCTTCCACTCGATTTGCCTCGCTGGAGGAGACCAAGTTTACTGACGAACTGGTCTCGTCCAGCGTTGCAAGGGAGACGGGTAGGAAGAGGAGGTGCTTTCGTTCGCCGTCGAAGACGAACAAACGGCAACGAGTCAGCAGCGAATAAGCTCCGAGTTGTAAAGTGGTAATATACTGAGAGCACACGAACGAAAGTCTCGACACTCGCATGAATCCAGTATGTATCCTTGCGATACTTGTACATCCTCAACGCGTGTACATGTAATCCCCATCGGCATCATGAGTTAATTGGCGCGCTGCAACCACGCCAGTCGGATAAACGGTGTCCACCTGCAGCTCGACCAGGGTGAATCCGACATGCCTAATCGGAGGTGACTAAACGAGCCTGGCACGGGTGCTCAATTCAATCAAGCGGTTGCCCCGTTCCTGGTGCCGCATGGATCCCGTACCGCGGCGCAAAGCTGTAGTGAGGATACACGTGCAGCGGGTCGGACCAAGTTGACTCTTTGCCCCACCGAAACTTCAGCAATCCAGCCGAGACGAACTCCAGGATGTCAAGGCAGCTTGCATGCGATAGTTTGCCCGCGAGCTCCCACCTTCCGCACCCCTCTGAAGTGCGTCCAGTTAAAGCAAGCTTTCATCGATCGGAGCCCCTGTCTTCGCGGTCTCATTGCAGGATTCGCTGCGTCGGACTCAATCAGAACGGGCAAAAACTGCTCAATCAGGAGAGCACAGGAGCCAACACCATGGAGCTGCAGCTTAGTGTGACCGTCCGCTACGTCGCGCGGCATTCCGATGTCATCGGGGACGTGCTGGGCCATTTCGAGAGCCCTGCTTGGGTGCGGCTCGTATTGAGACAGACTATGCCGCAGTTGAAGCAGATCTCGCCCACCGACCCGAACGAGCTCACCAAGATGGTGCGCAACACAGAAAACAGTGCTAAACAGGAAACAAACTGCGCCATTTGCATGGGGGAAGAACCTACCGACACCGCACCGGTCGAACTGCCGTGCAGCCACAGATTCCATTCTACCTGCGCGCAGTCGTGGCTCCAGCGCCGCAGCACATGCCCGCTGTGTCGATTCCAGCTTCCAACAGCATACACAGGCACCTTCGCGATCGTATCCGTGCGGTCGACTCTGCTACTGCCACCGGAGCTTGACGGACTGTCGCTATCGGGGTTGCAAGTTCAACCTGTCGGTGGCCAAATACTGCAAGCCACAGTGACTATCACCATGACAAGGATACCAGCGGAGACGACGTTGGACACTGCAAAGCGGCGAAGGTCGTGCCAAGTGAGTGTGGACATGCTGCACGCTAATGGATCATCGGCGTTAACGCCACTTGGTCGGAACGCCAAACGAAAACGAGAAGAAAAAAGTCGAAAAGGTAAAGGATATGACGCTAAGGAAGATGTCTGCAAGAGAGCTCGGATGACCGCCTAAGCTCAACACGTGAACTAATGAAAGCATAGTCGATTGATCTTCTTACGCTACGCGAATGTGAGAGCGACGACGGCAATGGCATCGTCCGACGTGGACCACTGGTTATTAACGTCGGAACCTGTTGGCAGCATCGACGTTGCTGTCATTCGTGCTCATGGACATGAGCAGATGGAAGTGCATGAACTCTTCCAACACGCGGTGTGCCCACAGAAGCCAACTCAACATGCTCCGTGAGTTGCTTTTGGAGCTTGTCCAGCTCCGTATTCACGAACACGCTGCCAGCTGGCCCGAGACACACTTGCTGTTGTACCAGTCTCGCCACCTTCAGCTTTATTTTCTCCACGTCTTTCTTTTGCTCTTTGACCTGCTGGAGCAACGCCTTGGACTTCAGCTCCATCGTGAGCATGCTGCGCTTTATGGGGCTCAGAGTAAGCAGCGACGTCAGCGCAGATTTGTCCCCTGCTGACATCTTCGTCGTCGTGTTTGCGCGGCGGTTCTTCCCTCGTGAACGCTTTCACTGCTTCATGTTCTTCGTGCGCTTCGTCTTGGTGTGTGAGGCAACCATGGCAAGGCCAGGGAAATCTTCGACTGAAAAGGAAAGGGAAAGCAAGCTCTGAGGAAAGGTTGCCTTATCGATGTGGCTACATTTTTACTAGGATACAAAATGGCAAAATGACATCAACTTCAACATATAATACCTGCTCCTCGAAGATGCACGAGGGTCGAGAAAAGAAGCAGCCAGTTTGCTCTTCCCATTGTTGCTACGCTGCTGTCACTGCTTATTCCTGGAAATGCATACTGGGCCTCATTGCCTCGTACAGCATTGCCGCCGCCAAACGGGGGCATCATGTAGTTGGGTGGTAGTGGGTTTGCGGTAGTGTCGGTAACGTTAGAGAGGTTGCAGTTGATCGAGTTACAAAAAGCGCGAACCGCTGCAGAGGTGATAGCCGAGCGATCCGTATCATTTAATGCAAACCCGTTTGAAGGTTGTCCGTTCGGCTCGTCATCGTCTCCATCTCCAGGCTCACTGGCGTTTGCCAGACTTCCACCGATGTTGATTATTGTTATGCTGTTGCCAATATTCACACCGTCCAAAGTCGTGACGACACTCGACTGGACGGCAGCAGCTTCTTGGTCCTTGCCGCTTTGGCTACGGCTTTCACTGTCGTCCTCGCTGTCATTGTTGTCTCTGCTATTATCTTCATCATCATCGTCGTCGTCGTTGTTATCTTCATTGCCGTCGTTGTTATGATCGTCAGAGTCGTCGTCGTCGTCACTATGGCGACCGTTGCTTCGTTCTTCCCTGTCCTCGTGAGAGCCCCATGCACGATTTTCTCCATGAAACGGAGCTGTCGGCTGGTTATCCGCATGCCCGTCTTGCAGACTCCTCTCCTCGTTCTGAAGCCACCCAGTGCCAACCAAGCGATGTTTATCGTCAGTGCGCCAGTAGGAAGCTGGTTCTTGAACTAATACGCCACCTTTCCTCGTCGTGGTGATAGCTATCGCCACCAATATCGCCCCTGTCGTTGCTCCAACCACTACCACAAGTCGAAGCAAACATGAGCGCAAAGTCAACAACATAATTACTCACAAGTGCCTTTGTTTCAAAAGCCAAAGCTTCTCGCAGTTTATCGTCCATCAATCTCAGCAGCTTCTTTCTTCTTCCTAGTCGTACTGAATTATCTGTTAGCATCGATCAAAACCAGTCAAGGCCTTCGACATCAAGTGACGCAATCGCTTCTCAGTGACGACACCTTCACCACTATTGTGTCGACTCTTCGGACGTCTCGGACGAGCTCGACGAGTTCTCGCGCGGACGCTTGGATCGTGGGCTTGTTGGTGGCTTTGACACTGGCGGTTTACCGTACTCGTTGAGGGCGTATGACTTTTTCATGCCCGCCATACAACGACGCATAGCGATCTTGTGATCCACAATCGGGAACGGATAGTCTTTGCCGATAAGGCAGCCTGCCGAGTGCTGCACAGTCATCGGCGCCTTCCACGGCTCGTAGATGTATTTGACTGGCATCTTGCTCAGTGCCGGGACGTACTTGCGGATAAATAATCCTTCAGGGTCCCATTTCTTGCCGAATGTTGACGGAGAATACACTCTGAAGTAAGCCGAGAAAAAGTAGCTGGCACTAAGCCAAAGCCAATTGCCACAGTTGATACTCCAGTCGTGATCGATCAGCTGCTCCTGGAAGACCTCGAGTCCTCGTACCCATGAAATGTACAGATCTCCGCGAGTAAGGAAACACGCTACCGAGTGGCGCGCGAGATGATGCATCCAGCCTTCCTCCTTGAGTTGGATCATGATAGCGTCGATCCATGGGAAACCAGTCTGGCCATCGATCCAGGCCTTGAACTGCGAGCGAGCGAGCTTGTCGTCGTCAGTCATATCCTCCTCCCTCTCTGGGATTGTGTGCCATCGCCAGTCAATCAGCATACAAGTCGGACTCTCCTCCATCTTGTCGAAGTACGGGTTGGCTCGGCCATGGCAGTGGAAAAACTCACGCCACAGAAGCTGCCCATCCAAGCTCACAGGAGTAGCTGATGTCGCCTTGGCGTGATGTTCCTGAATGCCTCGTACGTGATGTAAGAACGTCCGTGGGCTGATTGAGCCGAAGTACAAGTACGGACTGAGCGAAGTTGTCGAAGCAGAAGGGGTCGTCTGTGCCGGAGAAGTTTTCGGCTTCTCAAACTTGACCACGCGGCCTTCATTGCGACAATAGTCCCGTAAAATACCCAACGCAATTTGTTCGCCGCCGTAGATGAAAGGATGTCGCTCAGGAGCTTCGTAGCCGAAGTCAGTGACTTCAGGGAGTGTAAATTGCTGCTCAGGGCCTGCAATTTCGTTCAGTTGCTTCTCCTTCTCTTCAGGGTCGTCTTCGTCTTCGAATTCTTGCTTATCTTCCTCGTCTTCGTTCTTTTCCTCCTTCGCCTCCGACGGTGTCACTCGGTCGGGTTTCAGGCGATTCTTCCAGTAATCCACCACTTGCTGATAGAGTTCACTGGGCAGATACGCAGGCGCTGGCACTTTTTCGGGCGTTGGGAGAGGTTTGGGTGGTTTTGGCTGCATGGCTAGTGCGCGAAGAAAAGCTGTGTAGGTCTTCGGTGGCTCTCCGTTATTTCCAGCAATAACTGCGTCCAAGTCGTAGAGCGTGTATCCATGTGTCACATGCGTCTCGACGCCCAATTGTCTTGCTAATGCCACTGCTCGGTTGTCTCGATTGATTGCAAATGGCTCACTTGCTGCGTCGAAAAACAAGTGCGAGATACGCCACGCTGACAGCAAACGCCTTAACACTTGCACTCCGTCTCCTCTGGCCACCACAAGTCGAGATCCTCGTGCAGCCAACGCGTCGGCCAGATCCGAGACACTCTCGAGCATGAACTGGAAGCGGTTGACGCCACAGAGCATGATTTTGGGGCGGTGCACGATGTAGAGCGGGATAAACACCACCTTACGACTCGGTGTCTTCTCCTGCTCCTGTTTTATCCACTCCAGCGCTGCAGTGAGCGCCAGATTATCATGTAGACGGAGATCGCGTCGAAACCACATAAGGATCCTGATCTCATCTTCATTGTCTGCTGTTGAACCCGTTCCAGGGCTGATTTCGCTTGGTGTTACCTCCTCGTTATCCTCTACAACTGTAGATTCTTTCTGCTGGGATTCGGCAGACAGATTTGGCGGCAAAATCGGCTCTGAGGCAAGTTCTTGTGGCGCGTTGATGGCTGCGTGCACGGCATCGAGCGTCGCGGCGTCTAGCGTCGATTCCGGAAGCTCCGAGTCGGGATCAGCTGCTTCCAGCAAAGATGACGCGAAGTCCACTAGGTCTGCGTCATCGGTAGTGTCATTGGTGTCCTGGGGAGGCAGCAGTGGCGCAGGAGGTGGGGGTGTACGATCCGTCATGAGTTTCCAAGATCGAATGGCAGAATGACAAGCAAAAATGCAACGATTGATTTTGAACCAATCCAGGATGTTCAAAAGGTAAGTTACAACCAATCATAGAGCACGTTGAAGTGGTGAAGAATGGTCCTTCGTGTCACTAAAGCGAAACAATATATAATGTTTCATTTTTTTAGTTGAAAAGCAAGGCTTGTTCTCGGATACAATCTACCGGTATCTATTACATAGGAAGTGCACTGCAATATATCTAGTGTAGAGGTCTACTGGATCTCGTCGAACATCTGACCGATGTGAGCCTTGAGCGCCTGCGGGTTGCCCGCGTGTGGTGAGAAGAGCTCGGCCTCCTCCAGGTATTTCTCGTGCACCACGTCGTTCTTGTTCTTGAGTCGCGCGAACACGGCGAGACCGATGAACGCAAGAGGCACGCCAAAGTCGGCGACCAACCACATGGTACGAGCACCATAATGCTGGTAGAAGTAGCCACCAATGAGTGTGCCCACGCCACGAGCAAGGCCGTTCTGCACCGCGTTCAACACACCCATGATCGTGCCCTGACAGCCAGGAGGAGCCGCCGAGTACACGTACTGCGTGCATGCCGCCCACGCCAATCCATATGTCACGCCGTGCAGGAATTCGAAAGGGATGGCGCTCCAGGCGTTGGTCATGACAGCGTAGTAGGATACGCGCAGGAAGTAGCCAAAGATCGACAACAACAGCACGTTCACGATGCCAAACCGGTTGATGATCTTGTGGGAGTAGAAGAATGCGGGCAGTTCCGACGCTGTCTCGCACATGATAGCAATTCCCACAATCTGGGCATTCTCACCTGACAAGTTGTACAGATTCAGCGTGAGGAAGCTGGAGAGCACACCGTACATGAGCCCCATCAAGAACACGACACCCAGTAGCACCAGTACGTCCACCTTATCACAAATAAGCCGGACATTGTCTATGAACGACGGGGCTTGTAAAGTGCCATCTTCCAGATCAACTTGTTGCAATAGTCGACTGTGCTGCATTGGCGGGATTGTACGCAGCACCAGCAGAGACGTCATTCCAAGCGCTAGGCTTACGTTGAAAGACCATGAAATGCCGGCGACGGCTACGATGAGGCCCGTGATGTAGGCTCCCGCACCGTAACCGAGTGCGCCGAACAAACGTTGCTTGCCGTACTCGCCGCCGACTTTATCTAGAAGGTTCAGTACTGTGTGGTCCAGCAGCGAACCAGTCGGGGCCACTTGAAAGTTGGCCACGACAACGACGACGATCATCCAGTTGAAAGACCAGTAGAAGAAGCGAACTGCAAACATGAACAGTGCGGCCGTGATGATGCAGAAGACGTGAATAAGTCGCTGATTCTCAATGTGGTCGGCGACTGCACCCCAGAGTGGCGGAGCCACCAAGGTGCACACACAGGGCAATGTCTGTAGCACGCCGATCTGCATCTTGGAGAACTGCGCTGTCTGCTGGTAGAAGATGCTCAGGAAATTCATCTGCGCCGACGTCCAGGCGTTGCTGACAAGGTACATGAGTTTGGGCTGCCACAGCGAGTGCGTGGGCTCCACTGGCGCCACCAGCGGCGTCTTACTCGTCACCTTCACCTGGCACATGACCAGCAACAGAAACTCAACCCAAAGTTACGACGGCTGTGGCGACTGCAAGCACTGCGCCTTGCACTGGAATTTGGTGAATGAGGTCCACCCCTACGAGCAAGTGATGCCCGTTCCCGATGCACTTGATTGCATCGTCTCTGATATGCTTGTTCACCCCTCCTGATATCGTCTCTTCCATTCTGCAAATACGCGCATTCAGGATGGATGTCATTTGCTTGAATTTGTGCCCATCATAGCGCAACGGTGGACTTTCAACCTAAATCCTTTTCCACCAACCATATCGATTTATTTCCAAATTCCGTTCATTCATTCGCTGAAAAGCAATGTAATCAGACACCAGCCATCGATTTCGTCGTACGTTGACGCATTTTTTGACCCAGCATTGTTACGCACCCGTCCCGATGAGCTCCGCGTTGACTGGTCTGCAGCAGCTTCTAGCTGACAAGAAGCGCGTCGTCGTATTGGATGGAGGCTTTGCCACCGAATTAGAGAAGGACCCGCGGGTGGATTTGAGCGCTAGTAGCCTCTGGTCCGCCTCGCTGTTATTGGACAAGAACGAGCACCTTCAAGACGTGGTTGTCAATGCACACCAGACTTATTTCCTGGCAGGTGCCGATGTGGCCACCACCGCCAGTTATCAGGCTTCAGTCGACGGCTTCAAGCGTGAGGGCGTGACAGCCATCGAGGACGTCGAGAAGCTCTTCGCTAAGAGCATCGATCTCGGCGTACAAGCGCGTGACGCGGCCTGGAACGAGCTGCAACAGAGCAAACGCATTAAACCCCTCGTAGGCGCCAGCATCGGCTGCTACGGTGCGGCGTTGGCTGACGGATCGGTGAGTTGTTATCAGGATTTGCATTCTTTGGATGGTGCGCTCACTGACTAGCGAATTTTCGTTGATGACCAGGAATACCGCGGTGACTATGGCAAGACCAAGGACGAGCTGGTGGCTTGGCATAAGCACCGCTTTGCCTTCTTCACCAACTACGCACCTGCTGATTTCTTGATCTGTGAGACCATTCCCTGTCTCGTGGAGGTGGAGGCCTTCGTGGACCTGCTCAACGAGTTCCCGACCACACACGCCATCGTGGCCGTGGCCTGCCGCAACGGCAAGGAACTCAACAGCGGCGAGCCGATCGCTCGCATCCCGGAGATCCTGTCCAAGCTCAAGAACCCCTCGCAGCTGTTGGCTATTGGTATTAACTGTACGCCACCGCAGTACGTCGAGAGTCTGCTGCTCGAGCTGGATTGCGCTTGGCCCAAGGCCGTGTACCCCAATAGTGGCGAAGGCTGGGATGGAGTGAACAAGAAGTGGCTTCCGGCTGATAGTACTGGTGGTCCCAGCTCCTGGGAGGAGTACTCTCCCAAGTGGTACGACGCTGGAGCGCGCTTCTTCGGTGGCTGCTGCCGTACGTCCCCCGACGACATTCGCGCTATTCGCGAGTACTTTGCCCGCCGCCAGCTGCTGTAACTTGCCGGTCCGACGCTCGAAATCTACCACTTGCTATGTAACTAGTCACAGAGTTCTTTAGAGACTGACGCAAGTGCTGGTGAGACCGCCGGGTTCGAGCTTTCGAGATACAGACGCTGTCGCTCATGATTACGAAGATAGCGCAGTGCAATGCGAACGTTCGCGCAACAACGCTTAAACGCTTCGTCACTTGTCAGTTGCTGTGCATTAGAGACGTCGCAGTGAGAAATAAAGCTCTCGACATGTCTTCGCAGTTCCCTCAATTGTTTCTTTTCGTGCCCGCTGCAGCGTCGAGTTGAATGGTAATCGGGGCTTACGTCGATATTGTTTGACTCCACTTTAATGCGCACACTGTGCTCGTCAGCTATCACCGTTTTGCGTGACATTTCTTCACACATCTTCACTCGGAAATGTGGAAGTTCCTTCACTCCCAGGTCGTCCAGGTGGATAATCTCGTCGCAAGCGAAGCACAGCGCGATATGGCACGAAAGACATCGCTTCTCCGCTGGAATCCGGAGATTTCTCAATGCAAAACACAAGAAGCAATGTCGTCGTCCCAGCTCACTACTTCTGCTATCTCGTGCGTTGAATGCGTCCAAATTCCTCTCGTCTTCTATTGTGGTTGGAACACGCCCAGAGTTGGAATCACAGGGGGTCAAATTTGTAGCTGCAGATTCGTTCGAGCTAGAAGCAACAACAGTCTGGATCTGTGCCTTCTCTGCGTATTTCATCGATTCAGCAAGCAGTTGCCTAGCTGTTTGTTCGCGCTTCAAGGCCTCATCTCGCTCCTGGAGAGCCACTAAATACTGTTTTGCCAAAACTTGGTTGAACTTGGACTGGTCGACGCCGCCTCGATGTTGCGTCATGTCTAGATCTTCAGTCGAGCTTCTTACTGTTGCTGGATATATCGGAGTATTGACAACGAGCATCCTCTTCTTTTCCTCTTCATCTGTTTGGTCTTCATCTAGACGCACCCACGACGCCGAGTCATCTATCACCAACGACAAAAGAGCTTTGGCTCCCAGTACGACGTGTTCAATTACAAGCAGCAGCCAGAGTTCTGTTACGTATGCACTTGAGTTATCAGTTGTTGTATCCTCTCTCCAACCCGGACGTATCACTTGAATTAGGCTTTCAAAATCCGATCTGGTAGTGAAGAAGAGCACAGCACAGTTGACAGCGACAGCAGCAAAGCTCATAAACTCCAGGATACTCATAAACGTCGACACCTCCGTCTCGCTTTCAAAAGGTGGACGTCGTTTAGCTTGCGTGCAACTCAATACATCTAGACGCGTTGCCACAACATTACTTAGTAGAGCAAACAAAGGCGCCACAGGTAGTACCGAGACAAACATGGTAACGTATCCGAACTGTAAAACTACTTCCATCTGCTTCCCCATAAGAAAATCGTGGGGATACATAAGTTCTTGCAGGAGAACCATCGGAGGAGGAGGAAGGATACGTTCTTTTCCACTCAATGACATTGCTGTGGACGAATATGAAAGTTCTGCGTCGTACCATTCGTGACTTGACATGGACCAGCAATTTTTGACTCGACCGGATGCCTGTCGAAAGCGAAATCCAGCGTTTTTCCATCGATACCGCACGTGAAACATTGGTAAGACATCTCGCTGAATTGAATTCCACAACTGACGAACTCCCATGATGATCAAGAGCTGTTTGCGAAGCGCAGTAGCGTTCTGATCCACAAATGCGATCCAGAATAATGAGATGAAAGCGTTTAAGAATTTGAAAGAGAACAGTTTAGTGGCGAGCATGCTTTCAAACTCCCAAACCGTGCGATGATTCTCCCAGGTGGTGAGCGAACGAGCGAGTCGGGTATACCAAGTATCAAGCAGCAACATTGATACCGCATTCATAAATGGAACGACGTAAGGGACAAATATCACTGGCAACCACGGCATGGCGTTATGCACGACTGCCGATGACGCAGTGTTCGTCTTGACTGCAACAAAAATCACCACTGCGGCTATAGCCATGGTCATAAGTAAGGGAATACCAGTATAAATTCTGACAAGCTGTACAGCTCTCGGAAAACTCACATCGACGGCACATTTTGCTCGTATCATCGTGGTTTCAACTAGAAAATCCCCGTAGAATCCTGGAGTTTCCTCGCTTCGGTTGCGTCGAAAATGCCCAAATTTTCTCTGTATTTCACTACGTTTGCGTTTCCAGCATTCCACCATTAGCGTGGCCCAAATGGACACTACAATCGCAAAAAGTGGCGGCACAAAACTGACATTATTCGCTAGCCACAACATTTGACAAGCCATTCCAAGCACAGCAATCGGAAGCAGCCACACAGTGTAAAACGTCACAAAAGCATAGTAGAACGCATGCTTTTCTCCAAAATACGTGAGAAGTGGCCACAACATTTCGTACTGATGTCGCTTACGCTCCAAGAAAAACTGTTCGAGGCTGTTGCCTGTAAAGGGCTGGAAAATCCGTTGGGAAGAATCCGTGTAGCCCCAATGACGAATGATGTTGCGGCAGCCCATGACATCGTGCAAAGGAAAAATCGTGATAATGTTGCCGTTCTTGATGTGATTCTGGAGGTTAATCTTCCTCTGGATAATACTGAGAATCACTTGTTGACGTTGTAGCGATCGAAAGCTCTCAAATGATTCAGGAGAGCTAGCGTTGTATATGGAGCGCGTTGACGAGCCTCGATGTTTCACTTTGAGCTGTAGTACTTGAGCCTGTTGAATGAGCACCTCATCCGCAGCACCGACAACGAGATAGTCGATCTCTCCCCTTGCCTTACAAGTTCCAGAAACTGTTTCACGAACACCCGACCGAGTCACGACAAGTGATGGAGCAATAGAGCTCTCTTCGTGCATCGTCTCGATGACAGTCTCTTTAAACTGTTTCTTCCTCATTCCATCGAAGAGCATCACGTATTCAGGTCGCGCGGATTGGTGTTCAATGCCGAGCGTTTGTCGAGAAGTCTCACTTGAAATATGATGTAGCAAGGATCCCTCGACATTCACGTTTTCAAGTTCCCACGCGAGACTTTTCGGGCAAAGGATGTTGGCGAATAATCTCACCGCGCTATCTTGAAGATAGAGTATTGCGTGAAACAAGGGGGTTTCGTTGCGGTAGTTTGTCCAACCAGCGTTCACGTAGTCCAAAATATTCAGTTGTTCCGTTCTCTCAGTTTCGTTGTTCGATTCAGTCATCTCCATAGTCATGACGATAGGAACGACGATATTTTTCTTTGGTTTTACTCCGTTCAACTTGGAAATTCCAATGAGAGTAGCTGAATCCGAAGGATGTAGTTGATCGTCTAGCATTTTGTCGAGAAACAGCTTAAGGATTTCTAATTGACCGTGTGCTGCAACAGCGTGAAGCACAGATTGTCTCTTACCATATTCACACGAACAAGTGTACAGCATCCGGAGAGAGATCTTGAGGTTATTGTCGTCAGTACTCTGTGCTACCAAAGGTTTGACCGCCGCCTTAGCGCCACTATTGCTGCTAATCGATGACATTTTCAGTTCTAACTGAAGCAGAGAACGAGCGTCTTCGACAAGACCGAAGCAACCTGCCCAGTAAAGAAGATGCTGGGCGTACCGGACTGCGTCTTGTACCGTCAGAAGGTTGGATTTGTTCTTCTGAGGATACAGCGGGTTGCGAGCATTCATCTCGGCCACATATCGTGTAAGATGCGCCCCATTCGCAAGAAACTCGTGAATAAGTAACCGTACAACTTCGACATGATCAAGTCGTAGACGCCAGCGAACATATTCTCCGTTTGGTTCGTCATCTTTCGAGCTTACTTGTCGTTGTAAGGTGGTCCTTTCATCTTTAAGCGCAAGTCCACGACGTCCAGCAATATCCACCGCAAACAGGTCGTCCGTATCGATCATCAGTGGAATGGCAAACTGAGTCTTGGCAAAGCGTTGTATACCACCTCCAATGTGTAAAACTGGATTCATCAACATCGCAATTTGCTCGTGATTCCCGTTGTATGCAGCCCAGTGCAGCGGTGCCCATTTGTTGCTTTTCTTGGGTAAATTAGGCTGGTCTCCGTGGACCAAAAGCTGCTTTGTCATGTCCAATCCGTCGTCAATGTGCTTTGCATTGGAACCACAACCGAAACAACTCACACATTGTAGCGGTGTATTGCCAAAGTAGTCTACGTGCTGCTTGCCTTCCAGCAATTCACTCGGAGGGATCGCCCAGAGCGGGGGTAGCTGAACTTCGGCCATGGGCACCACATCGGAACCTCCGTCTTTTGTTACCATCGACACTTTGAAAAGCGCGCTTGAACTTGGGAATTGCTGGAATAGCTTCACTAATGGCTTCAACAACTCCACGACCTCATCCTCCGATCTACTTGTGAAATGCACGACGCATTTCTCACCCAACAGCAGACGAACAACGCTCGCTTGCCCACCCATACATGCAGCAAGTAGGGCTGTTCTACCTGCGATCCCTCGAGCGCGAAGCTGAGACGCTGGAGATAGCTTGCTAAACACCAGCAACTCCACCACACGCTCCTCATTGCCATTCTCGCAGGCCTCATACAGGTCCATGCAGTGGGATTATCAGAGCGGTTATCCTCATCTGCGAGACGAGGACTGCTAAAATTGTTGCCAGAGATCTCTTAAATTTGATATAGCTTGGTGAACCCTGTTAAACGTGATAAGAGTTGATAATTAATTTGTTATTCTTAGCAGATACACATTTGCTTCGAGTCACCGTGTTCCAGGGATGCTGCTCATTCCGGCTGCGAAATCGATGCAGGGACTCGGTAGTTATAGCAGATATCGTCGCCACTCCAAGAGGAGCCATCAGACTCCGTGTCTTCAGTTTGCGTGCGTGTACTCGTCACTGACGAATTTGTAGACTCCGTATCACTGTCCGAGATAGATTTACTCATGCCAGCTATGCATCGTGACATTGCCAGCTTGCTGTCCACGATTGGAAACGGATAGTCCTTCCCAATGAGGCACTCGGCGTCGCGCTGCACTTTCAGAGGCGCCCTCCAGGGCTCAAAAATGTACTTGTCGGGCATATTGCGCAGCGCTGGAACGTATTTACGAATGAACTGACCTTGCTGATCCCATCGCTGCGGGAATGTGGACGGAGACGCCATCCGACGGTAATTGGTGAAGAAGCAACTCGCACTCACCCAGAGCCAATTGCCAACGTTAATTGGCCAATCCAGGTCGATCATTTTCTCCTGGAAATACGTCGCTCCTCGCAGCCACGAGATGTAGAGCACTCCACGTGTCAAAAAGCACGCTACAGCGTGGCGACCGGCGTGGTGTGTCCAACCTTCCTGATTAATTTGCCGCATGACGGCGTCAATCCAAGGGAAACCTGTCCGTCCGTCCTTCCAGCTCTGAAACTGGCGCATAGCGATCTTCTCGTCTGGGTCTGTCAACTGATTTGGCTCGTGTTCGTCAAGTTCAGGGTGTGAGACGTAGTCTTCGTTGAGCAAGCGCCAGTCGATCTGTTTACAGCCTGGATTCCCTTCTTGCGAGTAGAACTTTGGCGTCCCGCACGCGTAACAGTAAAAGAACTCGCGCCACATGAGCTGGCCTTCAAGTGTGACCTGTGTCGGTAAACCTGGGCGATGTGGGTACTGTAGCTGGATGAACATGATGCGGTAGAAGAATTCACGTGCACTCAGACACCCGAACGACAGATACGCACTCAAAGTTGTGGTGGACGGCCCATCAATTGACACAGGAGAAGTTTTCGGCTTCTCGAACTGTCCGACGCGACGTTCGTCCTCGCAGAAATCATCCAGTCTCTTTAAGGCTTGGCTTTCACCTCCGATAAACGGTGCGTGCGGGTTTGGCGGGGTTAATCCCAGTGCTGTGAGAGGGGGAACGGCAAATAGCTCGGCCTCAGTCTTCTTCACATCACCGTCCACTCCAGCAATTACGTCTGCGGTGCTTGGGTTCTCTTGACAAAAATCCTCCAACAACGAGAACAATTGCGTTGTACTGAACGAAGCAGCGTTAGCGAGCTTAACCGGAGCAGGAATGGGTTGTGTTGGTTGTGGCATCTTCTCCGTGATCTCCAGCAGCCGTTCGTAGTGTGTAGGTGGCTGGCCGCCGTTCAGTCGAATGATCTCGTGTGGATCATACAGCGTCACCCCTCGGACCGTCGTTACTTTGACATCCAGAGACTTGGCAATGTCACGAACGCGGTTATCACGCTCAATAGAGTAGTGTACGACGCCGGCTTCAAAGAAGAGATCAGTGACGCCCCACGCCGTCATAACAACGCGCAGCACATCCTCCGCGTCTCCACGAAGCACTAACAGCCTTCCATCCAGCTTTGCGATGGATGTAGCCAAGTCTGCAATCGCTTCTAGCACGAACTGGAACCTCATCGGTCCGCACCGTTGAAATTTGGGTCGATGCAGAATGTAAATAGGCAACAACGCCATCTCCTCGTCACCAGCTCGCTGTAGCTGCTGCTGTGTGCGCATTGCCGCGTCCAGCGCCAAGTTGTCGTGCAACCGCAAGTCACGACGGAACCAGACGATCGCTCGGCGTTTCGGAAGAGCTGCTTTTACTTTGGTTTGCTTGAGCTGTTCGTTATCTCCGATAGTCTCCGCTTTGGCCGTCGCTCCGCCTTGGAGCACATCCGGAGACGACGTCACTGTCGCCGTACTCGACGCACTCGGACCATTATTATTGGCGTTCTCCGCATCCTCTGGACCAGGGGGCGTCGTTGCGTCCACTGTGGTGTCTACATTGTTGAGCGTTGCGATCTGGCGGCGGTGCGGCGTCGGGCGGTCGTCCACATTGCGTGTCCATGTGCTCCGCTGGCGCTTCCTGGTCATTGACAACGCGCGACAACCCACTGTGGTAAAGCAGGAGATTTCTACTCCAGGTCACACGGAGAGTAGAGCGGATCGAAGGAGCTCTACAGGCGACGGTGCGCTTCGGTCGGGGTAATTGCCAACGAATTCGATTGTGTTCAATTGATCCGATCCACAACGGTTGAAATGATTCGTGCGTAAGCGGTTGCAAATAACACACCTTCCATTCATTTGTACGGGGTACTAAACAACAGATTCATTTGATAGTAAAGTTTCAAAGATGATCCTATGTGATAAATCAGGTATTACAATGTAAGAGGTTTCAGTGGGTATCAATGAAACACTCTGGAACAGGAGGAAACTTCAACTGTTCGATTGCCGAAATGGCTTGGAAAAGTCAGGCCTGTTGCGTGTCTTGCGTCTAACAGGCAGACTACAGGTAGACTAGACTAACTACTGAAGCAGTCGCGTAGTACCAGCTGCAGTAGCTCATCGCTGCCGAGTGTAGCCCGCAGGTTCACGCAGTAGGCCTCAAAGTGTTGGAACGTCACAACCCCATCCCCTCCTGCCACCTCAAAGTTAAGCGCAAAGTCCTGGAAAACCTGCGCTGCCGAACTGCGACCCAGCACGACGTCCGGGTGTTTCGCAGCCTGGAAACTCGTCGCTAGAGCTGCAGGGAACACGCGATCATTGCCCGTCGACTGCAGTGCCGTAAACACCTTCCTGGCACTGGCAAGACACGCGGGACTCAGTCGCTCAAGCAGAAAGTCGAGTACCAATCGTAACGGGAGGCCGTTGACTCGGTGTTGCTGGAAGAAGCGTCCACCAGCGCTGTCGTTTCCGCTAGACTGAGAGAAATTGGAGAGGTACTCGAACAGGGCGTGGCCTTGAGACTCGCCCAGAGTGAGCCCTAGAGCAGCGTTTAAAGCTTCACAGCAGCGAATACTTGTGATGATACCCGTTCGAGGGTCAGTCGATTGGCTAAGTCGAGTGCGAAGCTGTACGACGTCGGCCAGTGAGTTGCTCTGGCGGATACGGTACCGGATCGCGTGAAGAATGGAGTCCCCAGCGTACGTTGGTGAAGTTTCGACACCCAAAGGGGGTCCTCTAGTTGTCGACCGATTGGCATCACTTGTCATCGAAGTGCCGGCTGCAACATCTTTCAACGATAGTGTCTTCCTCTCTTTAATTAGCTGCACGGGAGTCTCCGTTGGTGTGGAGGTGGTTCGAATCCCTGCCGCTACAGGCTGCGTAAAATTCCAGGACGAAGCTGTGCCATTTCCTCGGCTGCGTTGGTTATCTTGTTGCTGGGGTGGAGCTGCTGGTTCCGTGTCGACATCCACCTTGATGTTGCTGCCATCGAGATGCCATACGCTGCATACCATCTCTTCAAAGGCCCTGTCTGAGGCGATACTAGCGCTTACATTGTGGTAATATCCTCGCCATTGTTCCCACGTCACCTTGCCGTCCTGAGCGCTACCATCAACGTCGAATGACTCCAGGAACTCCCGACACACGAGATCAACTCCTCGTCTTCCTGCCACTACATCGGGATGTGCACTTGTATCGAACTGTTCCACAACGTCGCTAGGCTCCAACGAAGCTTTTTCCACGTCGCGAATGTTTCTTATTTTCGCCAATTTCGCGAATGCCTCACGAACACACTCGAGTCGACGTCCTGTAAGCGCTGGTCGCACGATGTTGATCAATTCATCGGGTGCGATTCGTCCGTCGCCGTCGCTATCCAAATACTGGAACAACAGACGCAGATCGGCATCAGTGAGACCTCCCGGTAGAGTCAACTCGCAGTCGGCAGCCGTAGTACGGAGGTCCTGCAGGTTCATGGCATTGCCTCGAACGGCTCGAAGACGTCGATTCAGAGTGCAGAAGCCTGACGTTCCCTGAGCTTGCAGCACTTGTTTGAGTCTGGATAGTATGGCTTGCACCCCGGCAGGGTGGAGATGAAATTCACGTCTACCAGGTGATGTCAAACCTGAGGTCTCGATCGATGGCTGTGTTGACGGAACTGTACCCAGACAAGCAGCGATTGAGCTGCTCACATTGTTCTTCGCTCGTCGGAGTGTCATACTCGGACTGGAACTAGAACCAGATGAAGTTGAGCTGGTATACGCAGCTGTATGATCCAGAATCTCGTGTACACTGGAGCGTCCAGGGTCTTGTCGATGAATACCTCGAGGCTTTTCAACTGCCACAACTCTGGCTGCTACCCGTCCACCGTGACTAGGTCCCAAGTGCCAGGCATTACGAAGCATTTGCTCAAACTGCTCGTCTTCGTCGATCGCAGCGCTTGCATTAGCATAATAACGCTCCCAAACATCAAAGTTGACGCGCCGTTGACGTTGACGTTCAGTAAGGAGACCAAACGTATCAAGGAACTCTGCGTGTGCCTCACATTCAGTCTTTCTACCTGACGTGACTTCGGGTAGCCGTCTGGCATCAAACGTATCAGCGATAGCTGCAGCATCAAGCTCACCACTACCCAAGCGATCGAGTGCGTCGAATGCCATACGCACCACAAGTTGGCGTTGAGGATTCATGGGTTCTCGTACACCAGTGAGGAACTCCGTTACGCTCATAGTCCCGTCGTGGTTACTGTCGAAATGGTAGAACAGACTCTGTGCGTCACGTCCGGTGACATGCACTCCACTGCTTTTAAGTGCGCGAACAAATTCGTGAAACCCGACGCTGCCATCGTTGAGTTCGTCGACGTAGTCTTCATCTGACCGCCCAGCTGCACGTCGAAGCTGCTGCTGCAGCGTAATAAACCCTCCAAGACCTCGTTCTTTCAGCTCACAACGGAGAGAATGAATCATGCGACGAAGTTCCTTGGACTGTTTACTGGCTGCACCAGGAGATCCGGGAGGTGCCAAGTTCATGGCACTTGAAGGGCTAACAACACCGGATGCTGGCAAACGGTCTACCACGTCTGGCTGAAGAATGGCAAAGGCCTGTTGACTTGCCATTCCAGTGCCCGAGCTGCGCTTCCCACGCCACGCGACTTCACCGTTGACGTTCGTCAAAGTCGGGTGACGCACTGAGTTTCCAGCAAAAGTACCTCCTATCGGACTTTCGGTGTGAACTGCTGGGGGTGCTCGGTTCTTGTGAGTTGAACTACCAATGGAGGGTAGTTGCCACGTATTACGTATGATGAGCTCGAATAGATCGTCGTCAGGGACAAGGAAACTCACGTTGTGGTAGTACGCTTCCCATTGTCGAGGTAGAATCTTACCAGCGCCTTCGCCGCTGTTCTCGTCCATGTCAAAGTTCTCGACGAACTCGCGAAAACACTGCTCCTCGCTTTTGCGCTGTGCAATGACGTCTGGGTGGCGACTGGCATCATACCGTTGAACGGCATCGCAGGCGTCTAGGAAGGCAGTTCCGGTCTCTCGGGCTAAGGCCTGGTAAGCTGCATGAACATGACGTAGGCGACGATTGCTCATGGTTCCGCGTACCAAATCTAACGCAGCCTCAAGCGGAACAATCCCCATTCGATCGACATCTAGATGTCGGAAAAGCCCACGCAGATCGGCGTCACTAAGTGGCAGATTGTTAGGAGACGTTGCAATTGTAGCGTCGTGTGAGGTCTGAAGAGCACGACGGAACTCGCCAAGTGTCAGTTTTCCATCGCCGTCTGTATCACTGAGGCGTAGACAGCGTCCAAGCTCTACAAGAGCCTGGATTCCTCGAGATCGAAGACCAGACTGCACTTTACGCAGTACCGAAGCCGCTCCAGGATCAAGTGTTTCAATGGATGGTCCAGTCCCCGAGTGAGTACTTGACGATGTAGGTGACGTCACTTCAGTGAGGCAAGCAGCAAATTGAGAACCTTTCAGAAACTCGTTGGTAGTGTGCACAACCGTTCCGCGAGGTGAGGCATCGGGATCCATTGGCGATAGTATCAAACTATTGGAGCGGTGTTGTTCTCTTGGAGAAGCTGTAGTGGAAACGGAGAGAACCATTTTCGCTTTGTTGCTGGTGCTTTGATTCTGTTGAAGAGCCTGGTAGAGTGAGACCGGGGCTACTGACGCTGGAGTCGGCGGCGGGATCGAATCCATTCGAGTGTTAAGATCTGCTACCCCAGCAGCTTCTTGAAGTGAGCGCCGCAGGTCCGCACGCCATACGCGCTTCATGAGTAATTCAAAGTACTCGTCACTGGGGGATTGTGCAGCCACACACTGGAAGTACGTGAGCCACTGAGCCCAGCTTACGAAAGCGGTTCCCGTCCGACGTGCAGCAGTCATGAAGGCTGTCTGAAATTCTCGAGCCGCTTGCTCAGTTGTCTGTTCACCAAACATAACAGCCGGATGCCGTGCGGCATCATGTGCTGCTAACACGTCTTGAAGTGATAGGTATCCGACACCCTTGCGATCCAGTGCGTCGAACGCAGATTGCACGAATTCTAGTTTTCTTCCAGACAACGCCCCCTAGAGCACAATTTCACTGTCAGCACTACAGCTTTTATAGTAACATACAACTCACGTACGAAGATGAGATTTCTTATGGCATCGGCTGTCACTCTGCCGTCCTCTTCAGCGCTTTGGTTGACCCGCTGAACTAAAGCCCAAACATCCTAAGAAGTTTCAAATATTTTTAAGAATAAAAAAAAAACTCAAATTCTGAAAGTGAAATTCTTACCACGTCTGTGATCGACACGCGAAAATCAGTCAGCAAACGCTTGAGGACACTATTGGTGAGTCCGCCGTTCTCACTTTGTGCTTTCTCCAGCGCCAAACTCACGTTTACCCATGCTCTGTAGTAAGTAGAAGAAAAAAGATTAGAAAGATCTTTCATTGCTTCAGGTATCACGTTCGGCTTCCGGCTCTCACACAAGGCCTTGCGAGCGCAGTGAAGTGCGAATGTTGGTCAGCAGCGATTGTAGATCCACCTGCTCGGCGCACTGCTGTTGTCTTTCCTTCCACTGGGTCAGCGACGACATTGCTCTACTGCCTTCGCCTGAGCCACTGAAGGCCTGCGACGACAGCGCCATCGCTTGGTCACTTGCCGGAAGCTGAAGTGACCCAACCAACCCCTGCAAGGTCCAGTAGAGCAGTTTTCCGCCAAAAATACTGCGTTCTCCACCAAAGTCGTCATGGATGCATTTAGCTCATGTTGCCACCTGATCCTTGGCAACTTCAGACTCGCGCATCCCACATTCTGTCTACGGCAAAACATCGACACTACAAAAAAAAGAAAGAAAGATAGCAAGACAACATCAAGCCCCGATCTTATGCCGGGGCAATATATTAGTGCATACGCCTCCTACAGACTGAACTCGAGTCTCTGGTGGGTTAGAGTCGAGTCTCTGGATTCTGCTCGTCTCTCTTGACGTTTATATAGGTTTTTAGTTGTGCTCACTGTCGTCCGCGTGCTTGAGCAGCGTGTGCTCCGTAGGGCCGTTGTGACAGTCCTTGCATTTGTTCTCGACCACCGCGCCACCCGCGATGAATGGGTGAGCGGCATGTGCAGCATCCATTGCCTCGACGCCGGAGCCGAGCCAACTGTTGAGCAGCAGGAGCGCGAGCGTGAAGATTCCTTGCATAATGAACGGATAACTATGTGTGCTGTAGCTTGCCAAATGCCAACTGATCTCGAACAGGTCGATGAACTGGTCCAGTGCCCGTGCCGTTCTGCGCTGGCCGTTAGACATTGGTAGAAAAGAGATTCTTGAGGGATTCCAGATCCCTGCACAGATTTGCAACTGAAACATGCCATTACATAGTGTGAGTCAAACAGGCAAGGTATGGATCATCCGACGGCTGATTGCGTCGTTGAAGTCAAAATATGCGCTTAGATAGTGTGATCACCAAATTGTAGCCATCCGAGACACGAAGATTTTTTCGAAGCATAGCTCACAACAACTCCATGATCGTCTGTTTGACACGGTCGGTGGCGCTTGGCGCGGCGAGCTTTCCGCGATGCTTGACAATTTCTCGCACGCATCGATGGAGATGTGGCTTACGATCGGATGGTCACGCCGCTTTCACCTTGTTGTCGAAATCTGAATTCGTATGCTTGCCCTCGAGCAAATGCCTCGGAACTCAGGTTGTGTTGTCCGAGTTTGCAGACGTTGATGAACTTTTACTCGATCCAAGCGTTCTATACATTGTTGAATGTGACACTTCATTGCCATCCTTGCACGGTTACTACGGATCGATTGAAATACTCTTAACATGTATCAGCTCGCTGCTGCTCCCAATTCACTCTTGAACAATTCTGCGCCGTTCAATCCATTCTAGAATTCGGTTTGTCACCAGAAAACGACCCAACGCGTTCTTGGGACCAAGTTTGGACTTAGCGACCGAGCCATTTCTCATAATCGCTAGTGCTAGGGCCCAGGTATTGACCACCGTTGAGGGAGCTGCATCCAAAGCATACTGAACGTCTCCAGCGTCTGTATATGCCTGCGATAGTTCTGTTATCATCTGCTCGTTTTTATCGATGCACTCAGCCATGCCGCGCTCATCCATGATGTCCATTTCGTCGTTAGCGAGCTCGTTAATTCTTTGCCAGGTAGCTTCTTCCCACGTCGAAAAGGCCTCTGGATTGTTGGCAGCTTCGCGAACGCGAGATAAATCTCCTTCCGCACCGTAGAGCTCAATCGGAATGCCATATTGCAGCTTGAACGGGAAATGATGAAAGTACTCGATTTCTTCTAGACCCCTTTTCTTGGTTGCTTCGTCAAGTTGCTGACTCGCAAGCTTGTGGTTGTTACGTCTCACTATTGGAGTAGGTCCTCTGCGAGTGCACTCCTTTACGAGAAAGCGAGCGAGCGGGTTTTCTGGGCCTAAGATCGATGCGGCAGTAGCATCATCTCTCAAAATCGCTTGAAGCAGCGGGTAAATTCCAGTTGAATCCGGTAAGGTAAACCGGAATTGAGCATCGCGCTTAGCATACTCAGCTGAGAGTTTTCGAATCATCTCATCGGCTTCAGCGACGTACTCGTCTTTGCTTTCCAGCTTGTCAAATTCTTTGGCGGCAAGCTCGTTGATCCGTTCTGAATTGCATCGCCTCCAGTGATCGTAGTCAACTAGACCGGTCGTGGATCGAAGAATGCGTCCGGCACGAGACGGATCTTCCTTTATTCTGCTGACCAAGAGGTTTTGATTTCCACGATCCTTGATAGGGATATAGTACGCATTCTGCAGTTCAAACTCAACGCGGTGAAAGTGCTCGATTTGTTCGAGTTCAGTCTTCGGACGATATTTCAAGGACGCTTTCGTTTCTTGGACTACTTCAGATGTTTTGATTTCTCCCAGAATCTCTTCACTTCGCGGCAAAGCGCAATGAGTAGAAGCGTCAGAGACCTCGGTATCTGCGCTCAGAGCGTCGCGACCCAAAGCTGTTGCTAGACGAAACTGTAGGTCGGCAAGCCCTTCCATCGTGCGATTTCAGTTCACCACGCAAATCTTTAACTGAGCTCCACGTGGCCTCGAGCTGACAAACATTCTGCCGTCACCTTCGATAGATTGACGAAGAAAGCGAAATGTACTACAAACTAAATACAGACAGATTTCGACCTAATTTACTGCTGGCAAAGTCTTGACTAAGATACTTTTGTCAATTCCGAATACAAAACCCGTGAAGGACATGTACTTGTCGTACAGCGGTAACTTCAATGTCTGAATTTAGTATCCATTGGCCCAGTCCACTGAATACAGCATTGGCTGGTTCTTCAGGCGTAGATCCAAATTTTTCACAAACACATCAGCCACTTCTTCCGGAAGGCTGAGCGCTGACACGTGTGGAGTGAGGAGAACCGACGGGTGGGTCCACAGCGGACTTTCCTTGGGCAGCGGCTCCTTCTCAAAGACATCCAGCACCGCCTTGGAGATCAGTCCTTCATCCAGCGCCGTCACCAACTCGGTCTCTTTAATCACATCCCCACGTCCGACATTGATAAACACAGGCTTCTTTTCCTTGCACACCTGTAGACTCTCCACATTCAGCAAGCCTCTCGTTGCATCGGTACTCGGCAAAATGTTGACCACAAAGTCGGCCACGCTCAGAACATCGTCCAGGTCGCTCGACACTCGATCGGCGCTTTCTTGCAACTTGTCAGCATCCTCTTCGCCAATTCGCCGCTTGAATCCAACAACGTTGAACCCCGCAGTCTTCATTAAGCGCCCGATACCCTGGCCGATCTCTCCCAGTCCGAGGATACTGACGGTCAATGGCCTAAATGATCGGTATTTTAGCTCCGTTCGAGCGTAATTGTGTTGCTTCTGGAACGTTTGCACCTCGAGGAATTTACGCTCGAGAGCGATGATCCAACCGAAGACGTACTGGGCCATAGCGTTGGGCATGATGCCACCAGCGCGGGTGAGGGTAAAGTTTGGGGGTGCCTTCCATTCTGCCCGAGCCAATTGCTGGAAAAAGGGTTCCACGCCGGCGTAGGTGGACTGAATCCATTTCACGGATTGTAACAGGTCGGGGGATGCCTTGGGTATGAAATTGGCGCGATCCAACAGCAATTTTGCGCCCAAAGTGGCGTCGGCCAACACAAACTCGGCGTCCTCGAGCGTCTGGCGCTGCGTGGAAGTGAGCGACCAGGCCTGCTGAGCCGGTACGGGAACCTCCACGATCTCCACTTGTTGTGCGACAACGGCAGAGGACGCTGCAAGGCGCGCGCGGACGGCTGCTCCCAGTCCTTCGATGGTAGAGATGACAGGGATACGAAGCACCATGACTCAAAATATTAGGGTGGTGTGCAATCGGCAGAGCAACACACAAAAACACACAAAAAATAAACTCTGACAGGATGTTCTCATCACAGTCTTGAAACAGATCAGTTTCGAACATGAAACAATCAATTCGCGAAGGTTTTGTTTTGACATGGCAGAGACACTCGACGTCATTGCCTGATTTGCGTCAAGGTGTTTCACGACGATGCCAATGGAGCTAGCGGCTGAGGCCGAGGCGGAGCAGCAGCGCTGGGCTGGCGCTGAACTGCTGGTATGTGCCGTGATCCAGCTACTACTGGTGAACGTGGCCTACCGCATCGACCGTATGCGCGAGGCTCCGCTGTTGTCCACGTCGTCATGGGCCATTTTCTTTGGTCTTCTGAGCGGCGCATTGCTCGCGCTCGTGTCGGAAGTGGTGCGTCGCTGCAATCGATGTAATTGCACTGTATCATTTGCTAATTTATGGTTTTCTCTCTTTGACCAGCGCGTGCAAGGTGCTGGACTGGATCCGCAGATTCTGTTCCTGGGGCTGCTGCCCCCGATCATCCTGGAGGCTGGCTTCAATACTCAACGCAAGGGCTTTTTCAGCAATTTTTTCGCCATCTTGTTATTGGCAATTGTTGGTACTTTGCTGGCTACTTTTGCCACGGGAGGGATCCTCATCTGGCTGGGTAACATGGGGATCATTACGCAACTCACGTCTGCTGAGGCATTTCTCTACGGGTCTTTGATCTCTGCTATCGACCCGGTGGCAACGCTACTGGTATTCAAGAAGTGCAGAGCGCCCTCCCTGCTATTCAATCTGGTGTTTGGAGAGAGTGTATTGAACGACGCAGTAGCCATCGTCATCTTTACGCTTTTCCAGAGGTTCGTGGAGAGCGGCAACACCGACGTCAACGCCCAAGTGGCCATGTTTATGGTATTCAGACTGCTAAGTATCGGTGTGGGGTCTGTAGCTCTGTCTGGAGCCATCTGCTACTCGTCCGCTTACTTTTTGCGTCACTCAGACCCTGCACTACGTCAACACCCGATCTACGAGATGTCCATCATTCTTTTGAGTTGCTACGCGAGTTACTTGGCGGCTGATTTATTCGAGCTCAGTGGACTACTGGCAGTATTCTTCAGTGGGGTATTCATCCGACACTACCACATGTACAACATCTCCAAGGCCAGTGCGTTCGCGTTCAAGCAGCTACTGTCGACGATGGCTTTTCTAGCCGAGAATTTCATCTACCTGTACCTTGGATTGAGTGTATTCGCGTACCGTGACTCGTTCATCTGGGACTGGAAGTTTATCTTTGCCAATTTCGGCGCGTGTTTACTGGCTCGAGCGTTCAATACGTTCCCACTGTGTTCACTCGCAAACCTCGGGCGTTCGGAGCAGCAGAAAATCCCCTTCACGTACCAGATCGTCATTTGGTTCTCTGGACTGCGTGGCGCTATTGCGTTCGCGCTGGTGCTGAATGTTTCGACGGGTAATCCCATCCACGCGGCAATTCTCAAGAGCTCCACGCTGTTCCTGGTGTTGTTTACGACTGTGTTTTTCGGAGCGGCGACGGGTCCTCTACTGCGCGTTCTCGGACTGGCAGGAGATCCTCAGCCTGAGCGAGAAGTGGTTAGCTGCGAGGACAATTACACGGGCGAAGCTGACGAGCAACAACTGCTACTACGACAGTCTCTGTCCCCTCCTGGGTCGCACAGTGTGCACAGCCGTTGGGTGGATCTCGATGAGAAGTACCTCAAGCCGATCTTTGGCGGTAATCCACGTCCGAAGAGCGACACGAATCTGGTGAGATATGTGGAGATCGAAGAGGAGACTCAAATTCCCAGTGCATGACGCAGACTACCCTACGTCGGAAACACTCAACTGCATCGTTCTAAGCAGCAAGACAAAACCGTGCATGGAGCAAGAATAGTACGATAGAAAGCTGGAGAGAAGTGTTCCATGCTTGTGCGGAGTCTGCTAACTATTACCCAATTGATGTGATAATTGCTTTGGTGTTGTCTTTAGGTTACTTGAAAACTGGCGAGTAGACGTACTCCAAAGTCCCGATCTGGATTTGTTGAACGTCCTGGTACAGTTTGCGTCGTAGATGTCGGCGGACGACATTGATCGGATCCTGACGCATGTGCTCCCAGTCTGCTTCTTCATCTAGGAAATGGTCGCGATATGTTGCCAACGCTTTCACGTGTTTGTCCTTATTCTGACGGATCTCCGAGCAGTGCACGAGCAGGTCATGAGAATTCACTTCCACTAACGGGTCTAGAGCTGCTTTATCTACAGTCTCAATGGTGCGGAACTTCGCAGCCTGTGGAGCGACAACATCCTTTGACGAGTTGCTACTTGGCGTCACTGTGACTGATACAGATGCTAGCTTGGTATTCGCTTGAGTTCGACTCGGTTGTATCCTTTTACCCCGCCGAACTGACGGAACAGAAGGTTCGATGTGGTCATTTGCTTCCCTTTTGCGTTCAAGAAGCTTCATTTTCGACTTCCAATTGCGCGTTTGCCATGGTGATTCCTGCGTAGCGAAAGAAAACAAAGTTGTGCATCAGGCTATAGTCGCAAGGACAACAACAATAGGTTCGTACAGCGTGCAGACTGGCGAGTTTCTTCGCGAGTTCGACATCTCGTCTGGTCTGAGGGTTCACTATTTGACGAGATTTGATGCGTCGAAGCCGCTGACGATGAGCTTTGTGCTCTTCCGTGACGCGTTCCTCCTCAATCACCTTGGCGTCTGCGTCGATCAGAGCCTGGAACAGCCTCTTCTGCTCTTTGGATCCGCCTAACGTATTGGCTAAGTCCACTGCGTTGCGAAGCTTCACCTTGCTGAGCGATTCCTCCAAGCTAGCCTCAATGCTGTGAGCATTTTCGTGCCACCGATTCTCGTTTGTTGCTTGACTACTCAACAACTGGTTTGTCTTTTGCCTTAGCGCAACTTGCTCTGCCAATAAATAGTCACCGACCTCTGCAAGTAGCGATACCTAATATGAGTCGATACGATCCCAAATAAACCAAAAACCACCTACCTGCTTCAATATGATGTTCACCTACAGTCACTTGCTTCCGCTGGAAATCTTTTACACGCTGTAAGAATCTGAGTGAGTTTTCAATCGAAATTTTATAATAATGGAGAATTTAGATACCTCGTAACTCTCGAGAGCTTGGCGTTTGCTGTAGTTGACCGTGAGGTTGCCAGTCAAAGATGCAGCCGCCTCTGAGATCGGGAGACTAGCTGTTGATTTGGGCTTTTTCAGGTTGCTTGGGATCTCCATCGTTCCTGTTATAGGCTGTGTTAGTAAATCTACTGCTCGAATTGTCAGGCGACGAGAGCGTTCACACTGCGCCACGCAGTCGAGGAATGTCGTCGACTCAAAGAAATGGTCATCACGCTCGAGAGTGCCACCAACGTGTTTGCTTTTGTATCGAACGTAATGTCGTTCGTCACTCGGTAGATCGTCGAAAGTGCTGATGGGGTAGTTCCAAGGCTCTATCTCGCTAGATTCTGGAGGACTTTTTGCGTGGTCTCCCAAAGTTTCTGATGCCACGAATAATGGTGATAATGGGCGAAATAATCGCTGGAGAAGCTTGTGCTCATCTTCGTCTTCATCACTGCCACCTTGATGCTCATCGTTTAGATGCTTTTCCGGTAAATTTGACGATATCCGTGGTGACGAGTCCGAATTATTAGTGTTTGGTTCATCACGAACCTCCTCACAACTCTCAGTGTCAATTTGGTACCGCTTGAGAACTTGAGGGAGCGGAATAGCAGTGATCCTTGCTTCATTCCGAAGCTAATAAAAAAAGACGAAGATATGATAACAATGCTGTCAGGGTGGAAGGAAAGACTCGAGCTACCGGATTGCTTACCATTTGCTTGACAGTCATTCTGCTTCCGTCGAATCTCCTCTCGTTCCCTTTAACTTTGTCAACGCTACTTTTCTTGTGTTTTTGAGGGTGAGCACTGTCTTTGATTTTCTCGCCACAATGATTCAGGGGCCCAAAGTACTCCAGAGCTTTGCCTCGTTCAAGTTCTACCTCGTGGGACTCCAAGTCCGTAATCCAGTCGCGATTCAGCAATTGCAGCATTGGGAATCCTCGTCGACGGGGAAGTCGCAGTCTATACATGATCCTCTTGAAAGGATGAGAAGCACTCGTAAAGTTCTTCAAAGCTTCATCTCCATGCAGTTCGCGTAGAATTTCTTTGTCGAGATCTGCACCATGGAAGAGGAAACTCTCCAGCAAATACAATCGGTTGTGACTCAATCGAAGTGGGTTGTCGCGAAGATCCAGCTCACATAATCGAGGTGCAGAAGCCAGCGCTAGAATATCTTCGAGCACGTGAAGAAGGTTGTTGTTCAGCACTAGCACTTCTAAACATGGCATCTCTTGACTCACTCTAGCTCCAGGGAACCGTGTCAACTCATTCGACGACAAATCTACTCGTCGAACATTTCCCACTGAAAAGAGACTCAGTGGAGCCACAGAGAGTCCACGACCTCGAAGATTTATACTCTCCTGATCGGGATCTTCACACTCGAGCTGGTTTGCCATCGTCACAGATTTCGTACATGTATGGCACCAACAGCACAATTTGATAAATGTCTACTCGATAAAAATACTCAACGGTTTGTTACCAACGTCGGTTCTTCTTTACACCACTATCGCTAACGAAGATGGTGTCGGTCTTGCTGGATGAATTGCCGTGTCTTATTGACGAAGCCGATGAGCTCATGGCACTTCTCAGTAGCCACAAGACGTTGTTGAAGACGAGGTTGAAGGGGGCAAAAGTGTCATTTTCTACAGAGAAAGAGGAATCCACGGAGTCGTCAGAAGATCTCAAACAACCCAGTTCTGGACATTCATTTTCATTGACTCCTTCAACCGAGCGAAGCTCAAGTATGACGAATACCCGGCAAACTCTGGACGATGTCGACATCAAGTTTTTCTCTAGACAATATTTGACAATGCAGTCGATATCGTTTGAGAAAATGAACGCGAACTTGCCGGCTGGAGATCTCGACCGCAAAGCCTTGTACAATACTGCTGCCAGTATTTACCATCTCATGAAGCGTTTGCATCATTGGCAACAGGCTGCGTGGGAGTCACTGACCACGTTTTTTGCTGACAACAGCAGCAGCGATTCGTGTCTGCTGACTTTTGACAGTCACCCGGAACTCACACGGCTCGTACTCGCTACTGTTACCAAGTACGTCAGGGTGAACCTGTTGTGGACCTCGTTCAATACCATTCCGGGGCTGCTTGCGATCTACAGCTTTCTCCATCACGTCCAGACTGTAGGGTTAGACAACGGCACAACAAACGCAGTGTGTACGCCACTGGAGCACACTGATCATGGTGTGCGTGAGTTTGTGCTTCACTTCGGTACAGCCCCAATGCTAGCGATCCAGAGTGATTTCCAGGTTCAAGTCACTGATAAAGGAACATCCCTTGCTGCACTTGCACTCTCGTGCTTCGAGCGCTACGAAGCCTGTTGCGATCTTGCCAAACTCCGACATCAAGGCGTGTTTGACCTTGAATCACTTGTGAGTGGTGCTTACGCATCACATCCTAGCCTTCCAGATCTTCTTAATGCTGCTGACGTTGTTGACTGGGTTATCTGTGTGGTGCTCTGTGTTCCTCATCAACTTTACGCGGGAGATAGTAGAGCTGCATCAATGTCAACACCGCCACCATTGTCTGCCAATTCTCCGTCGTTCTTGTGGGATTTCATGGACATGATCGCTCGAGATCGCCTGGTGTTCACTATCCATCGCAACCACGTCGTCAATCTCCACGACTTGCTTTACCAGCAAGTTACATCTTCGTTATCCACTTCCGTCCTCAGCCCCGAGACTTCTTCTCTCCCCTCGTTTGGGAATAGTCGTTCTTCCCTGCCTCTGAAGAAATCTATGAATGCACTGAGTAAATATGCTTTGAGGAACTGTGGGGTGAACCATCGACAGCGTCGAGAAGTGGCGATTTGGCTTACTCATAATTGCGTGCAACTGATGCAGCACAATCCAGGACTGGCGGCTCCTTCCTTTCCACTGTTCCTAGCAACGTTAGCCATCGCTCGTGATGAGGTTGAATGGGCCATGTGTCACGGGATTCGAAACTTAAATACCAAGTCACCTCTGCTTCCAAGTCACATTAAAGCCAAGCATTGGCAGCGAGTACAATCGAGCTTTAGTGGTGCTGAAAGAGAGATAGCGGACTTATTAACTCACTGTCATCACCTCCGACGGCTTCTGGAAGAACATTCGCACTTCTTAGCTGAATATTACCAGACGTTCCTTATAAACGGAGATGCTGATGGGATCGCGTATACTATTCAAGAACTCTTCTACGCGAATGATTCGGCTTCAGAACTGGAGTCTCTCCTTGAAGGATTTTTAGACAATGAACGGTATCGTATCAATACCTCATCGTCACACCGAGCTACGTGGGTCCGGGAATGGCGTCAAGCAAATGCTCACTTCGTCACACAAACTCAATTACCGCTACTGGACGTACTACGTGATCGAATGGAGTGTGCAGTTAGACACACACAATACATCTGTGTGAGCTCTCAGTTGATTGAGCAGACAGCGAGTTTTTCCAAGTGCTGGTGGTTCCGTGATCTTATCTTCGAGCAGTGTTTCGAGCAGATACTGGCTACGACACCGTCGTCTGCTGTCGGGCTGTTGCAGATCCTGTCGAGTCTGGTAGAGGGGAACTACGTTCTTGATGAGCTCGTAGATGCTGAAGAAGTGACGCAGCAGTCGGAGCGAATGGTACAACGCTTGGATCGGATGCGAACGAGTTTAGTGGATCAAGTGGAGCTTGGGCTTGTGGCGGTGGTGAAGCGAGACATCAGTCTTCAAAGAGACGAGAGCTTTGCACTTTTGGAAGAGAAACCTGAACCAGTGAAAAACAAGGTCACGGCTAGCAACCGAAGGCTTTCTAGCTTTTCGCGTGCACAATCGAGCCAATTGCTGCGGCCAGGAAACACTGAATTGCGACTAGCTTCTCCAACCGCCTCTGTGGTAACCCGCAAGACCGACAGTAACAGTAAAATTATTGCGGTATCAGCTAAACCAGAGCAGATCCACGACGAAGAACACAGCTTGAGACTCGTTCGCGCGCTGTTAGACCACACTGGACTGGAGAGCACCATGAGAGACGCCATCGTTAGCCGTGTTCGGAGTTGTTTCGTCCGCTACGTGAGAGGATTCGTGACTTTTTCGGGGTCCTTCAAGCCTACCGATGGAGTAGCGTTGCGCTGCTCCGTACGAGACGCCTGTGTACAGATTCGATGTTTTTTTAGAGCTACCCAGAGATTGTTTGGGGGCAGCGGCGAGGTGAAGGATACATGCGAAGTCTCGTTGGGTGGATCCGTCCAAGTCGTCCTTACTAAGGTTTTGGCAGGCGAATGCAGCGGCTCGACTTCAATTCTTCCCCAAGACAAGAAATTGTTGGAATGGACAATAGAGTCTCCTCTTGTGTCCGAAAAGGAGTTCGAGCAGTGGTCTCTGGTCGACAGACTGTCGTGGCTTTATGTCTCTCTCGTGACTAGAAAATGTCATCCTTCACCTTCTACAGCGGGATCAACGCCGCCAGTGTTGGCTGCGGTACGCAAACGCTGCTTTGTATTCGCTCCTGGAGTTTCAAGTGAGTTGGACCCGCGAGATTACACAGACCCTGAAGCTCTGCAACATCTTGTAACATTGATAGGCTCGAATGGTGTAGAGACTGTATCCTCAACCATCGCGAATCTGGTGGTAGCTCAAACGCTAAAGCTGCGGACTTCAATCGAGGCAGAACACGCTGTTCTGGCGTTCCTGGATATGGCAATGGGCAACAGCTCCAATGTCGACTTTGTGTTCGCTACAGCTCAAGTCCGAGCTCTGGACGACATCGCTACTCAACTCGTTCAGATTGGGACAGCAGCCTTCTTATTGCAACTGCTACACGATTACACTCCGCATGACGCGTCAGACGCGTGGGAGGTTCGTGTAGCGCCTCAGCTTCTCCGTGAGCTACAACAAGATCCAGACCGACGAGCCACGTGGGCACGGCTCCTACCAGTTGCCTGCTGTTCTGGTTTCCATTCGAGTGTGTGGAAACAGACAACGTACGTGTCCAGCGTGGAGGCTACGGACACAAACGCGCACATGATGGGACTGGCCATGGCTCGACTGCTACCTTCACCTCATAGCAGTCAAGCCATGCATCGCTGTGCGGTGGCAGCGCTAAAACGAACAGCTGCAGACACAGCACACGCACACGCAGGTCGTTCGAAACAGCAACTTGAAGCGAGGGTATCGACGAGACCACTATTGGAAGCTCTGGAGCTGCTGGTGACAACTGCAGCCTCGGGGGGTGGTGAAGCACAAGGATCGGTGCTCGGAGAGCTGGAGCTGTCGCTTGAGCACCTGCTGCCGCACGCGATGTTGGTATTGCACTGATAAAAGTTGAAAACTCGCTTCTATGACGTTTCTAAAACGAGGTTCTTAGAACTTTTGACCAACCATTCGTGCAGATTCATTAAAGTACTCCGGTTTTGACGATACTGCTGTTGGCTACATGTTGAAGTCGCTGTACATGCAGAGGTTGCACCTGCCAGTGACAGCCCGGCACAGTTCCGCATTGGCATCCGCTACGGCAATGCCCGCTATGGCACGACACTATATGTAGTAGTGGCGATGGAAGCCCTTCCCGTTGCAGCGGCCATGGCTCTGCTAGCGCTGTTGCTGTGGATGGAGGCGGCGCAGAGGTCGTCTGACCCTCCAGCTGCTGTTGGCGGGTGCCGCCGCGCAAAATGTGCGGCAAAAGGCTCGCGACCTCGGACCAAAGACCATCCAGCGGTAGCGAGTACTTGGCTGCTGTCCTCCCGGGCAAGACTTTCGTGTATTTGCTTGTGAAATCGCTCGCTCCGCCCAGACGCCAAAACTTGAGCTCCGCCGGAGCCGACAGTGTCGATTTGCCGCGTGTTCAGCGCGTATTGACGAGTGGCCAGCAGAAACGGGCGCAGCGATGACTGCGAGTCGCCAAGACGGGGCGCACTGCGTCGATCGCCTCAAGTCCTGGCACTGTCGGCGGATGGTGGAGGCTGGCTGGTCGCAGACCATGAACTCGTTCACGCAGCGCTGGAATTTGGTCGTCGCTAGGCGCGTGAAAGGTGCTAGCATAACTACAGGGGCCAGTACATGTAAGCATGATCTTCGACGCGCCGCGCGAGGTCAACGACAACAGGATGCGGTACGGAGCGGACTGATCGATTGGCGACGACGGTCCCCACGGTCTCCGCTCGTCACCGCCACCAGAAAGGTGGGAACGACCGCTGCATAGAGACAAGCCGCGCGGACAGCAGCGGCGTCTGCTCTCCCTTATCCTGCGCAGTCAACACGGACAACACGCCAAGCCCGAGTCGGCTGGCCGCAACGGACACGGGCGGCTTGCAGCATCAGCCGGCAGCATGATGGCATGAAAATCAGTCGCGGTGAAGAGGGAGGGTATCCGACACATCCGAGGGAGTTTGCCGGCGAAGACGGATCCGGCTCGGGCCGTAAGGATGCCCTGCTTTCGGGTCGGGTGTCGCATCCAGGCGACTGAGCGACCATGCGGACTGTGCACTGCAGCACTGCGGAGACCGGCGCACCGCGACAGCAGGTCCGCCGTAACGGGCGTGCCAAAAAGCGCGCGAACATGTTGCATGCTGCTGCCGAGCTGATACAGCTCCTTGTCCTATTGAATCCAAGTCGTTCGGCTGGCAAATCGCCTCGAAGAGCACATTGCAGTTCCTGTCATACGCGCGGCCGGTGTTCAACACGCGTAATCCCTATCAAAAAGCGTTGTCAAGTCGCGTTGAGACTTGAGGTTTCTAAAAAGCATACAAAAAACAAATCTTACGTGCATAGCACGTACGTTCATGGTAAACGATTTGCCACTTTCGACATTGCGATGCAGTTTTTTCAGCATTTTCAGAAACACGACTGCTTGCAAAATTTAGATCAGCACACGTCACATATCAGCGCCTCATGCAACGTCAACTTGGTCTTCGGGGGTCAGAATGGTCTTCGGAGGTCAGCACTGTAGCCAGCGACCTCACATGTACCTCTGACCACAGCTAAGCTTCTTCACGCAGTTTTCTGTTTTAAGTGCGCCTCTATCGGCCGCGCATATGTCCTTGTTACATAGTTTACAGGGCTCCTATTCTCACCATAGTTACACAGTTCTCAGTCTCAATTGCTTAGGCGACACGTGTTCGCTTCGCACGCGGCTCGTTGCTGCCGCCGTCTTCCGTCTCCTTGTCGCCGTTGTTGCTGCTGCTGCTCTTGGATAGTGCAGCGTCCGTTGCTGCGGGCTCCGTGAAGCTGTCACCGTTCGAATGCATCATGAGCGCGTTGAGAACGCACGGGTATTGACTCTGCTTGGCGTGCGCGGCGATCTGGCTAAGCGTGACGTTAACGACAGCGCGAACCGTCTCACGGCCCACACATGTGTTCAGGATCTCCTCCTTGGGTAGCGGTCTGTGTTCCTGCTTGAGCAGCAGCGCAGAGTTGAGCGTACGCACGGCGTAGCTGCCCGAGAAGGCCTTGCGGAACTGGAAGCGGCAGCTCGGACACGTGCTGCGTAGCTTAAGCCATGAGCGGATGCACGGCAGGTGGAACTGGTGGCCACAGGGCAGCGACACGAACTGCTCGTCGCCGTCCTTCAGCTCGCTAAGGCAGATGACACAGTCTTGGGCACACGAAGAGCTGGAAGACACGCTGGAAATCGAGCGCTTGGCGCCCACCTTGGGAGTCTTGTCGCTGTTAACCGTCCAGGAGGCAAGGCTGTCCATAACCGACTTGTCGGCAGGAGCGGCGTTCTTAAGGTGCGGCGAGATGTAGCGCACCATGAAGCGCACCCAGGCCGGCGTGCGGAACATCTGTAGCACGTCGCGGATAAGCGCGTTCTCAGGGGCAACGTATTGCACCTCAACGCGAACGGTAATGTCCATGTTAATGCGTAGGTAGTCGAAGAAGAAAGCTCCGCGGTTGCCAGCGCGACGCAAATGATCGAATGAGCGGAAGGGTGAGCAGCGCGGGAGCGAGGGCCTTTCGAAAAGAAAAGGCCGGCAGCGTCTCTGGACCTCCAACTGGAGAACCCACTGTAGCCCGCCGCCCTACCCCCGCCGAAGATTATGACCGCCAGACCCCAGAGCCAGGCTCGTTCAGTGTCGGTTTGCGGTGCAGCAACCAGCACTCCGACACTTCGCAGGTCGAGGGACCAAGGTTAGGATACCGTACGCGCTCGAGCAGAGCGCACCGGCGATTTGCCTGGCTGGCTCTGTGTTTGGCCAATGCTGCTGGCACTGCAAGCTCCGTTAAAACCGTCTCGGATGTGTGTCTCCGTTATTATAGCTAGGTCGTTTGATGAGGATCGCGTCCCACATCGAGCGTACGAGCGCACTGGGCCAACGTGTGGCTCGCTCAAGTCCAGCATAACGGCCGGCTCGCACGCCACGTTTGTTGGAAAAGCGCTGCGGGACTTTGGTAGCTCTTTCTTGAGTCAAGTGCTGACATGTTGCCAGGAGCGGTGTTGCTCGCGCTGTTCCCTGTCATCGCGCTGTGCTAGGGAGTCTTAAATTGGGACCGTTAGACGTTGCGGATGTGAGTCTTGGCAGTAGAAATGAAGCGACGGGAGCCAGCGCTCGCCCAAACTTTGCTGGTTGTTGTAACACGGGCGGGTGTGTGGCCGAGGCAACCGTCGCTGTGGCGCGGCCCGACGATGCCATCTTGTGAGTGCCAAGATGCACATTTGGACCCTCTTGACTTTTTTTACAACTTCGAGTACACACAAGCACGCGACGCCATTCGATTTGCATTGGTGAGCCTCGATAGCAGCGATACCGCTAGATCCTGCGTGCTAATGCAACAGCGCACGCTCGTAATCCAAGCACATTGATCTTCGATTCGGCCCGAGAAATCCTTTGCTTTTCGAGCAAACAGGACCCGATGGTGCTCTCCGGTTGCCAGGCACCCATAGAGCGCTGTGCGTGATACATTCGCTGGTTGCGACGCGTTTCCAGCCTGATGCTGAGGTGACGCCGAAGGACGATGCAAAATACCGATGTGTCTGCTTGCTGTTGTCGGTCTGGTGTGCAGCACTTCCCTCACTGGGGCGGACCAGTGGGGCGTCTACGGTGGGATCCGCGTCCACCGTGGCAGTGTCACTACATGTACAGCTGTAGCAGGACGAGAATCCCTCTGATCTGGCCAAGTGCACGTTGAAATCGCGCGGCGCAACCTTCAAGCGTTCATGTCGCGAGGGTCAATGCCGAGGGACGTTGCTGGTGACCGGGTACCGGCCGGCTGCGAGCCGAAGCATGCTGCGAATACAATACTGTACGGCGCACGGTGTACGCTCGTCAGGCAGGAAGTGAGGTGGCGAGTGCATGACTTGGTGCAAAACAGTTTACTGTAGTGATCATGCTGTTGCCGATACAGCCTGTTAAACGACAACAGCATTGACTTGTGAGCCAAGAAGGACTTTCGACAGCAGAAATCGCGGACTGCCATCCACCGACCAAAGAAGATGACGCCTACAGACCAGTGAATCCAAACATGATTTGAGCGTGCACCTCCATGTACAGTATATCGCTAGGAAATTCTCACGGAGAAGCGTCGCCGAAGCAGGAGCGGTTGTACCAGGTATCATACCGCGCTGCGGTCTCAGTTGCGGCGGCGGACCTGCTGCGGGGGACTCGTCTTCTCCGTTTGGGCATCTTGATGAAGTCTTCACCACCATCGCTCTCGAGTCGCATGTTTTCCCATGGCAAAGAAGTCCGCTTTCGAGCACCCCGTCATTTATTTATTGCAGCGCGCCTGGTCTTCGCCAGGTTTGTCATGCCAGCACGCCACCGTGCTGTCGTCTCTTGTCGCATGCAGCGATCGCGATCACGACGGCCCGCGCAGAGAGGTCCAGTCATCATGACACGCGCATGCGTTTCCTCAAATACATGCACCAATTCACAGATGCGATTTAGAGGGGAATTCAGTATGAAACTTTCACGGATGCGAGTTTGAACAGTATCAAGGAAGCGGAATGAAAGGGTATTTGAAGATGCGAACACGTTGAAGTGATCGATCGCACACTTCGATCTCGGTGAAGCCCCAGAATCCCGGCCGTGGGAGGTGGCCAATTCATCGGAATCTGGCGCGAGATGCCGGCTCTTGAGTACGTGTACAGGGTGCCTTGAGGTAAAAGGGGAGCAGCGAAGGCCTGGCAGAATGGGAGTGTCCCTTGCGTTGTCTTGCTTAGATATATGTGTGCATTCTATCGCTCCAAGGCGAGCAGCACGTCGGACTCGTGCGGCGCTGCGAGCTCTTTCTCCTTGAAATGCGAGCGTGCGACGGCCCTATCGGCCTCGGTCCGCCAGTTGGGCCGCCCAAAGGCTACCGCAAACCCAATGAATGACGTTACGGCGTAGCCACAGATCATGCCGTGCCAGACGCCGAGCAGGTTCGGGTGCGTCTGGTGCACGCCCAATATGTACGCCACAGGTACGCCGACTAGCCATGCCCCGACGGCAAAACCCACCATAATGGGCATGGCTCGCGCCTGCGCCTTCAGCACCGCCTGCATTGGAAACACACATGCGCTTAGCAGAGGAACAGCAATATGAGGCGGGGCTGACAACATATAACTTACGAAGGAGTAGTAGAAGAAGGCCAGTACAAAGTATGCCAACGCGGCTAACGCGCATATCTGGCTGAAGGTATCGATGACCTGCGGGTTGTCCGAAAACAGCCACCCAAGCTGCCGCCGTGCGCTCACCACGACCACGCCGTTGATTGTCGAGATAAGCGCGATGCATATTCCACATACCTGGGCGGCGAGAAGTGCCTCCGATGGTTTGCCCGCTCCCAGATGCATCCCCACGCGCGTGACGGCAGCACTTATCACCGCGTAAAGTGGTGAGGTCGCAAAGAAGAAGAGCTCCATCATCGCGTTGTGTGTTCCTAGCTGGACCTCGCCGATCGTCGCAGCGAAAAGCGTCATGGTAATTAACTGCGCGTTTTCGAACAGTGTGCCGCCGGCGAGTGGAAGCCCCACGGACAAAAGGTTGCGCAGAATGTCTGCATCCAGGAAGCTGCCGTCGCAGCGCCAGGCACAGCGGCGGTGGAACTTGCGGTAGAAGTTCATGTACACAATGTAGCCAACGAGTCTCAAGAACAGCGCCATCGCTGTCCCAATCGGACACCCGACAAACCCGAGCTCTGGCAGTCCAAAGCGCCCGTGCGTGAATCCGACCACTAGGAAGCTGTTGAGCGCCACTGCTAGCACATTGAAGACCGCTGTGGGCTGTACGATGTGCTGTGCCTGGTAGAAGCACGAGAGCACTTGAAACATACTGCGCGGCCACAGCCACAACAGGGATAAACGGCAGTAGACGCCGGCGAGCGCGGCTACACGGTCGGTGACGCCTGCAGCCAGTAGGATATCACCCAGGTTCCACCAGAGCACTGCGAGCGGGACACAGGCCACCGTAAGTAGAAGACTCGTCAGCAACGCGTATTCACCCAGCAGGTGGTAGTTTTTGGCTCCAAAGGCCTGCGAGCACAACACGTTCATGCCGGCATTGAAGCCTTGCATACTCACAAGAATCGACAGATCCAGGCACATCTGTGCGTACGCCACGGCCGCCAATTCATCCACGCCCAGATGACCCACGACGCTAAGCTCTGTGATAGAGATGGCAAAGAAGCAGTAGGTGGATAGCGCGCTGGGCACCACCAGCTCCAACAGACAGCGCAGTTCGCGACGAGCAGATACCATGATCCGTTAGCGACTCAGCAGGTGGTGAAGTGGGAGGCGCCCGTCAAACGGATATCATTTGCGCGGCGAAACCTCTGAGGGCCGAAACGGTTCTCAGCTCCTTCCGCTCACCCAAGCAGCACGATCTTAGATCATGCCGTCTCTTTTAATTGGATAGAGACACTTCTAGCTTTTGGGCCGAGGCGAGTAAGCGCTTATCCTCCCGATTGACGCTGCTTGCAGTTGATATCATTTGTTCATCTAACCTGCATCTTGTCCAGCCACGGCACTGTCCAGCAATGCCAAAGCACTTCAACATCACTTCAACTTGGGGTACACACATTCGTACCCCTAGTGTACCCCTCCTTTGTTCCAGTCAAATGCCAGTCAATGCGTTGGAGCTGCGCGGCTTCAGTGCCGAGCGCAGCCGTTTCCTGCTAACCGTGGCCCGCGCTACTCCCTGCAACAATGACGGTGACCGGCGCACTGCATCTGCACCGGCAGTCCGCATACTGGAACGCGACTTGGTGGATCTGCAGAGCTGGGACCGCCAGCATCGCAGCGGCGCTTCGAGTCTCCAGCGACTTCCGACCAAACGTCTGCGCAAGCTGATGGCCGGTAGTTGGGTGCGCGGCGATAGCGCATCTGGATGGCGGTTGGAGCTACAGAAGAACGTGAGCGTGTGCGAGGACTGGCTCAACGCAGCGTTCGCGCAGCTGCCGGCGCCACAGCAACAGGAATTCCTGGATGACGACCTGTATGCCGCGGCTAAGCACAAACGGTCGTCTGCGCGCGCGGAAAGCAAACACGCGCGAGACCTGCAGCAATACTTTAGCAGCACCGAGCTCGTCGATTTGGTAGTGAAGACGGTGACGAAGCATTTGCAGGAGGAACAGCAGCAGCGAGATGTCGTGTGGCTAGAGCCATCCTGTGGTGACGGCAGGTTTCTGACGGCGTTGTTACGAGCTGGAGCGCGGCACGTCGTCGGCTATGAAATCGATGAGAAGCTGCACCGGATTGCGGAGAAGAATGTTCAACAAGCTGCTACTGACATCTATAGCACTGGTGAAGACGGCGCTATTCAGGCTCAGGTCTATGTGGGCGATTTCCTGGTATCCAAAAGCTCCGTACCTGCTGACAAGTTCGTGGTTGCGGTCGGCAACCCGCCGTTCGGCGCGAAAGGTAGCGACGGGAGCGACCTCGTGCACCACTTCTTCCGACACGCCGCAAGATCGTGGCGAGCTCGCACCGTCGCGTTCATCGTACCAGAGAGATGCTCTCGTCCAGGATTCATCGAGACCACGTTGCAGCAGCTCCAGGGTGACGGCGGCGCTACGACATCCTGGACGCTGGCAACGGAACTGTCACTCGCGGATTTCCAGTTCGAGTTCGGGACGGGGGACAAACTCAAACGTGTACGCCAGCCCAGCGTGCTGCAACTATTTGTCTACCGCGATCAATAGCAAGAGCTAACGGCGTCTTCAGCACGTACACGATCAATAGCAAGTGCCATAAGTTAAAGGCGTCTTCAACATGTACGTCGCCGTCGTCTACTCGAGCTGGGAGGTCCACCACTGTACAAATTCATGTACACTACACACCTGCATCTATCTTATCGCCACGTTTATCTTGATTAAACTATTTGCGATCGTCCGTTCGTGCAGACAACACGAAATGGGTACAGAGAAGGTCCCGTTTGGCATTGTGCGCTTCCAGTGTCAGTATCAAAAAAGCATCGCGAGTATGAGCAGCCGCCACGGCGAGTGGCAGCGCGTGCAGGACGCGCAGGGGCGCTACTTCTACGTGAATCATGCCACAAGAGAGACGTCATGGCACCTGCCGAGCGCTGAACCGCTCCCGCCGGGCTGGGAGGAGCTCATCGATGGCCAAGGGCGCCTTTATTTTGTTGATCACAACACGCGCACCACCACGTGGATGGACCCCCGCGTGGCTGCCGCCCGACGCCGTACGCGCGGCCAGTCGGTGCTGTCGTCGCGCCCTCCCTCAAGGAGTAATATTCCTCCCATGGACAATGCTAGAGGACGCTCGCCGACGTACGAGGATCCGCGGCACGCGTCCGTCGGCAGCGCCGGTTCCCGTTCGGACGCCGGTAGCAACGGCTTTGTTCGTAGCCGCAAGAGTAGTGGAGCCAATTTGTCAGCGGGCTCTCCGTCGTCGTCGGGCGCTCGCAGGGACTCGGCCGACCAAACGATCCGGATGAACACGTCCACGTTGCTGGAGAGATACAGGGATGAGACCAATTTGGGAGATACAGCGGTGATGCAGACCACGGAGTCGACAGCGCTGCCTGCTGATGCAGAGGAGTGGTTTACAGCCCACTCGGAGGACCTGTCAAGACGCTCCAGCGGAGAGAAGAAGGAACCAGAGCTGGAACAGGTGACGGATTCGAAGGAGGAGACGCCGTCTGCGGGCGTACAGGAAGAGGAGACCGCTGCATTGTCCTCTTTAGTGGAGGAAGAGAAGGATCTGGCCAAGAGCGGCCAGCAGCAGCAACAAGAGCAGCGCGTATCGGGCGTGCGAGGCAGCAGCTTCAACACGGGCGACGTCCAGATGGTGCTGCGACGTTATTTCGCGCCGAACTTCGTGCGCGATGATGACTCACCGGCATGTCGGCAATGCGGCATGCGGTTCGGCACCTTTCGACGCCGTCATCACTGTCGTCTTTGCGGCAACGTGTACTGCGCTGACTGTACGACGAATAAGGTTAAGCTGCCGATTGAGGCTCCTTCGTACGACAAGGAACAGCCGGTATGCACGCGCTGCTTCCGCAACGTGCAAGCGGGCGACTTCTTTAGTATTGTGGGGCTGCGTCACAAACTGGAGGATCCGTCGTCTACCGTCGATGACCGGGTAGAGCAGATCATGCAACTCTCTATGACTTTATCGGCGGGACGGCCGGAGACAGACGGGAACATGGGACTGCATCGCGTCGCGCAGTTAAACGACGTGGAAGCAGCTGGAGGTGTTGCGTCCTTCTGCCAATTGCTGACTACTGACGTGGAGCCGTTGCAACAAGCTGCACTAGAGATGCTGGCGAACTTGATTGAGCTGGAGAACAGCGCCGGTAATGAACTCTCGGCTGGTGAGGCTTTCGCGAACTCAGGCGCATGTGCCCAATTGGTAAAAGTTATGGGGAACCGCGTGATGGAGCAGCAGTTAGGCCGTAGCGTCCGCCCGGAGGTGGAGCGCATGGCTCTTCGTCTTGTTTACCACATTTGCCAGTCTACGACGTGCCAGAACGCACTACGTAAGGCTGGTGGAGGCACTCGTTTGCTGGAGTTGCTGTCTGTGGACTCACCGTCGTCGCTGGAGATGCGCGTGGAAGCCGCGCGTTGTCTGAAGCGTTTTGTGCAGAAGAATGGAGAGAACATCACTGAGATGACGCAGAACAAGGGCGTAGCGTTGCTGTGTACGCTACTGGGAGACTTTATCGAGCTGCGCGCTGGTAGCAACCTGGGCAATAGCGGCGTTGAAGCAACTCGAGATGAGTCGCATGAAGTGGCGATGGAAGCCATTCTGAGCACGATCTGCGAATGTATCCACTTTGCAGACAATGGCGCGTCACAGGTGCAACGTGGCGTGCAGCAGATTCCTGCGGACAGTATCCACTCGTTCGTGACGGTCCTGCAAAAGGGGGATCGCGTTAACCGCATGTTGGCGTCCCAGGTGCTAATTCAGGTGTCGAAGGAGCCTTCTCTCATTACGATCTTGGCCAAGGAGCAGGAGTTTATCAAGGAAATCATGTGGATGCTCGACAGTGACGAAGACTACACGGTGGCCTCGGAGATTCTATGTGGACTCTGCTCGACGATGCCCAAGCAGTCTCTGAGCGATACTGTCCCTGGAGAAAATGTTGATGACGCCCACGAGCAGGTTCTGAAGGTCATTTATGACTTGGAAGTGTTTGATCTGGTGCTCAAGAAGCTGAACGCGTGCGTTGTGGGCGAGAAACAACTCGTGGGGGAGATCACGTTTCAGCGGAACCTGCTGGGAATTACCATGAGCTACAGCGCCGAGTCTGCGGCCTACGTGGATTACATCTGCTCACGCAATTGTGTGCCCACTCTGTCTGCATTCTTGCTGTCCCGCAAGGAGCGTTTGATCCCACTGTGTGCGCAGACTTTGATGAACCTCTGCGAGTTCAACCCCAGCATCTTCGACGAGCTGTACGACCGCAACGTCTCAGACTTCTTCCATCGTCTACTGCAGACACCTCCCGATGAGAACAGACTCTCAGCTCTGCGCTACTTCCGCGCCCTGGTTGACAACAAGCGGCCATTCTCTGTTGGTGTACTGGACACACTGTTCCTGATGGCGTCTGGACGAGACGAGGTGCTGAAGGCCGGCAGTTTGGATGTCCTTGCTCATTTGAGCGGTGTCAAGTCCATTGGAGCTGTGCTCGAGCCATTGGAGGAACCCCCGACGCCGGAGATTGGTGAAATGGTGCAGAAACTGCAGGAACGCGTTGTTGGCGTGGCATACTTCCCTGTTCTGATGACTATCGCGTGCTCTTCAGGCGATACGGATATGCGTAGTAACGCCATCAAATGCCTAAGCTGTGCGGTTGGAGGCGGAGAGGAACTCGTTGCTCGAATGCTCGACCAAGAGATGCTGCGTGCCTTCTGGATGGGATTGCGGCGATGGATGGACGTGCCTGCAGACGAACTCACACCCGTGGAGATGCAGCTCAATAAGGCTTTGTTGCAGCTCTTATACTTGGTGCTGAAGATGGCGTCGTCACGAATCGCGTCCATGGGCGAGGACCAAGTGACGAACCTCGTGACTGTCGTGACTGAATTCATTGTCTCGCAGCCCAGTCGACTGGTCATGGGCATCCGTATCATCCGTCTTCTCATCGCGCATGCAGCTTGGAAGGACTCGTTTGTTGCGTTGTATGCTGTGGAGTCGACCTCGACCGGTCTTAAGTTCTTGCAAGCTCTCATGAACGGCATTGAACAGTCCAGTGTGACGGCGAAAGAAGACAGCGAAAACACAGTGTTTGACGATTCCGTCGCTGTTCTAAAGGAGCTCATTAAGGACCCGCAACAATTCGAAGAAGACGACGAACAAGGTGGTGTTGCAATGGCAAATGATGCGATCGTCAACCTGATTATCAGCGCCGGTGTTCACATTTCGCTGCTTGAGCTGCTACGGGACAATGCCGTGAGAGAAAGCATCAGAAAGACGCAAGCTTCGGTTGACTCGGAGGCGGACGAGAAGAGCGAAGAGAGTCACGAGTACGTCGTGACCCGAGCGCTTGAGCTTCTGGATCTTCTGGCACGTTCGCGTCGAATTCGGTTGCTCATTCTCGAGGCTGGTACAGCGCTGGACGCCTTAGTGACTGCGTACGAAGGTACGACGGACGACTACGCAGAGTCGTCTCCCGCACGCCAACTCATTGCTCAGGATCTGGGACGAATCCTTATCCACTTGTCCAGTGACCCGTTGGAGTTCCGCAAGACATTGTACGACCACCGTGGGGTTCTGCCGAGTGCAATCTTGGGCAACATTCTATCTCCCGTTGCTGAAGTCGCTGAGACTGCAGAGGAGATCGTGCTGAACCTCGTCGAGTCGGACTTCGCTACTTGTCCGTTGTGGGTGGATCTGATTGAGAGCGCCAATGTGCGTCTGGTGTTCCGTGTCGTGGTGGTAGCCAAGCGACCATCAGTGAAGGTCACGGCAGCTCGCAAGTTGATTGATATCGTCTTCTCCCACCCGAATATTCTCGACGATGAAGAGGATGGCTTATCACCCGAAGAAAAGAGCACGTTGGTGTCCATGTTGATCGATTTCTTCGTCGATTTCGACCCGCGAACATCTGTGGTGGGTGTTCTCGCTCTGACGCTTCTGCTCAAGAACGGCCAAACACTTAATGAAGAGCAGATGGAGAAGATTGCTGTGGACGGCGCTGTGTCGCTGGTTTACTGGATGCAGAAGGGCACTGAGCGTCACCAAGAGAACGCAGTGAAAATCTTACACGACGGCGTGAAGGATCCCGCTATTCTGCAGAAATTTTACGAGCAGCTACAAGCGCCTTCGGTTCAACGTGAGACCGCGTTCTTGTTGGAGTTGGGACAGCAACTGCTTGACGTTGAGATCAAGTCGAACCCTGAGGGATTGTTCAAGCGATGCAAATTGCTACAAGGTCTTCTTGAAGTGACTGATTACGACTCACTGCCGAGTGACTGCATGGAAATCGTTGAGGAGGTGAGTGCGTATTTACTGGAGTTGACAGAGGAGAAGGGCAACGAAACCGAGCATAAAGATGAAGACGCCGACGAGAAGAAGACCCGGGAGAAATTCTTGCTTGTCATCACCAATTTCCTGGCCGTATTGGTGTCATCCAGTACCTTCCACTCGACGCTAGTGCATCAGGATGCGATCGAGAAGCTGGCGTTTGTGCTCAACGAGCAGAAGAAGGCGACAGAGTCGTCCGCGCTGGTGGTTGATAAGACGCGTCGTCTACTGAAGCAGCTGTGCGTACACGAAGTTCCTCGACTTGTTGCATGTAATGGCGTCGAGATTCTACTAGAAACTGTGATGAAACATGACGAGGATAGTGAAGAAGGCTCAGAACGCGTGGCTGAGATGCTGGAGACCTTCAATTCTGTCGTGGAGTGTGGCTCAGCTGGTAAATCTGCTCTGATGGACACTGAAGGCTTCCTATCAAGCTTATCGAGAGGCTTTAAGACGGTCTGTGGTGACCTAAGTGAGGATCAAGAAGTTTTGACTGCAAAGCTTCTTGGAACTGATTTCGACGGCCGAAGCACCAACATGGAGGTGGCGTGTGGGCTCTGTCTGTTAGTGTTTCTACTCGCCCGTGGCGGTGCGTACCGTGAGCGAGTGTTTAAGGACACTGAGCTTATGCAGCATATTGTGACGATGATGGCGTGGTTCCCGTCCATCTTTTCCACTAGCGACAAGGTCGTGACGCCGGAGCTTAAGGCGAAGTTCGGTTTAATATTCGCGTCTGGACTTCCCTTCTTGGAAGCTGCGCTAGTGTCAGCAGAAGGATCAATGCTGGACTCTGACGACAAGGAGCTGTTCTTCAGGAAAACTATGAGCGTGTACACGAAGACGCTGACGACATTTGCAAATGGCCACGAATCTTCGGATCTCTTTCTTGCTTCATGTGAAGGACTGAAGAGCTTGTTCCACAGCGACAGTGCCGTGTCTGTACTGGCTGATGACGGTCAGAAGGAGCTCGAAATTCTGCTGAAAGAACAGGTTTTCCGGTCTCTGAAGGCAACAATCTATTCGATGGGGTGTGTCGTGGCGTTGTTGGAGATTGCAGTTGCTGTGGTTCCTGCTCGACCTGTGACGCCAGACGAGGAGAAGGAACCAGCACGTAGCTCGTGGCTTGTCGCTGGAGTGCTCCACGCACTCTTTAACTTCGAAGCCTTCGGAGACGACCTGGATGTGTCCGTGTTGTTCACTTTACTACGACGATTCTGCTCATCTGCAATGATCCGCAACTCGTTGTACGAACACGTTGACTATGATAGACTCGTGGAGATTTTGGTGGCTTTCGCGCAAGATTCCAAGTGGCGACGATGGCGCAAATACGCACTGAGCGTGTTGCTGTTACTGGGAGAAGATGGTGCGCTGGAACAAGTGAGTCATGACAGAGGAACGATGCCCATGTTGCAAGCATCCACGACCAGTTCGTTCCGTGACCGGGACAGTGAACAATCCACGTGTGCGACGCGTTGTTTCCACTGCCGTCAAGTGGTGCATGCTCCTGTTCAAGTCAATCTATGCGTCATGCCGTGTCCTTACTGCCAGAAGTCGATCGCCGTCGCGTCCGATAACGCTTCGACAGCAGTCGACACGCTTCCGTCCGTCGTGGAGCACAACGGCAGCATCACTCTGGATAACGGAGCACAGTCCAAGATCTCCTCGGACGGGTCTGACTTTGTTTGTGTCAACTGTAGCAATGTGCTCGAACTTCCCGATGGCCTCGGTCCTTCGGAGATCGTGTGTCCTCACTGTCTCCAGCTCGCCTCTGTGAAGAAGACAAGCCAGTCGGTGATGCCAGCGTTCAGCAGCGAGAAGAAAAGATCGTCCGCGTCGTCCGTGCGCTCAGTAGAATCAGGAGCGAGTTTGCCCAAGGACCCGTCCATGTCGGGCATCGATGTGCGGGACACCAAGGTGGTGAGCTGTGGTCACTGCGGCAAGCACCTGATCGTGAAGAACGGCGCGTCTGCAGTCAAGTGTCCGTCGTGTCACGGAGTCTCTAAGCTGTCCACGACGACGAGTACGTTGTTAATCGTTGCAAAAGTTGTTGATTTCTCCATGTTCTAACGCTTTTGTGTGTAATTTACAGCCCAAGAAATGATGCGATGCAAGAATTGCAACACGCTGCTGAGCCTGCCCGCCGGGGCCAGAGCGTACAAGTGTATGAAGTGCCTGCAGACGACGCGACTATCCTAGCGGGCGGCTTTCCTCATCTGTTGATTAGTGTTTGAAGGGAGGTCATGTACGTAAGGCACTGATTTGCGATAGACAAATGCAGAGCTGGATCGAAAGAGGTCTCGTATGTGTTTTGCTATTGTTCAGTTAGACCGTTCACTGCGGATACTTTCGCTGCAGATTGGCAGGTTTTCCTGCTTCAGCATCAGCCAGTCGAGTCCATGAGGTCGAGCAGGTCGTCACCTCCTTTGCTCTCGCGTTTGGCATCGTCCATCTTGAAGTCCTGCAGGATCGCATCTGTCGAGGTCTTGCGGTCACTCGCAGCGTCAATCCAAATGGTAGGGACTTCCTTATCATCTTCGTCATCTCCAGACCCAGGCTTCGTTGGGTCGTCCGGGAACAGGTTGATACGCAACGCCTTGTTGTCCCCTTCGACGTCTTTCGCGGACGAAGATTTGCCCACCAGATCAGCGAGCAAGTTGAGTCCATCGGCTGCTGTGGCTTTGAAAGTCTTTTGATGTTTGGGTGGGGCCACGCCTTTCGCACTGGGGTTTGTGCTAGCACCACGAGCTTTACTGTCGGCGAAGAGCTGGCGAGTGGAACGCGAGAAGCCTCCAGTGCCGTCCTTGGAGTCGGCCTCGTACATATTGAAGCCCAGATGAGAGTTTAACTGCTCTCGGTCAAGTACTGAGCCTTCGGGTGCTTCAACGGATCCCTCAGCACTGGCAATAGCGAAGGTTTCTTCGTCCTCGACGCGATTCGACTCGTCAAAGTAGCGAATAGTGCCCGGTACTTTACCGCCCGTAGCTGTGAAGCCGTCGTAGTGGATGGCTAGTGTTCCATCCATTCCTTGGATACCGTGCTGGAGGAAGAGAGACACTTTGATGCGTGTGTCCTGGAAGAAACGACATAGATATTGCTTAAGCATGTAGAAGTCTGCGGGACTCATACCACCGAAGTTGTCTGAGGTGAGTTGGATGGTCTCGTCCACTTGGCGTTTGACTTCAGCCGAGTCCACGAGGTTTTTCGTGTTGGCGAGATGATTCATTGTCACTTGCATTAACTCGTCGGCTGAGGAGCAAGACAACACTTGGTACTTGAAACCCATACGCATCAGATCGTAGAGCTACAATAGACACAAGAAAAATAGTGTTAGTGATTGAGGAATAGGTAACTAACTGGTTACGATAGTCGCGGTACTTTGTCCATGCTATTGGCGTTGAGTCTCATGATGGAAGAGTGAGCTAGGCGATCGAAGATCTGACGTGTTGATACATTTGAATACATGCGATGAGGCTTGAAGAGCTCAGTCATGAATGTTTCATTGTGCATTGTCTTGACGATGTCTTCCAGTACTGGAGAAGGAGAGCGGGTTACTACATTTTTCGCTACGACAAACTAGAAGCTGGCAAATACCTTTAGAACTCTTGTCTCGAGGAATGTTCTGGGCTTTAAGACGCTGATCCAGCACGTAGATCATCTCGGCGCCCATGTTGACGATCAGCATGGGCATCGTCATTAAGGAACCCGTCATGGTTGCTGTGTTTTTAGGAGTCTTTGACGGCGCGACTTGCTGTTAGGCAAGCAAGATCTCTGGTCAAATTGGGACACAATTCGAAATTAAAATAGTCTTTTCATTTCGCTAGAAACATTTAATGTACCTCGAAGTACGTTTGTCGATCGCTTTGTTAGCTACTCGTTCGGATGATCGTATTTTCGCGGATTCTTGTTCAGCTGCCACACCATGAAAGACTGGATGCTGTCATTGATCCCGTCGATTGTAAGATTCGTGGGGAAGTCCTTCTCGGTGGTGAACCAGGCTCGCACAATGCCCTTGCAATCTTCCTTCGTGTAAAAGGCGATCTTGGATTTTCCATCAAAAAAGCCCGTGGTCGGTAGATTCTCCCATGTAATTGACGACGGTTGCCTCACGTGGTCGTTGTAGCAGGTCTGGCCCATGAACCATCGATGAATCTGCATTTTCTGGCCCGTGAAGTTGGCGCCGTCCCAGAATGTTAGTACTCCCTGTGCTTTCGTATAATGAATTACTATCATTGCAACCAGGAGGCCAAATGTAATGCGTGACAACATCTTGAGTCGTAGCACGTCGACGACAAACGTAGAATGAAGAAATCCTCATATTATTGCGAGGATTCCGCTTGATTTTTTTTTCTCTGCTGGTGGCATTAGCGGGGAATCGGATGGAAAATATTGATATTGCTTATATTGTGCTATATTTTTCACAATGCAAAACATTTATAATACCTGTCCATACATGCACTTCGAAGTAGTAGATACTGCTGCTTAATGGGCTAGAATTTTATCGTGTAGTTTGAGATCGAAGTCAATGAACATTCTACCCTTCAGTACGAAGTTTTCGTGCCCGGGCGTCGTGGACGAGAACGTCGACATGGTCACTCCTTTGCCAGATCATAAACGACTTAATATTGTTGTCGATGCCGTCCAGTGCCAGATTCGTGGGAAAGTCTTTTTTCGTAGTGAACCAGGCGACAAATTCCTTTGCAGTCATGCGCCGTGTAGAAGACGATCTTGGCCCTGTTCCCCTTGAATGTACCAACCTTCAGTTGATTATTCCACGTAATGGAGGACGCTTCCCGACATTATCGTTGTAGCAATACTGGGCTTCAAGCGTGGGGCGGAAGTGCCATTTTTCGCCCTTGAAGTTCTTGTCGCCCCAGAAGATCAACTCTCCGTCGTTCTGTGCATTAACATGATAATTACTCAACATCAGTACAATACTAGTGTGGAAACATTCCAAAACAACATCGTTAGTTAAAAAGGAAGTTCGAAAGTGAAGGATGTACATGCCTTCCATTAAAGGTTAACTACGTGCTGGTGTCAACTGTGGAGACTAACACACGATCAAGGAAATCAGAGAATAAAACTAACAGGTCACCCAACAATCCTGGACAAAGAATTCTATCCCCTTCACCATAATTATGGCCAGCTTTGACGTAGTTCAGCCCTACGATGGGATCGTACCATTCTAGTGCTGTAGTAGACGTTCCTTTTCGCTTTTAAGCTTCGCAAGAGCTTGGGTCGCATACCCCTGAGTATCATTTGTGGGTGAGATGCATGTTGGCCAGCAGCCGCAAGTCACACAAAAGTCTTGCTTTGGATGTGAGAGCTCAAATCCACATCCTGGACAAAACACGTTTGGGCTGTCCATTGTCTCCTCTTGTCCATGAGGTTCCACCACTTGAGTCGATTCATTAAATCGACGACGTGGCACATTCGTCAGGCCTCCGTTAAAGGCTCGCAAAAAAGCCTGGAAGAAATACAAGTGCTCTCGATCCCGAATGTATACACCATGCTCTCGGAACACGAAACGCTGTTGTTCGGCAAACTCTTCCTCAGTCCAGTGCGAGTCAAAGTACCCGAGACGTAGACGGGTAGTGCCAGATCCAGCTTCGATAGGCTCCTTAGCACGCCACTGGGAGAAACTCTCAGGGAATGCTTGACGTAGGATCAACTTGCCATGAACTCCCTGCTCTCCGTCACGAGGAACTGGAGTGCGTTCACCAATCATGTCACTCTTGCACAAATTTTTGGAGAACTCCACGATGCGAGCATCGAGATATGGGCTGATCACTTCAATCCCAAGCTCTTTCGCGAGTTTGGCCGTAGTGAACTCCATAGTGGCGGTGATACGTTCACGATATTTACTTAAAGCCTCTTCAGTCATTCCATGGTAGAAAGAGTAGCCGCAAAACACCTCGTCAGCTGCATCTCCAGTCACAAGATGCTTGACACCGCGGTTTGCTGCAGCTCGCAGTGCTTCGTAGATCACTAACGAATTGCGAAGTTCCATTGGATCACAAGTACACAATAGCCGCGCTACTTCAGAGGAGTTCTTTAATAGAGCATCCAGAGTAACACGTAGCACATGGTGCTGTTCAAGTGACACATTTTCCAGTCGGTTGAAAATATTTGCCGCGAAAATAGCGTCTTGAGCTGTTGGATCGGCTTGAACTGTCAGTGCGTGGCGGAAACGTAAAATCGGACGCGCTTTTCCTTTCTTGTCGAGCAAGATCGTCATAAACGTGTCGTCTTTCACAGCAGCGACGTCTTGGTCACTCGCCTCGCATAATATAGACGTATCCAGCCCACCACTGAGTAAAATAGCATCGATACCATCGGGAAAACGATCACGGATCTCACGAAGCACGGTTTGTAACAATTGACGGCACTCGACAATCTTCGCTGACGGTGGTGCACGAACGTAATCCAAACATAAATTGCCTTTACGGGCACGCACAGAACGCTGAAGGATCCGCACGTCCTTCGTGTAATGGTATAGTATTTGTTCGGACGAGTACATTTCAGCGTGATTGGGAGCTAGTGACAAGCGCGGTAGAGCCCACGTACGCCACGCATCTGGCGGAATACTTCCGTTCCTTGGAGTAGCGGCGCTCTGAGCGAACGCCTTCGCCATTTGAGCAGTAAGTAATTTATGCAGCTTTTCGTCATGAGAGCACCCGTCCGGCTGAGGTATCATGTTCACCTCTCCACGAATCAAAGGGCAAGCTTGCTCTTCGTTCACGCCTTCAACGTCCAACAACACCGCGCAGCGGAATGCCATCCACGGCCCCAGCACTGGGTGCAGGCAAAGCTGCGAGGCCTGCGAATTCAAACCAACAATCAGTACCAAATTATTATTTTTTATAAGAAATGAACTAAACCTACAGGGCAGTGAGAAACTGCACGAGCTGCGAGTGCCATCTTCTGCGCCAGAATCATCTTGCCCGGCTCCGTGTCCGCTACCCAGTACACCTACAACATGTGTATCCGTGTTGGTAACATTGCCTCGGTCAAGTTTTCACATTTTATTCTGATCACCTTTGCATCTTCGAAAGCTTTGCAATTGGCTGCCAACTCCTTTAGTGAACAGTTCACGGTCTCTTTGACGTATCGATCCACTGGGTCATCCAGCACTCGACCATCGTTCTGCTGCATCTCGAGTTGTACGAAGTCGAGAAATGGGTCCCACAAATGTCTGGAATTACCCACCAGCATCAATAAATGGGGCCATTTGTCTCCAAAAGTTTCGGGAATGGGAAGCTGAAAACGCGTAAGTGGAGATGCCGCGTCGGCCGAATGATCCGCCAAATAGCGATTGTAGCTCTCCAGTGACAAAGGGAGCAACACGTCCAGGCCCCTGCGGAATTACAACTATAACGTTAGGTAGGGTCACGACCTGACATTTCATGGTGTTAGCTGGAAGGTGTGTACTTGGCCGCGAGCGCCGCATGCAGTAGCGCACACATCCGCCTTTGCTCCAGCATCGTGATGATCCTACAGACTCTTCGCAATAGATGCCCATGTATGCGAGAGGCAAATATCCGGATGTATACTTACTATACATGATGTGAAAAAGGCAACTTCAACTTCTTCCTTTATGATGCTTGTCGCTATTTCCTCGGCACAGCCTCAGATGTTGGGATTTACTGCTCGTCACTCCCAAAGAGACACTCAGCAGCAACTGTGGGTCATGATCCAATTCATCAAACAGAGCTAACGCACCAACCAAGTGCATCAAACATCAACAATCTCTTCGACAACCACGCTGTGAAGTAAACCCCCGGCATTAGGCACAAAGTCAAGGCTAGGGATACCGGACACTGGTCGTTGAGCGGTCTTTCCTATAGTGATCAGTGGAATCCTCAAGTCTTGGCGACGTCGGCCAGGTGCCAGAAACACGTACAGTTAAGTTTAAGGGAAACCCACAAAACGGGGGTTTGAAAGGATAACCATTTCCAATCGAGGACTCGTCACTCTGTTCGTCCTGCATCTTGCCCTTCTTGCTCATATCGCTGCGAGGACAACCTCCACCCCCGTTTTACTTTACAAATTTCCGCGATATTTGGAGTTGCTGTGGTCACCGGCGGTGACGCATCGCTACGGGCTAAACCAATTTCACCGTGTCATGTAATAACTAAAGGCATTATTCATCTCATAGGAACAAAGTAAAAAAAATGTTCAGCAACGTGGTCTAGAAGACTTCTAGACCACGTTGCTGAGCACTTCTAGTGGAAGTAGTCAGTATTTGTTACTCTTCCCTGGCAAGGTGACACAGGGCGACGTGGAAACTGAAGCATTATCAGCGCGCGTCAAATCCGTTCGATTGGTCGCAGCGTGTCCCTTCTGTACCCCTATGATTTTTGGCATCTATATTTAATAAACTATCGAAATTTGATAGAAGATTTCATACAAAATATAAAAGTACCATATAAAATCAAAACCAACCTTGAAAGAGATTTACAATACCGATCAAATCCTATATTCTCTGCTTGTGACGTTATGAAATAGATGGATGTACAGCTGCAACTTCAGAATTGAAGTCAAGTGATCCGCAAGTCTCCATTGCTCCTTTGGGCTCATTCCTGAATTCGCCTTCTCACAAGATGACCAGCAGCAAGCTCCAGATCCCCGTCGTCTCCATCATCCCGGGCATTGGTGATGCCGTGCGCCAACAATTGGCGTCGTCATCCCCCGCCGCTGAGCTGTACAAGTCCAACCAGCTCGAAATCGTTGACCTACCGGTGCCTGTGGTGTGCCCTCCCAATGCCAGCAACAACCACCAACCGAAGGGGGCCATCGACCAGGCAGCCCCCACCACACCCGAGTGGAACCTTGATCCCAAGCAGCAACTGATCCTCGAGAACGCCGAGGTGCTTTTCATTGATGCCCACCTGGCTGCGCCGCTGTTGCTCGCTCCAAAGACCAACCTACCGTTCGGCCTGCAACATTTACTCAAGAAGGTGCAGTGGGTGCAGGGTACCTACGCTGGAGTGGACTCCTATCATCAATTCCCGGAGGCTCCGGCTGACCCGGGCTTCACGGTTTCACGTGCGGGCGGAATCATGCCGACGGCTTTGGCGCAGTTCGTGTTCGGGTACGTGATTGCCATTGAACGCAAACTCTTCGAGGCCAAAGAGTACCAAGAGAAGCGCGTGTTCGGTCGTTGGGAGCTCAAATATCGGTCCTTCCGACAGTTGACAGTCGGCATCCTCGGTCTTGGAGACGTTGGCCAGGAGATCGGACGCACATTTAAGGCGTCCGGGTTTCAGGTGGTCGGATTCAAGCGTCGTGTGAGCGATAGAGATAGAAAGACGCTCGCGTCAAGTGCTGATCGCGTGTCCTCGGATCTGAGCGAGGTGTTAGAGCAAAGTGACTATATAGTGAACATACTGCCTAGTACAGCCGCCACTCGCTACCTGTTGACCGAGAATGCACTGGAGGTGTGCCGCAAGAAGCAGCCGGTTTTCATCAACGTCGGTCGCGGCGATATCATCTCGGAGGAAACAATCGTTAACGCCTTGGAGAAGGGGTTACTGTCGAAGGCTGTGCTGGATGTGTTTGAGAAGGAACCGCTGCCAAAGGAGAGCCCATTGTGGTCGCACCCGAAGGTGATCTTGACGCCCCACATTGCTGGTACTGTATTCCCGGAGGACGTAGCTGATGTCTTTGTGAAGAACCTCAACCGCCGCCTTGAAGGAAAACCTGTGCTTTACCAAATGGACTGGTCGGCCGGCTACTAGGCTAACGTTCTCAAGTGAACTCGTAAGAAAGAAACCAATGTAAACGCGTGCAGGGCACGCATTCTTTTAAGAAAAGTGTACTAAAACACCAGTACGCTACCTGAAGGTGTACAACCGATCGAACTCGCAAATGCGTTGTCGTTTTATTCCATGCTTGCTTGAGGTTTTCCAGTGAGACCTGCTGCTCTGACGACAAATGATCCCGAGGTGTAATGGTTTACACTTCTTCGATGCGAAGCCGACGCTTGCCCCGGAAGAAGCCCAGAAAACGCTCAAGGCCCGAAAAAAGGGAATTGAAGCCTTTTGGAAGATGAACGGCAGCTCGTTCCTCCTGGTTCGTCAGCGTTTTCTTCAGGTTCTTGAAGTCTGACTTCTTGTACTGATTAACGTCGCCAAGGGGAACGCGCATCTTGGTCGTGGCGATACCGTCTTCGACGTTGTAGATGTCGGCGTAGAGGCCGTTTTGAGCAGTGGTCTTCTTGGAAGCAGTAGCGAGTTTGTCGCTGCTGGCGACTAGAACGATGGCAATCGCCAGCAGGGTCTTGGTAAGATGCATTGTGACTGAGGATGTGGCGTGACTGAGTTCGGTACTGCTTGCTGCGCTGGTATTGAAGTCAGTTCGAAAGTGAAGCAAAGAACTCAACGAACACAAGATTGAGTGTTTACGTTTGGCTTGATGCCACCGATGCTACTCTTATAATATCACGGCCAGAGTGGTGCACATCCGATGCTATAACAGCTGCATGTCGTAGCATGGACGGCTATCCAGTTACAGTATTTATTAAGCTTGCTACAAGGGATTAATGGAGATTAAAAAACATGTGAAAGCTATTGAATGTTGTCGAGGAATCGAGGAAGAAACAAGATACATATATGTACCTACAAAGACAATTTCTTACACTAGTGTTGTTTTTTAGGAGGTTTTTAGGATTTGTAGGGTACTTAACGTCTATTAACCGATTAGATAGCAGTTATTAATAATAAAAAGGAGCAAAATGCCCCTGTGTGGGCCACACATTGTGCACTACACTATTCTTTATTTACAACTCAACGCACGCACTAGCCCAGAGCCGTGCTGCCCAGAGGACTGTGCAATGTAAGACACTACCGGCCTACACCACGCACTAACCGTCACTCTGGTGACGGGGGAACAAGCCATTGATCACAATGCAGGTCAAGGGCGAGAGCAAGACGTTCAACCCCGAGGAGATCTCGTCCATGGAGCTGGGCGAGGTGGTTGAGGCCTTCATCACCAAGGGATCCAAGGACGCTATCTCAATGGCTCGCACCATCGAGCCACCAAGGATGCCGGCGCCATCGCTGGCCTAAAAGTTCTACATATCATCAACGAGCTGACGGAGAATCAGTATGCTCTTCATTGTTTGCGGGCTGCCTGCGAGCGTATTACGGCGTCGTCGTCGGCCAGGTTGCATCGAGATCTACTCTCTGTTCGACAGCACGGGCTTCAACTCAACCACCACGCTTGATCGTTTTGAGGACATGTGCGGCAACTACTTCCAAAGGTGATGGACCCCTTGGAAAAGTTGTTCCGCGACGCCAAGCTGTCCAAGAGCGAGGTGCACGGGGTTGTCCTGGTGGGCGGCTCCACCCGTACCCCAAGGTGCAGCCGCTGCTGTCGTACTTCGTCAACGACATGGAGCCCATCAAGTCCATCAACAGCTACGCGGCTGTGATCTACGGTAGTTTGCCGTTCTAAGCGGCAACAACTCGTCAGAGAAGCTGCAGGTACTGCTACTGCAAATGCGACGCCGCTATGCTAAGTATGGAGACAGTCGATTGAGTCACGTCAAAGCTGATCGCGTGTAACATGTCGGTGCCGGCCAAGAACTTGCAGACGTTCTCGATATAAGCGGACAACCAGTCTGGATTATTTATTTCAGCGTTCGATGGCGCGATACAACAACCTGCTGAGTGAGCTCAATCTCGACGGCGTCACGCATGGCGGACGAGTAACGGAGGCTAGCAGAGAAGTATTCACAAAATGAAAAACGCATCAGTTTATTGAGATCATGGTCAGCAGCAAATTTGTGAGTGTTAGTGTTACAGGAACGCCATGGCGTGCTATACCGCGGTACACACGACCATATCCACCATTTCCTCTTGGCGGACTTGCAGTTACTGAGATATGTCGACACTAACGATCGCGTCGAGAAGGTAGTCAAACTCGCGCTCGCTCAAATCGAACATGCAATAATCATCATCTTCATTGTCTGGATCTCTATCGCTGTCGATGTCACTGTCGAAGGCAACATTAGGCGTTGCCGGAGATGTTTTATACAGAGGTGACCGAGTCGGCCGTGCATCGCCGTTGTTGATGTAGATGAACGACAACTTTTCTACTGTTGAGACTTTGAGCCGATTGCGGCGCTTGCTGTGTGTAAATCCATGAACACTCCACAGGCGCTCGCTAGCAGCAGACGACGTTGGAATACTCAGCATCTTCTCAGCGAAATTGTGAAGGACAGGGAAGCTAGTATCGAGGGTCCACCACTCTAATGGAGTGTCCATACTGGCTTCTTCTCTTTGCTCGGTAGTCCAATTCTTCTTCATTTTAATAAATGCAAGCAATTCTGAGCGAAAGCGAGCTAGGCTCACGTCTGGTGAGAGGCCGAATCGTTGAAGTGAACTGCTTTGCGTACTGATCCTAAAGCTGATCCTAGTAGGATTCCTACGCAAAGAAGTAGAAAATTACGAAAACAGCCTGTTCCATTTTCCCTTGTGTGTGCTGTTTTTAACGGTTATTAACTTTGTTCCGTTAAGTACGCATTTAGCTAAAAACGAATAAAAAGCTACAAAACAACCCTATCTTACACAGACTAGTCGTTGAATCCGCACTTGTTTTCTGGACTGTTGTACTGTTGAAGAAACTCAAGAAGATGAGTAGAGCGTTGCCGTTATTATTTATTAGTAAATGTGCCTCACTTCGATTCAAAGTGAGGGACAAAGTTCGATAGTACACGACATGTACTAAGTGCATATGCTTACATGTGACTATTCAGATGAAGCACACCATCTTTGTTGATGCGCTTTATCACCTGGGCTGAAGAGCTAGAGGATATTGCGCCAACCTGGGCGCTTTATCTCGTAGACCCGGTTGTCAAAATGTTGCTCTTATAGTACAGAGCAAACTTCCCTGATTTGTGATCACCACTACCTTATTCGCTGTCCACACCGGCGTCATCACGCAGCCTCGGTTGATGCCCTGCTTGCACAATATCATCTAGGATGCACCATGCAACTTGTGGAGCGAACGCTGGATTGACAGGCGGTATGTAGGAGCACCTGTACTGCTGCGCCTGCATCCACAAAATGTCCAGATAGCGGGAAACCAGGCTGTAATAGCATCGTTGGGCAAGTATCTTGAGAGTTAAACCCGACAACATCTCTGTCTTCTTCTCAGTCCACCGCGCAGTCACTGACTGAGCCTAGTCCATATGTGCGGTTGGAGATGAAGACCTTGCGTACAACACCACCATGTAGCTGCCATACGTGGCCCAGCACCGAGTGTTGTCAACTACTTAATTATGCGACGCAGGATTCAAGCTAGTCTGTGTTATTGCGGTCCCGAGCAAGCCGTCGTTCATGATTTCGTTGTGACGCGCCTCTAAATCTCCCTCCAACTGCAGAAGTCTCTCGTACGACTCAGACCGAACCAACTCCGTGACACCGGCCTCGCCATTGCTCGCTGAGTCAAGTTGGAACCGGGCGACTTTCGAGGACGGAGAGTTTAGTCCCTGCGAACCACAATCGTCAGCTTCAATTACACCAACCATCCTAGAAGAACACTTTTTTTTCTGACCTCTTTCGATGGACCCTCCTCGTTCTCTGAGACAGCATAACGCGCCTTCACTTGAATCTCTGTGCCTTCTCCACTTACCAATAGCTCCTGCTTCCTCTGTAACATCCAAAAGCAGTGGTGTTAGCACGCAACCATATACTGTACACTGCAGTGCGCCAGTCTCACGTCTTCCAGCACGCGGATTAAAAAGTCGACTGTCTCGGCCGTCATCGTCCCCACTTCCCCAAATGCTCCGAGGTGGATTTCTGACCCAGAATGCAGTCTCTGTGTACTATTCATCTCTGTGTCTGCGCTTCCGTCCTCGGTCTGGGTGGCCTGCGTCGTCCACGACTGCACCACCGGCCTTGTAATTCTCTCTGCGGGCGTGCGCAGCAACGTTGAAGCGTCCCGACGACTAAGCGGGAACGAGGGACTAGCCCTCAATCCAGAGCGCAAATTACTAGGGCGGGAGCGCACGCGGGCGGCGCTTGGTGACGCCCATGTTGCAGTCTTGGAAACAGATCCGCTGCCACAGTTCGACTGTGCTGATTCCGAGCGCAGTAGCGACCGCGCCGCCTCCATCCTGATATCGATAGGACATACTGGTGGGCAATTAATAGATAGGAGGTGCAGACATAGGACCTACCGGCGCTCTCGCTTCCACGCCGGTGATGGAGAGGTCATGTTGTAGGAATGAAAATTAAAATTAAACCTTTATATAGTATTTTACCATTAGTTTTCCCACACAATCGGCAACAAATCGACACTTTTCGGGGGTCAATCAAGATGCAACTCTCATTACTTTAAAAATAATAACGTCTTGGTCACCTTCGAAGGCGCCACCGTTGCAGCCTCCTGCTCCTCGTCGTTGGACGTGGAGTTCGACGACGCGTATTGCACTTCCGGGGTGCTAGGAGTCTCTGTTGTGGGCTCCGGAGTATCAGTGGTAGCGATCGGTGTCTCACAATATTCGTTAATCGAGGGAACTCGACCCATTTCCCTCGAAGTATCTCTATTAAGTTCTCCGACCGTCCCTCGCTAAAACTGGCAAGTAATGCGTCCAGTGCCGATACATCGCCAATTTGATGCGAAAATATCTGTCCGATGCACATTAAAGGGCAGACGCTTATGAGATGTATTTATTATTATCGGAAGTTTGTAAGGGACGCCGCCTCAGTCGTCGTCACGACTGCGTCCCTCAGATAACTGGCTTATCTGAGGTGGATACATCCGGATAACAACAGTTATTATTCCATCGACAGGGATTTATTGTCCACTCAGAATCCACCATTTAGCCTTTGAGTTCTGGGGCGCACAACAGCATCGCGCGGCGAGACGGCGGCGTGGATATTGGCTCTGGCAGAGGCGTATAAGCTCTTGCGCCCGGTAAAGGACGTTGACGCACCTTCTTGAGAGGGCGATGGCTCTGTTTAAGGAACGGTGCGCGGTTTATTGCTATTCAGGAGAGGTTAAGCTTCGTGAGGCGGACGAAAATGCTGACGAGCCATTTGAAGGAGGTAATTGCCCTGTCAGAGCTGATACGATCCGTGTGGTTGATAGCTCAGATAACGAACCGGCTAATGGCGCATCCGGCGTCGAGTAAAGCCTCCTGAGTCAAAGCAAGATGATGGCGAGCTGTCCTACACCCTGTTGATGTTGAACCAGATGAGTCATATCATATCAATCGTCTTCAGCGTTGGTGACGGCGTTTATATGTTATATAGAGCGGTAAGGAAATTATCAGTGTCTATGGAAGTATACTAAGTGACGTATTCACGTTATGTAAATGTATTTTTTGCTTTTGCACAGACTGTCGCTTAATGCATTTAGAGTTAGTTGTTTTTCGGCTCGATGAGCTTCTAAAACGCGCGCGGCTTGTTCAAGGCTAACGTTCTGCTGTTGTGCAACAGTAATTACACGATCAATGATGCGCTTTCTGCGAAAATAAAAACTTTTTACGAAGTGTTCCGCCAATTTGAGCCATGATGCTCTTCAAGGTCTCGCACTGCGGGCCCGCCGTGTATACCAATTGACCATTCGTGCCACACCTGATGTACTGTCTTTAAGGCACGCACCATCTTGTATGTAGACGGAATGCCAGTATTGCTGGTCATTGTGTTCGCTTCGGAGCTTGTAGTGTTGGTTCTGCCCCATTCAACAGATAAGCGTACCGCTGCCGCACCTGACGTAAGTTGTGTAAATGATCCTGCCAATTTGTTTACGGCGGTGCCGATTTCGCTAATCTTGCTGTCAATATGAGCTAATGTTTGTTTATGTTGCTGTTGTAGATGGTCGATTAAGTCTGGAACTACTTCATGCAATCGAGCTGCTTGTGGAGATTTTTCAGTTATCATTTTTGCCTTCAATTCCGTTGCAAATATTTTGAACTCGTCAGAATTGAATAACGTGTATCCCCATAGCTTGTGTGCAGGATGCACGTCGCTCAATAATAAAGCATCTTGCAAAACAACAACGCGAAGGTAGCGTAGCATGTCTAAGAAACCACCAGTGGTGCTGATGATTGAATATATGCTGCCATGTAGGATTCAACGAACGGAAAAACTCGGCGTTGTAAGCTATCAGGAGGCGTGAGAGCAGCTCTCTCCAAGAAAAAACGAGTGTCTGTTCGGAGAAAACCCAACCAGCGACCGCATGGCTTCTCTCGGCAAAGCGGTAAGATAGTAGTCCTCCATAGCACCGGCGTTCCATCTTCCTAACCGTCGTATCTGTGATTCTGTAGCGCCTGCTAGTTCTGCCATTCTAGAGCCCGATCCGCGAGCTGCATGTGTCTTGGCTTTTGATTTGATGCCAAGTGCGGAAGATGTTTTGATAGTAGCGTCATAATGAGCTCGGTATGTCATCGGAGCGGTTTTGTTTTATCTGCTTTCAGTACTTTAATGTCGTACCATTCTTCTGGCACTAGGAAATTAGGGATATCTTCATTTTGCACACCCCAGCGGTAAAATAGATAAAATCCGAGCGCTCCAATCGGGCAAACTTCTACGTTACGGTGTCTGATGCATGAACCAAATTCACGACGGCCATACTGATTTGTCTTCCCTTGTTCCATGATCATCACAAGGGCACGACACTCTGTATAGCCTTCGTGCTCTAAAAACTCCACGCTAAATATGTCAGGTAACTCCATGTTTCGTGCAGACTCTCCCCTTAATAAGCACGCGTGGCAGAGAAAGTGACTCATTCGATTCCGCAGATCACTACCAGTGTTGAGATTCATGTAGAAACGAGAGATAGCGACAAGGTCAGCAGTAGTGCAATATCCATCCAATAATGATCCAACGCCACGGTCGACGTACTCCCTCTTATCCTTCATGTGCTTCTCGCGTTTTAGAGACGAAAGTAGAACTTAATAAGACTGTTTCTAGGATGAGGATGTGAATTTGCTCCGCGACTTTGCTGATCGCTGTATAAATCTGAGATTGCGTTGACGTACATCTCCACAGTTGCAACACCGACTTTGCGCTTGCGGTTCTTCACACGAACGTTCCGATCAACAACTTCTTCTTGTAAAAACAAGTGCAGCTTGGACGCCGTCACTTGGTAGCGCGTGGCTTCGTGAAGCCCTTACGGCCACACCATGACTTATCTTCTCGCTGTTTCGATGCGTACGCTCGAGTCGCATTTGCAGGGCGCGCCGCTATACAGCGATCTAGAGTTGCATGAGCACTTTCCTCGAGCTCCACTTGCAGACACGGGGGCTCCATTGTATCCATACTCCAAAACTTGAAATGTTGAATATTATTTTTGTTGGGGGGGGGGGAGTTATCTGCAATTGGCTGTAAGCAGAGAGGGACGCGGTCCTCGTTCCTTAGTGCAAGTAAATATGGCCGTGCCTAACCCTAGGAAGATAACCCTTTTACTATCAGAGTGAATGGCTTGTTATCAATAGCTTACAGAAGACATTTTCCAACCGATAAGCCCGGTGATTATTTACATCTCTCGAAACGAAATGATCGTCGACGGAAGGCTACTAGCTACACGTATTTAAACAGCGACATGCCAGGGGCATCGACGACACCATTCCAGCGAGGACACGATGTTAAGTATGGTTTAGAAACCTCCGAACGGTAATCGACGCATTTGAAAAACTGGACCATGATAAACGCGAAGCAGTCGTCAAATCGGTTGCTGAACTATTCGCTGGCCACGTGATGGAATCGTAAGAATTGTTACCAGTCGAACGTCTAACAACGAACCAAATATCGGCGAATTCCCCCCCCCTCCTCCCGTCCTACTTCATCAACTAGCAACAATACGGACAGCAAATATATGCAGACTCATTACAAAAATACGACCTAGACTGAAGGCAGCAGGGTGGAGCACTGAACAAATCACACAAATTGAAAGTGGCCACCACCGTTTACGAGAGAGAGAGAGAGAGAGTCATTGAGGAACGTGTTCTCGCGAAGAACCTGTCCAAGTGCAGTGATAGTAAAATAACAGTTGAAAGAAACTTGTGAGCGGGCAATTTCAGATGTGGCAGAGACTTTGTGGGGCCCCAGCTACATCTTTCCCCAACACTGCCTCTGTAGAGTCTGATTTTTCAATCGTCGGCTGGGAACAGGATGGATATCGCCAATCCCTAACCGATTTCTCCCTAGAATGGATTCTACACGCGAAGCAGTTCCGACAAATGTCGAAAACACTATATATTAGTTAAACAACCAATGCCTCCTGATGGAAAGTACAACGAATGAGAAAGCTGTGTCGGCTATAAACGAAGACCAAAACGAAATTCGTAAGGTGAAGTACTTGCTCAAAAGACTTGCGCTACTTCAGAACCAACACGTGGAAAATTTAAGCTAAGAGAACTTACTATATCAATTTCATTTACTGCATTGAGAAAGTATGTATTCACTCACATCTCCCGTGATGTTGTCCTGGTTGATTTTTGACCAATGATAATTTTGTCTTTTTGCTATCAAATCGTAACACAAAATTAGCAGTTTCACGAAAAAATCGGTTGTCTTAACATTATTTTTTGAGGTACGGTAACTCGAGATTTTGGAACAGCAGAAAAAGGGTCATTTCCCATTGGTCCAAAATATTTTCCAGTGAAACAACGCGACCCTTCGTTACTCCACTAAAACTAAGCGTTGGAACATTCTATTTGTCATTTATTCAGATTTATCCAGATTATCGTTGTTCCAAGGTCACACTGTTCCGAGAACTAAAGCTCTCTATTGATCAATAGGAATCGGGAAATGCTACAATCTAACAACATTGTGGACACCTCCGAAAACCCGGCCTGGTAGCGCTAGATGGGCCGTATTAGTAGTTTTGTTTGCATTTCTCAATTTTTATGCTGTAATATTTAACTTATTAATATATTTTACAAAATAAATTACCTCTTATTCAACACAAAAAATATATGAATGAAATGCCATACATTCTGTTTTGAACCTTTATAGTAATATGATATTACTTTGAAGATACCTGATATAAATCGGGAGCTCACATGACGGCTTTTATGTGCATATTTGTACGTGTTAGGAGTGGTGTGTGTTTATTCTTTCATTAGCGTGGTGAACCAGAGAAGGTTCACCCGTGTCTGAACCCCTTCCGCTATTGGGACCATAAGGATTCAAAGCACCTGCTAGCTTTTCTCGAGCTAGTAGCGTGCTATCATTTTCACTGGTTGGACTATACAAGCGATATTGAAGGCCCAATCAGTTTGGTGCTAGAGATGGATTGGGACTTCTGATCACGACCAAACGATCTTTGTCGTTCTGGTAGACGTATTGCTGTGAGCTCGTCCTAACAACACTAGTAGCTAGAGTCGCCGTTCGGGTTACAAAACCGCAGATGCGAAAGAAAACGAATAAAGCTCTTACAGACGCACTATCGTTAACCATTCGTTTAACTATGTCCTGCACTATAAACACAGTCGCCGCTACTACAGCTTCGTGAAACTCTCTTCAAAGAAATGGAATACCGATTTGAAATGGCACCAATGACCAAAATGACCGACACAATTCATTTCAACTCGACATCCACCTCCTTCGGAATTACCACCACGCAAATTGAGTCTTTCTGCGGCCGTATCGTCGGGAAATTTGAATTTACTAGTTTATATCTTTGAAGGCGAGCGTCTCGGTTTTTTTTTCTGAACTCGTTATCGACAAAATTATGCAGGGGTTAAATTAACATTATATTACGGCATTGGTATACGGGATTATTAAACAGAATGTGGAGGATGCGTTGCCCAGCAGACTTTTATCGTTTCGTATGCGTTATCACCTACGTGGCGTGATGCGATTCCCAGGCAACAGATCACGCAAAACGACGCAAGCATTCCGTTCGAATTTGGTCATCACGGACGGCTGTAACAAACCAAATACCATGGTGTCTACTTTTTTCGATGTGTTTTAGTTTACAAATGAGGCTTAAAATAAGTTTATTCGCGCAGGACAAACATAAAATAAATATTTTAAATATAAAGTTTAATTGTATGAATTTTAGCCTGATTACAGTGCGCGCCAAATTATTAGGACCTCCAGATTTGATACACAGTTGTATCGATATTTCCGGTTGTAGAACGAGTTAGGCGGTGCTGTTTAAATATGTTGCCTCTATTAGGAGTGTAAAGGTCGTGTTTGCGTTAACAACTCATATTTCGCTGTCCCTTGGAGGTCTAGTATGCAAAGTGTTAATTTTCACAACTGCGACAAATTTAGTACCTACCCCATTTTATCATAAAAAAGATACATTTTATGAACACCCACACAAACTTCTCTATTACCAGTTTGCCCTTCTGTTTGATTACAGAGAGGTAGCGTCGAGGCATGGACTCAACTAGGTTGAGCATGTACTCGTTCTCGATGGAGTCTCATGCTTTCTGTATGGCTTTTTTGAGCTCACCAGTAGTACGATATTGGCGGCAGTGGGTGTACACCCGCGCCGCAATTACCGGCCATACGTTCTCGATAGGGTTGCAGTCGGGGGAGCGAGATGGCCATATCATCGTGTTGACTTCCATTTCCTGTAAGTATATCGTCGCTTTACGCGATGCGTGGATCATTATCTTGCTGGAAAACAAAGTCATCACCGTAGTTAGCGTGCGCAACGGGCAACAATACTCAGCTCAGATACAGTACAGATGTAGTCACTGGAGATCTGACACCGCGTAGAAATGTTACCTCACTCTTACACTTTGCGCTGAAAGCCCCCCCCCCCCCCCCCCCCCCACGTACACACCGCGACGCTTCTGCCACCGTTCTGGCGCTGGACTTACGACTGGACTGGTTGTCGCGTGTCACGCCAGTAGGACTTGAAGCCGTCCGGACTGTTAAGATTAAACTTGTATTCGTCAGAAAATATAGTATATTTCCATATTTCTACGTGTACCAATAAATCTTTAGTAGTTCAAAATAATAAAATGTGGTTGCTTACCGGGATCAAGAATGTGCTCTTCAGCCCTCCCCATTCTGGCAGTCTTGTGGGCGGCGGTGAGAGGTAAAGTACGGTCCATCTTGATATACACCAGATGGTCGACTCGCTGAAACAGCCTTTGCACCGCCCGCACCAAAGTCTTTATGCTGAGGTTGGTCTTCAGTCCGGCGGCGAACGGGTCACCAGCCACCGCTGCACAAACTACTAGCCGTACCTCCCGTCCGGTTAGTGCAGGAGGCCGCCCTGCCCTTGATGTACTACATTCGCTGTCCGCCTGCGGCCCTCGCTCGCCTTTCACACACACGTGCGCGAGTGTCCTATCTTCCGCAAGATTTCGTACAGCAAGACGCCGCCGTCGTGCTGCCCGATGACCCACCAGTACGCTTGCTTTGTGAGAGCTTTGGCTCGGCCCATTAAAAAAAAATGAAAGGCTCACAGCTCTGCCAACCTGGTGGTTTGCTGTAATTGCAGTGCTCTCCGCCATTCGAACGCTGTTGGAGGATCATCATTCTTTCAATAGAGAAGTTTGTATGGGTGCTCATAAAATGTACTTCCTCCGTCCGAAAATATAAGGCAGTTTGTCCAAAAGTTTCATTTTTAAGCTCAAATCATCGTATGAAGGTTCAATAATTGGCTAATAGTAAGGCGCTCCGCTTAATGATGCGATTGGTGGGTTTCACGAATAAATTCGTTGGCTAGAAGCAAAGTTACGATCTCCGAAACAGTGCCACTTCATCCCACTCTACCTTTTTCCTTCGTCGTTCCTACCCATGGCTATTCCCACCGCTCTAAAGTGCCGCACCCGCAAGAACCTTACCCCAGCTGAGCGTGCTGAAGTTATCGCCTACCTCCGGAGTGTTAGTACCGAGCTATCCCCTCCTCAAGGCGCCATTAAAGCTTGTGCGACTAAATACGCTTGTGGAGACGCTCAGATCTCGCGATTGTGGCGTCGATCGGTTAAGGCCATTCAAGCAGGAGCTCCTATCGACTACGAGAGCGGTAGAAAGGGTCGAAGTGGCCGTAAGTCGCGGTTGACGTCGGAGTTCCGCGTCCAGCTCAACGAGGCCATCGAACTTATTCCCCTGGAAGACAGAACCGACATCCGTACTTTGACGAGTAGTCTCGGTATTGCAAAGTCTACGTTACACGACTACTAATAGGTTAAGTTCGGTTCAGTTGAAATAAGTAATGGATACACGCACTTCATTCTTATATTTCCGGACAACAGAATTACAGGGACTGCCTTATATTATCGGACGGAGGAAGTATCTTTTTTTATGATAAAATGGGGTAGGTACTAAATTTGTCGCAGTTGTGAAAATTAACACTTTGCATACTAGACCTCCAAGGGACAGCGAAATATGAGTTGTTAGCACAAACACGACCTTTACACTCCTAATAGAGGCAACATATTTAAACAGCACCGCCTAACTCGTTCATAAACCGGAAATATCGATACAACTGTGCGTCAAATCTGGGGGTCCTAATGATTTGATGCGCACTGTATGAAGTCAGTTTATTGAGGTAGTCTTTAAAGTACTAAGTTTTTAAACTTAGTACCGTAGTTTTTAAAATAAAACTGAGACCATTAAACAATAAATAGAGCTGCTAAATGAATACAATACTTTTATTTTGAAATATTTATTAAATGCAAATGATTAAAAGGATCATCGTAATCAAAATGTTTAAAACAAAAGATTTTGAAAATAAAATTAATGTTCAATCCATTATTGTATAGTATACATTATATACATGATCAAATGTACCAGGATAACGGTACCCGCAGCCCTCGCCACTCAAAAAAACTGTCAGTCTCATCTTCGACGAGCGGGCACTCTCAGCCTTTCGTGCAGCTCACTCACGTTCGTGTGCGGTATTGCTGCTTCTTCACCTCGCTGGAGCTTCTCGCTTGCAGTATCGTATCGGGCATCATCTTGTGCGTCTCACGCAGTTGATTAAACTCTTCGCACTCTCTGTGGGTCTCAGCAACCCCCCGCGATCGAATGTTACGTGCTCGCCGCCTCGTGACGCTATGGCAGCGTGCACAGCCCGCCACAGACGCAAGTCTGCAGCGCCTGAGCATGCGTCTTGCCCGTGTGAACGCTGCGCCTGCCTCAGTCCTGCAGCGTCGCTGGATGTCCTCTGAGGGCATGAACAACGTGCCGTTCGAGACGGACGAAAACATGACCAAGCTACTGGCCGAACTGGACACGTACCGCGAGACCGGCAAGTGGCGCCAGGCACTTAAGCTACTGGACCGCGTGGACAAGGATGACGCGTTGCCGGCACTGGATCCTGCAATGTATGAACGCGCCATCGCCGCCTGCGCGCGTATGGGCAAGGTGGAGGTGCTGCCGGGCCTACTGAACAACATGCTGGTGGACGACCTCACGCCCACGAGCGCCACCATGGACTTTATCATCCAGGCTTATCTGGCCAAGGAGCATTGGGGGCTCATCGTACAGCTGGCCAGTGAAGCCACCGCCTTGGGCGTGCAGCTGTCGCCCGCCGCCTTCCACGCCATCATGGAGGCTTGCGGACAGGTCAAGGACGCTGACAGCACCCTGAGTATCATGAATCAGCTTAGTGAGGCTGGCATGGAGCTAACTGCAGACCACTACGCAGCTGCTATCCGTGCTGCGGGCATGGGAAAACGCCCAGACACGGCAATGGCGCTGTTCGTACAGATGGAGGAGCAAGACGGACTAAAGGACAACGGAGAGGCCTTCAGCCAGCTGATCCGCGCTCAAGTACTCAATGGAGAGCTGGAACAGGCGCTCCAGAGCTTTGCCACCGTCTCACAACGCGGGGTAACCTTGGACGAACCCATTTACACATGCACGATCGACTCGCTCGTGTCGAACGGTAAACACTGGCAGGCCACGCGGTTGTTCGAACAGATGCTTGAGGGCGGTGAGAAGCACCCGAGTGTCTTCTGTCTGGGCCGTGCGATGTTGGCGTACACGGGCGCGAACCGCAGTCAGCACGCTTGGGCGTGTTGGAACAAGATTATCGAGATCAACGAGCCCAACCCCGTCCCGATGAAGTACAACAAGATGTTACAGGGATTGACGCACGTTAGGGACACACAACTCGCAGTTAAAGTGTTCGACCACATCCAGACTCTATTCGAGCCCGGCCAGATCCACCAGGGAGCTTATACAACCGCAATTCGCGCTCACGGACGACTGGGTAACACACAGAGGGCCGTGGATCTGTTCGACGAGTACGTCGAAAGCTGCAAGGACACCCGTCGCGTGTCTCGCTTTGTTGGCATCTACTTGGCTCTATTCAATGCGCTGTCTCGAGATACTGTGCGTGATCCAGCGCTAAACACACGTGACGCTAAACGTGCATGGAGAATTATGTCTGTGAATGTGCCAGTCGTTCTACCGCCTGCGTACGCGAGTCTCGCCGGTGTGTTTGCTAGTACCGGCGAGATGGAGACGCTGGAGGAGCTGATCGAACACGCCGAGCGGAGCTGGGGCGCCTCATCTGATGTGATGCAGCAGGAAGAAGTGGACGAAGATGGCGACGAATTGGAAGCTGTTGCGGTCTTTGAAGGCGAAGAGGCCGATCTCGGCAGCGACAACGATGTGCTTCTGTTCAACGGCGTCATCAGCGGCTTGTGTAAGGCGCGTGACGACCAAACAGCCAACATTGAGGCGTATCTGGACATGATGGTGTCACGTGGACTGCCGATCACAGACTCGATCGTACGCGCGACCACAGACGCCTGTATCCGCTTTGAGAACTGGGAGCTCATGCGCAACTTGATGAAGATGCTGGATGTCGACGCATTGCAGAACTCCGAAGTGTGCACAGGAGACACGGTGTCGAAGCTTTTGGACGCTGGCAAGTGGAGTCTGGGGCGCGAATGGCTCATGTTCTGCCATCGTCATGGTCTGCATCCGCCGGTCCGTCGCAAAATGGAATTACTGCGAGAAATGCGCGAAAACAAGAGCAAGGAGTGGCGGATCGCGTACTCTTTAGCCACCGAGACCATGTCGTTCCGTCGTCTAGTGCAGAACAATGTGGATAGCGTCGCTGATGCAGCTGAAGTGTGCAGGAACGCCGATCGCATGGACCTGGTTATCAAGCTCTTCGATGCTGCTGCAGGTCACTCTTCACTACGATTTTTCCGCAATCACCAACGTCAAGTACAAGCAGGACGAGAGGCGTCGCAGCCCTTGAAATTGAACGTGGAGCCTGTGGTGGTTCCTCTCAGTTTGTACAAGAACGCTATTCTCGCTTTACTTCGACAGCCAAAGACTGATGCTGTGGATGTAGACGACAGCTGGCGGATGAACAAGGCTGAGCGTATCTGCAGACAAATGCTAGAGGTGCATGGGAAGCACTTGGACGGTGAAGCTCTGTCCATGGCCATCTCAATCAAGGCCACTGCGGGAGACCATGACGATGTAGGAGCGCTGTACGAGTCGATGCGTGCTCTCGGACTTGAGCCCAACTCGTACGCTCAAAACGCAGCCATTATCGCGTTTTCTCGTCAGCGTCGCACGGATCAAGTGCTGGCGATTCGCGACGAGCTCATGAGCAATCGTGACGAGGACGGGCAGATCAAAACGGTCGAGTCGAACGTGGCCAGGTCTTTGCTGTTATCTCTCGCTCTTGCACATGAAGACAACGCTCTTCATGACGCTGTACAGAACCTGCCAGGCTGCACGATGGAGATGGCGTTGGATGTGCTTATGAACACAAACAGGAGCACAGATGCAGTGGAATTCTTCAACGAGAGCGCGTCTTCCAAGACGTTTGAGTCGCTCTTCCACCAGCTCTGCCAGTCTGGTAACCCTGTACTGGGCGCAACGCTTTTGCTCAAGCATTCGCGTCTCCACGGATTAAACCAAGTGCATCCGAACCGTGTGATCCGCGTGACCAACGCGCTGATCGAGAAGGGGAACCTCATAGAGGCAGAGAAGCTGTTGCAGATGTACGTGGATGGCACCAACGGGGTGTCTTTGAAGCAAATGCCACCATACTTTCAGCAGCACACGATGGAGATGCTGTTGTTCATCTACGGCGAATTCGGCCATTTCGATGCCATGCGCTCGCTGTTCGAGAAGGAATTGCTGGCGTTCCCTCTTGAAGTTGCTCACTATGAGGCCGCGATGGAGTACTGCGCTGAGTCTCGTGACGAACTGGCCGGTGCTGTGGCTAGTCTGAAGCTGTTCGAGCTGCTCCGCACTCATGGTTTCATCCGACCAAGTGGTTACACGTATCTGCTGACATTGCAAAGCTGTCTGCGACTGGAGCGTCTGGAGCCTGCGAATGCTTCTGCTGTTAAGTCCACGGGTCAGATCATTCTGGACGACGTACGGGAGCATGGATTCCAGGACGGTGTTGTTGAAGAACTGGCTAAGCAAGTGACGTCTGCGATTGAGCGCGTGCAAGTGAAGAACAAGAAGATCATCCGTCGTATCAATAAGGAGGGAGAATCGACGGACTCCAGTGTCTTGAGCGCAGAGGAACTTGCTCGCATTGCACTCTTCTGTCATCGCCACGGAATGCCCATGACGACGGCTCTGGTTAACGACTTGTTGAAGCTGCACCAGCATCTGCCGACTGTCATCTCGAACGAGTTGGCTTTTGTTAAGCGTTCGCTTGAGGAGGGACTGGGTGTGGTTGCTGCTCCAGGCTCCAGCATCCCATCGAAGCGTGTGGTTAAGACCAAGAAGACTGTCACCTCAAAGACGAAGCGTGTACCTGCTTCGTTTGCACCGAAAAGTGGTTTGAGACGTCCGCGCAGTAAGAGCTATGAGGCGGCAGTGCGCGCTGCTACCGATGCTCGCTGGGGTGTGGTCCTCGAACCCATTGCGACGGACAAGGACTGATCACAACCAGACTGCAGATATGTATTTACACACCTAGAGACCAGCAATAAAACCGTTTGGACATTTCCCCATCATTTACGAAAGTTTTTACACTTTAGCTGATGCAGCGTAATACGCCCTACCACATCAACACTGTTGCTGAGTTGCTGATTGTAGATTATGTGCTAAAATGGCAGGTGTGTTCATTCTTTCATTTCCAAGTCTGCGTTCTACTGCGAAAGCCACCGCATTCAAACGAGATGCGTCTGACTGAGATTTTTTTGGCGGTTGCTGTCGTTGTTCTGACGAGCACTGACAGTTTAGCTGCTGCTACTGCGAGCACACAACCTGGAGATCATGGAGCCACAGACAAGAATCGCGTGCTTCTCAGTGACGTCGATCAGAAGAAGGTCGGTTTGAAGCACTTGGGGACGGACCACGAGGAGCGAGCGGCCGTGCACTTCCCCTCCATCTTCTCGAAGGGGCCGATTCGCGGTACATTCATGAAATTGAGGAGCTATCTATTGAAGATCAAGTCCAAGACCAAGTGGGCTAACCAACGTCGACGCGGATTGAAGATCCCTAGCTAGGCCTTTGGCCGTTGTTGCGAAATTTGAGTTTCGACGAAGAAATTGTTTTGCAGACCAAAAAAGTTGATACAAACCGAAAACGCCATCTACAGTAGCTCAATTTCTCCATAGGAATTGGATTAACCTTCTTAAGTGGAGCGTTGTGTTTAACTGAATCATGTTGAGTATGCCAGAAAAAACGATAGCTATGAGGACAACTTCGAGTTAATATCCTGCTGTCCAATCCACGTTGTACAGCATCGGCTCACCACGCAGGTAGCGATTGAAGTTGTCCACGAAAATGCTGGCCGAATCTTCGGCGATCGGATACCCAGCGACATGGGGAGTGAGCAGAACAGAGGGATGTGACCACAATGCACTGTGGCGTGGAAGTGGCTCCTCTTCGAATACATCCAACACCGCGCGTGACCACACGCCATTATCCAAAGCATTGACAATCGTCTTCTCAGCGATGATATCTCCCCGTCCAATGTTAATAAAAACTGGTTTACGCTCCCGACAGAGCTCCAAGTTCTCCTCGGTCAACAAGTACCGTGTCGAACTGGTACTGGGCAACACATTGACCAGATAGTCACTTTTGGACAGCACTTCATCCAGATCGGATGTTACACGGTCGGCACAATGAGCCAGTTCCAATTCCTGGTCAGGACTCACACGACGCTTAAAGCCCAGCACATTGTAGCCTGCTCCTCGTAACATTTTACCAACCCCCTGTCCGATGTCTCCAAGACCCAGAACACCGATTGTTACAGTTGGTGAAGGTCGAAATTGAGCCATTTGGGGTCTCGCATACTCCCCGTTGCTCTGGAACTCGATAGCTTCCAATACCATACGCTCGAACAACGTCACGTATCCGAAGACGTACTGCCCCATGACTTGCGGAAAGAATCGACCAGCTCGAGTCAATGTAAACTTTGGTAACTTTTCAACCGGCACAGTCTTTTGGCTACCAAGTAGTCGATTCACGTACTGCTCAACGCCTGCATACGTTCCCTGTACCCATTCGACATTACTCAGGATTTCTTGCTTGTCTTGGGGCAAGTTTTCGTTCGGAGCGATGAGTAGTGGCCCACCCGAATTCTGGTCCATGACGATCACCTTAGCTTGTTTTAGGATACGTTCCTGTTCAGACGTGAGGTCCCATTTAGGAGCACCCGTATCATCTTGTTTGTGTCCGTGATGAAGGTCTTGGATATTCCCTACAAGTGTAGGTAAAGGCATGTCCACGAATTCCAGTTTCCCCGATCGGAAGAGATCCCCAGCGGGGGTCGACGAAGCAGCAAATTCCTTGCGAATAGCCTTGCCAACCCCATTGAGGAAGGTCACAATGGGGACACGAAGCGTTGAGGTGGAGGTCATTGAAAGCTGATGATGAATGCAGAAGGAAACTTCACAAATGAACAAAACGTGTGGTGGTTGACACTCCACTTCTAATCTCAACGATTAGATGGCATGCTTTGGGAGGCTGAACTGATGATTACATACATGTAGTTGTCACAGCAAGCAACACTTTTGCTTATGGTAACAAAGTTGTAACTTTTCCTCTTCCAGGTGAAATACTATTCTTTATTAGATCCCCCAAACATTACAAAAGTCTCACTTACATATCCAGATCTCTATTTGTGACCTAGCAGTTGTGTTTCAACACCAACATAGTTGGACGATCAATACCCCGCCGTCCAGTCTACTTTGTACAGCACTGGCTCGCCACGTAGATAGCGATTCAAGTTGTCGACGAACAAACTCGCCACGTCTTCAACAAAAACATACCCCGAGATGTGAGGGGTGAGTAGAACCGAAGGGTGCGACCACAACGCACTCTCACGTGGGAGTGGCTCCTTCTCAAACACATCCAACACCGCGCGTGACCACACGCCATTATCCAAAGCGTTGATAATCGTCTTCTCAGCGATGACATCACCCCGTCCAATGTTAATAAAAACTGGTTTACGCTCCCGACAGAGCTCCAAGTTCTCCTCGGTCAACAAGTACCGTGTCGAACTGGTACTGGGCAACACATTGACCAGATAGTCACTTTTGGACAGCACTTCATCCAGATCTGGTGTGATACGATCCGCACAATCGGCCAGTTCCAGATCCAATTCCGAGCCAACTCGACGCTTAAAGCCCAGCACCTTGTAGCCCGCAGCTCTCAACATCCTGCCCACCCCCTGGCCAATATCTCCGAGTCCCAGAATGCCGATGGTCACGTTCTGTGCCGGTCGGAACTGAATCAACTGTTCTCTCGCATAGTCGCGATTGATTTGGAAGTCTCGTGCTTCCAGTAGCATTCGTTCCAACATCGTCACGTACCCGAAGACGTACTGGGCCATGATCCGAGGCAAGAATCCTCCTGCCCTTGTCAATATAAACTGTGGCAGTTGGTCACTAGGCAAAGCGTTGTTGCCATGCGATAGTCGGTTCAAATATTGCTCCACACCTGCGTACGTGCCCTGCACCCATTCAATGTTGCGGAGGAGATTGTGTTTGTCTTTGGGCAGGTTTTCATCGGGCGCCAGGAAGAGCGGGCCCCCTGAATGTTGGTCCATGACCACGATCTTGGCCTGCTCTACAACCCGTTGCTGGTCGGTCGTGAGCTCCCATTTGGGGGCGCCCGAGTCGTCCATTTTGTGGCCATTCAGCGGGTTTTGCGCATTTTTGACGAGCATGGGGACAGGAATGTCGACGATTTCGAGTTGTCTGCTCCGGAATAGGTCGCCCGCTGGGGTCGTCGAGGCTGCGAACTGCTTGCGCATGGCAGTTCCCATCCCATCGAGGAAGGACACGACAGGAACACGGAGCTTCGAGGCGGCAGGCATGAGCACAGGACACGTGGTGGGATATCTCTCTTTGGCATAACAGTGTCATCCCATATGTTTTCATAATAAAGACTGTGTATTGATGCTCATCGAATCATTGTGATTGGTTGAGATACAAACTATAGGTAAAATGTAATCAAATGAATGTATCGAATATATGAGCTGATCATTCCAGCACACTTGACTTGATTTTAATATCGTTTGACAGACGTATTCATCTGATAATCCCTAACCTGACGGATGTATCCATGACGAAGAGCTCATTTACGATCTAGAGAGCTCCCGAACACTTTGACCTTCTGCGACGATGACTGCGCTCACAAACCCTACCGATGCGGATTCCTTGTCCTCTACGTCTCCACTGCGTGTACCCATCATGACGTTCATCGCCGGCATTGGTGACAATGTCCGCAAAGCGTTCGCAGCTTCTGATTCTCCAGCCGGTGAGCTCTATCGTTCTGGAAAACTGGAGTTGATCGACATCCCATTGCCACAGTTGGTAGCCAACAAGCAAGACCCACTGCATGGTCCGAGTATGGAGGACCCGGGTCGACCCATCTGGAACCTCACGCCTGAGCAGCAGAGTATCGTCGAGCAGGCCGAGATCGTCATGATCGACTCGCACGGTGGTGGTCCGGTCTTCATGGCTCCAAAGGAGAACCTCCCAGAGGACAAACAGCACGTTTTAAACAACGTCAAGTGGATTCAAGCCACATACGCAGGCGTGGACATGTATCTAGACCTGCTACCCAAAGGACCCAATGCTATTGTACCCAAGTTCACACTCACTCGTGCGGGTGGCATGATGCCGAGGATCATGGCTCAATACGTTCTTGGCTACATCACGATGATCGAGAGAAAATTGCTCGAAGCTAAGGAATACCAGAGCAAGCGCGACTATGCTCGTGTGGACATGATCAGCTTCCGTCCTGCACAGTCGGTCACTGTAGGTATCTTAGGACTGGGAGACATCGGCCAATACACTGGCAAAATGCTGCGCAGTTGTGGCTACAAGGTGTTGGGTTTCAAGCGTCATGTGAGCGCACAGGACGTTGCTGATCTGGCCGAGAGTGCGGATCAGATCACCACGAGTCTGGAAGAAGTGCTGGCTAAGAGCGACTACCTCATTAACCTCCTTCCGAGCACGAGTGCAACACGATACGTGCTGAACGAGAAGAACCTCGAGTTATGTGAGCACAGTCCCGTGTTTATCAACATTGGCCGTGGAGACGTCATCTCGGAGAAGACGCTGATTAACGCTCTGAACAAAGGTACGTTGTCGAAGGCTGTACTGGATGTGTTCGAGAAGGAGCCACTTCCAAAGGAAAGCGAACTATGGGAGCACCCGTCGGTGCTTTTAACCCCACATGTATCAGGAAAAGTGTTCCCGGAGGACGTGGCCGCCATGTTCCTCGACAACTTCAATCGCTACATCAAGGACGAGCCTGTGCGCTACAAGGTGGACTGGTCCAAGGGCTATTAGCTGCCAGGCTTCGAAATATGGCTACATGTAGCTATAAACTAGGAACAATGCAATTTATTTCTTGTTCGTGTAGCCATAACCGTGAGTTGAAGTGGTCGAAACGACTGGGTAGTCGTTACGTCCGATCGACTGTCTTAAGCTGGGGGCAATGATAGCCAGGAAGCAGGTACAATGGGCAAAGGGAAGCAGCAACAATCGACAGGCAGCAAAGACAAAGAAGACGGCGATGAATTGGCAGGTTCCACCTTGGAAGATTACTTTGCCACACACAAAGTCAGTGGCCTTGTATCGCAGCATTTGCTCAACATTCCATCGCAGAACAACGTCATGGCAACTGAAAAGGGCGATGAAGACAAAGGATCCGAGCGAAAAAGCGAGCAAGAGAACTACGAGGACGACTACGAGTCCGAGCCATCCAGTCCAAAGGCAGAACCTCCGTCTGACGTGGCTGGAATGTCTCTTAGTGACTATCTCCACGTCAAAGACGACGACAGTGCACAAGCGCAAGAGAAATTGTCCAGAGCAGAATCTCTGCGAGTGTTGGCGCCTCAACTCGCCGCATCCGCCAAGAAACCCGCTCCGATATCCGATGTCAGTGGCATGTCACTGGATCATTATCTAGGTGCTTCACACTCGGAGGAAAATGGCTACACTGGGGCTGAGAAGAAGCCATCTCCGAAGGTCAAGCGGGCAGGTAGCAAGTCCAAACAGATTCTGCCCCAAGCCAAAGCCACTCAGCAGCCATTTTCAGTCAAAGGCAGTGGTATCATCCACACCAACTCCAGCACGCAGAATTTGAGCTCTGACGACGAGGAAACGCCCTTCCAGCGGCGTCAGAGGAGGAAAGATAAAGCCAAACTCAAGCAGCAGCGGAATGCTGGAGGTGGGTCCAGTGTCTCGAAAGCGATCTTGATGGCTGAAGCGCCAACAATTCAGTCCGTTAGAGACCGAGAGAAGCGGAAAGGCTCGTTGAACGTACACCATCCCGGCCATCACGGCTCACACTCGTCTGCGTCTAATTTCCAGCCTCCATTACCCAAGTTGGGTGTTTCTCCATCCGTGCATAGTCTGAGTCATAAAGATCATGACGACAAACCGGAGAAACTGCCTCCTTTATAATCAATCAAGCCACAAGACACAGTTCAATTTGGTCTAAGTAGAAGACGTTACCTGTGTTTCTACTCGGGCTGGAATGGACCCTTCTTCTTGAAATACTCGATCGCCTGTGTCGCCTTGTCATAGCTGATATTGTACGCCGGGTGCGTGCGAGCCACCAGGTTGGACGCGTCTCCAAACACGACTGGTTTACCTCTGCCATCTCCATGTTGCGCCACAGACAGACCGCTCAAACAATAGCACGAGTGGTAGTGATCGCGCGGCTTGCCCGGCTTGTCACGCAGTCCGCCGCTGATCTCTTGTCCACACAACAGAATGTACTTCTGCAGCTGTTCCTGATGACATTGGTACGGCACCTCGTCTCCGTATCGTTCCCTGACAACATCAGCCAGTAACGCCGGCACTGCACCCTGCCAGAAGCTGTAGCAGCCATCCACCAGCTTGTTCGTTCGTCCTTGGTAGCCTCCCTCAAACGGCATCTGTCGGTTCGCGAGCCAATGCAGCAGTCCAGGGAGATCTCGAATCTGATCCACCGCATTGAGGATGTAGAGCGCCGCAACGGAGCAGAACGCGTAGCCACCATGAGCCTCGTTGCCTGGCTCACCACCAAAGCCTCCCTCGTACGTCTGGCACGATAGAATGTAGTCCACGACGCCAGCCTTCAGCTCGTCCGTCAGAATCCCGTACAAGCTGGCGATGGAAATGACGCAGTACGTCACGCGAACGTCCACCTCGCTGGCAATAGACAAAGATAAAAGTCACCAGAAGATAACTAACACAAATATTGTAGCACGACGCACCCTCCATCGTGAGCAGTGAAAGCTCCTGTGGCCGCGTGCTTCCTCGACATGAAGAACCGGTACAGCTTCTGTCGGTCCACACTCTCCAGTGCCTCTGGTGTTCCGAGCAGAGCGAGCGTCAGACACGACGCGTAGTTGGTGGCCGTGTGGCCCAACTGCTTGGGACCACCGCCAAAACCACCGTCATGATCGTCGTTCCAGCATGGCTTCAAGGTGCCTAAACGTGAATAAAACCAAATCAGTAGAGTGTTTCGACGGCTGAAATGACGAAACTCTCTCACCAATTACGCGATCCGTCACCTCTTCCGACAGAGCGTCCAGTAGCTCCAACGCGTGGAGAATCCAATAGATGATCCACGGGCGACTGCAGCAGTTCATCACGTTTAAACCATCATTTCATCATGCTTTCAGCCGATAGATCTAGCGGATACCTTGCGTCCAGCGACACGAAACCTGCCGGCAGCCGTGTCAGGCCACGCTTCAAGTACTCGATGTGCTTCTCACGCATCAACAGCGGCTGCGTAAACAGTAGAGCGTTAAAATCGGCTAAAATCAAGCAAAAGCCGTCGCCGCGCACCTCCAGGTCCGTGTTGACAAAGCTGAGCTGCTGCAGCTGCAGCTGCTGGTCCAGGGGCAGCTCCGGCAGTGGGAAGAAGAAGAGGTTGCAGCTGGACTCGCACTCCTCCTGGTCCACCGACGTTCGCGTCGTCAGTCCGTCGCTCTTGAAACGGTAGTGCTCCATCGCCGCGAAGTCTAGCGCCTCGCTCATGATTGAGATTTGGCTGAGCAATTTTGACGGGTTTGATAGGTTTAATTTAAAAGAGTATAATTTATAAGAGACTCGCCTTGCCTGTTTTCATAACCGATAAACCGGTTGAAATAGTTATAATAAAAGTGGTTAGGAAATACCGACTGCCAAATTTTATGAAAACGGTTCTGTGACCGGTATTTGACTGAGAATTCCATAATACTGGTTTACCGGTGGCTTTCTAAGAGGTGTTGCGGCAGGTAGATCAGTAGCCGTTGATCCAGTCCACGAGGTATTGCAGCGGCTTGCCAGCGATGTAGGCGTCAAGATTTGGTACGAAGACGTCGGCTACGTCTTCTTTGAAGCAGTACGCAGCGACGTGAGGTGTCATGAAGACTCTGGGGTGGTCCCATAGCTGACTGTCCTCGGGCAATGGCTCCTTCTCAAACACGTCCACGACGACCTTGGAGAACCAATGGCTGTCGAGCGCCTGCACGATGGTCTGCTCCGAGATGACATCGCCACGGCCGACATTGATGAAGACGGGTTTCTTGTCAGAGCATATGTGGAGATTCGCCTCGGTCAGCAGGTACTTGGTCGCGGGTGTACTGGGCAAGATGCTGACGATGTAGTCGGAGATACGCAACACGTCGTCGAGGTCCGTTGACACGCGGTGGGCGCAGTTCTTGAAGGCTTCATCCTCATCTCCACGCAGCTTCCGCTTGAACCCGATGACATTGAAACCCGCCAGCTTGGCCAGTCTGCCGATGGCTTGGCCGATAGCCCCCAGTCCCAAGATGCCCACGGTCACGGACTGGAACGGTCGGTATCTTAGAGTCTGCTGTGCGAACACCTTCTGCTTCTGCATCGCGTATGCGTCGTGAAATTTACGCTCGAAAGTCACGATCCAGCTGCAATGCAACCAAGTCAGAACAGCAACGAGGGACAGCATGAACAAACGTGGACGTACCCGAAGACGTATTGCGCCAATCCGTTGATGCCACCGGCGCGTGTCAGCTGGAATGACGGCGGCAAAGTTCCTGCTTTTCGACGCTTAAGGTACTGCTCCACCCCAGCATACGTGCCCTGGACCCACTGCACGTTCTTAAGCAGATGCTGCATATTGTTCGGCAGTCCAATCTCCGGGGTCAGGAGCAGTGGCGCGCAATTGTGCGCGTCACCCAAGACGATCGTGGCCTGTGCCAGCACTTCCTGCTGCTCTTCAGTGAGCTCCCACTTGCTCTCCACGAGCTCAGCCTTCTCTGCGTCAACTTTGTCTCCAGGAGCTGCCTGCACTCCGTGAGACGGGGGGAACGTTGGCAGGGGCAGCGTCACGAACTCCAGCCTGCCGGCCTGGAACAGCGCTCGCGCCGGCGAATCCGTCGCCAGCAGCCGCTGCTTCACCGCGTCGGCCAGCCCCTCCTTAAACGTGATCACTGGAATCCGGAGCTTTGCTGCCATGGTGGCCAAATACAAAGTGACACGATGAGTGTGTTCGGCCAATAGTCTGCCTGTGTTGACGAACCGTCATTGATAACGCAAGCACTGTACTGCTAGATTGGATGAACAAAATGACTCGGAATATGTATGGTCGACATGTTACAGTAGTCGTGACATGGCTACATTTGTGTCGACCAGTTGAACACTTGAGACTTTAGAGCTTGGGCGAGCCCTTAGTGAGGTCCACGACGATCTTGCCGATGTTCTTGCGCTCGTACATGTAGTCAATGGCGTTGGGGATGTCCTCGAGTGCGTAGAAGTTGGCTGGGTCCACGCCAGCGTTCAACACGCCACGTTGCACCAGCGTCGTGAGCTTCTTGATGTGCGCGTGCGACTCGCGGAAGTAGTCGTTGTAGAAGAAGCCGCGCACAGACGCAGACTTGGCCAGCAGCTTGGACGGCAGCGGCGTCGTGGCCTTGCTGGGTTTGTGCTTCCACGTGCTCGAGTCCTGGTAGCCAGCGATGGCTCCGATGACGATGATGCGGCCCCTGCGCGCGATGTTGTTGACGCACGCCTCGAACATCTCGCCGCCCACACTCTCGAACACGAGGTCTACGCCGCGCGGGTACTCCTTCTTGAGCACGTCGTACACCTTTTCCTCACGGTAGTTAATGGGGCGGTCGCAGCCGATGGAGCGCAGATACTCAACCTTGTCGGGCGAGCTGCACGTGCCGATCACGTGGTTGCCGGCGAGTTTGGCCAGCTGCACGGCGAACTGGCCCGTGGCGCCTGCAGCCGCCGTGATGAGCACCGTCTCGCCGTGCTTCATGTTACCCACGTACTCGAGTGCCATGGACGCTGTCAGACCGCACACAATGATTGGTAGCACTTCTGGAACGGCCGCAGGGACCTTGACCAGGTATCGCTCCTTGGCCACCAGGTGCTCGGTGAATGCGCCGTATGCTGTCGTTATGAGAGAGAAGAGTGCATTGTCAGTCGATAGTCGGTTGCATGGTTGGTGAGGTCACTTACAGGTGGAGGCCACAGCGTCGCCCTTCTTGAGCTTAGTCACACCTGGGCCCACCTCCAGCACAATGCCCACTGCCAAATACACAACGTTAGTCTCTGTTCGTATCTCTGAAAGACGTTGAGTCATTCTTACAGGCCTCAAAGCCACAGTCGAAGGGCGGCTGAACGCCTGGCAGATAGGCGCCGTTGGTGTAATTGATGTCGGAGGCGTTGATGCCGCAGTACTTGGTCTGCACGAGCACCTCGCCCTGCTTGAGCACAGGCACCGTGAACGGCACGATGGCCGTGCACTCGCGGAAGTTGGTGGACAACTTCTGGCAGACGATCTTGCGAGACTGCACCATGACGAACTGCGGCTGGATGAGAAGTACGATAGAGCGAGTGAATGCAGGAATGGAGCGACGTTGATCCTGGAGATCTGAAGCTTACGTTGACATGTAGGCAACAGTTCAACGTTTACAAGAATTGTGTGGTATACATGAAATGGAGTCCCGTTACTGCAACCTATGAACGACAGTACGACAGGTCTTGCTGCAACCTACGAGCCATCCTAACACAAGAAGCAACCCCCAGAAGCAACA